AAAGTAATCGAAAAGCACCAGGTGTGTACTTTCTTTTGCACGTCAGTTTATAACGTGAAACATATACTCTTAAATAGAGTAGGGGAACCTGAACTTTCAATTTGTCTAGGAAGTATAAACCTTAACAGACTTTTCAAAGACAGAGATCTTACGAACGCACCGCACCACCATTTCTTTTTATCACCACCCCTAAACACAACACATGGATGTACGTGCACAGCGCAGTAGCCCCACACACGTGCATCGGGTCATTCTTGATTTTTGTGTTTTTGAAGAAGGTCGATAAATTAGTGTAGACCACTAATTTTAGCAATCATCTTGCATTACACAGTTGTTAGTGTTTGTTTCTAGCGGGTTCTTTATTGTTATTGTTTTGTTTGTTTGTTTGTTTGTTTGTTTGAAAATGAAAATCGTACACATGCAAATTTTACGTAATACACCACTCATCTTTCAAGAGCGATTACTGTACAAACAACTATGGTCATAAGGAAGTGCAAGTGGTGATGCACTCTCAAAACATTCATTATTATCATATCAACATTGATATATCTCCTAATTCTTTCAATCGTTAATTAAAAATGAAATTCCTCTACTCTTTTTTTAAGAGTATATTTCTAAACTTCGTATATTTTCCCCATGTTTATATATGTCATGAAACTGCAGAATTGTATGCTAAATACATCATACCCAACAATGCTTCGATTTTGCAGGGTTAAAACATTCTCGTGAATTATTCCACCTAATAATATTCCACAACAAATACTCTGTAGCTATCGGCAATACCCAATTTTGTCTGCCTTTCAAAATAAAGATTTCACCGGTCTTTGATGGCGACTTCATAAAAAGAAACAAGAAATAGGTATGCGATGGTGATGTGTTTTATACGCGTGTCACAGTTGTTGAATGTTATATACTTACTGATAACGCTTATATTTTTGGAGTGAGTGAGTGAGTATGGTTCTACTTTGGTATAAAATAACATTCACTAACTTACTCCACAGAGTGGGTTCGGTGGGTTTAGTTTTACGCTGCTTTTAGAAATATTCCAACAATGTCACGGAGCGGGACAACAGAATTGGCTTCGTACATTGTATTCATTTGGGGAATCGAACCCGGGTTTTCGGCGTGACGAGGGGACGCTTTAACCATTAAGCTATCCTACCGCCCCTATAGTTTTTGGGTCAAATCCATTTTGGAAGTCAAATCAGTTACAGACCAATGGGTCTGAGCAGATGTCATTACAGGTCAGATCAGAACGACCTTTCGCAAAGTTTGACCAAACGACCAATAAAATGCCTTACATAAAATTAGCCAGTCAGAAAGCAGCTTTCGCGAGCCATACGGCATAGGTTTCAAAGTGACAACTTCCATTCTACACTTTGCTTGGAATGTACTGTGATAAAGGTCACGACTGAAAATTTAAACAAAAAGGAATTCTGGAATGTCATATGTCTTGTGCACATACTGTCGTAACTGCGTTCGGGCATCATCAACAATATTGGAGGAAATCTGTCAAATATTGATAAACTGAACTGGAGAACTGAAGTAAATATTCTACCTAAATTAAGGACATACAGGTTGTTTATGTATGTATGTATGTATGTATGTATGTATGTATGTATGTATGTATGTATGTATGTATGTATGTATGTATGTATGTATGTATGTATGTATGTATGTATGTATGTATGTATGTATGTATGTATTTGTATGCATGCATGTATGTACACTAAACGCGAAAAGTAACGTTACCCTCCTTCCTTAATGACGGAGGTACCTATCTTCAGCTGGCGTTGTGATGCGTGGACGTCCACTTCTTGGTCTGTCTACGGTGATCCCAGTCTGTCTGAAGCCCTGAATAAGTCTTATAACCGTGATACGGTGGCATCCGTGGGCGTTGGCAACAGCATTGTATGTCGACCCCATCTGCACTATCTCAATGGCTCTTTCTCTCCCTTCAGCTGTTAATCGTGGCATATTTCTCGTACTTGTGTATCAGATCATGTCTTCTAGGCTCTCTTTATACCCTATAGAATCATTCTGCATGTGAAATGGATGTAAGTATTGTTGGAATATTGCTGCGTTTTGGCGACTGATATTGCTATGTGTAAAATGGAAATGGATTGTCTCTCTCAGTTATGACCGTTCCACGTTGTCATGGGGAGATGCCAGCTCCAGCTCTGCTGTCACCTTGTCCGACGAGGGGTGCTACGCCAAGGAGTGAGGGGTCGGACGACCGTGACTCCTAACTGACCAGACCCGTGAAGGTCTTAGGGCCTGTTCGATTTAGGGCCTGTTTCTATTATTGCAAAACCAGTTTCGCAATAATCGAACAGGCCTTAAGTCTGGGCTACCTGCTGTTTCCAAAGGTGAAGGTCACATAAATCCGCCTGAATCAATACCTGCTGCACACCTTAACACATAGAGCGTATCCCGTTCCGACTGGCGACGGTATTGTTCGCCTCGACAGAGTGGAATGTCACCAGTTAGAATGAATCTTCAGTAACCCATGCTTGTCGTAAGAGGCGACTAACCGGATCGGGTGGTCAGGCTCGCTGGCTTGGTTGACACATCTCATCGGTTCCCACTTACGTCGATCGCTGGATTGTCTGGTCCAGACTCGATTATTTACAGACCGCTGCCATATAGCTGGAATATTGTTGAGTGCGGTGTAATACTAAACTCACTCACTCACCTAACTGACTACGTTACATTCATGTACTGGCACAAGTACATTCAAAGATAAACGCAACACCAGGTTGTATGTTCACATAGGTTTACTCTGCCTCAGTCCATGTTACTACAGCCTTAACACAAAACAGGGTAGACCCATACATAGGCAGATCCAGAAGGGGGGTGCAGGGGTGCGCACCCCTCCTTTTGTCCTCAAAGTTTATTAAATGACCATTGAAACTCGGATGAAAATGACATGTGCACCCTCCCTTTTCTTAATAGTATGCACACCCCACACCCCACACCCCACCCCTTTCTAAAAACGCTGTATCCGCCCCTGCCATAGTGGAAACTGAGTGACGGCGACTGGCTTCCGTCATTTTAACAGCGCGCACCATTCTACTCGTGTTGAAGGTATCTTTTAAATGGTTCGAGCCTGAATTGATCTTGACCACATGTTCCAACCTATCGTTTTGAACTTATGTGTGTCATAACTAGAGAAATACGAACAACACTGATCTTTACTCACCCCGTTTCAGCTTGTCGATTGTTTCTATGTAAGGTACATATGTTTTGTCTCTCATGAGTGGTATTCTGCCCTCTCCTTGTAACTCGGGAAATTCTGTCACCACTGCCCTCCCAACCTTAAAGCACTCGTGAGAACAACCGAAACTCTAAATAAGGAAACTGATGTAATTTTCTAACGGTTTCGGGATGCATTTTTCCTGATGTGAAATTATTTTTCCTCAGTTGAAGTTAAGCAACTTTGTTCACGGAAGTCCTCGGACTGACTGACTGACTGAGTTTGGTTTTACGACGCTTTTAGCAATATTCCAGCAACATCACGGCGAGGGACACCAGAAATGGGCTTCACACATTGTACCCATGTGGGGATTCGAACCCGGGTCTTCGGCATGATGAGCCAACGCTTTAACGGTGACACGGTGACCGTGTTTGGCAGCTTGACACCTGAGAGTTTCTAGTACTTTAGTCCTGCCATACAACGAAGCACACGTAACACGTGTGGTCTCACCTAGCCAAGTGAGTTGGTTCATAAATTGCCTCTGTTCACCCACAGTGAATGGGTACCCGGTGGGATACAGTCATTATGACTGTTAAACTTCCAGCGCCTCACACGCAGCTTGCGTTATCCAGGGTAATAATTTGTTAGCCTTAAGCATGCACAAGTGCGAGGAAACAGGTGCTTTATAAATATCCATTATTATTAATAAATAGCTATTATTATTACTATTATAACGATACCACGATCTAAGCTAAGTGTCCTCCGCCCAAATATTTATCCGGCTGAAGATAGACAATGACTTGGACGTATTCGGTCGTAGAGGCCAAAACTGTTGTTCGGAATACCTCGTTTTTAGATAAAAATACCACATTCCGATTGTCTCGTACTCCTACTCCTCTCTGGTACGTTCTGAATGTTCTGATGAAACGTCGTCCATACGTAAATGTACGGTCACATGCACTGTAAAGGTACAGCGCTGCTCTTTGAGATGGTTGCCTTAGTTACAAGGCCTATATACCACAACTTATATATTAACGTGGTGTGTTGGATATTATCCACAATTAATCGAAATGCAACGGGTCTTTTCTACCTAGCAGCTATATATTTGAGCGGACGCGATACGTTTCATTCAAGGGGAACTGATTAATGGCCTATTCGATTATGCTAAACCGGTTTTGGCTTCGGGAAAACCATGCACTCGATGTCGAAACCTAAAACTGGGTTCTGAAACTTCGAAACCATCTCCGAGGCAGGTTTCGCAGTTTCAGTGTCGCGTTCTCTCACAACAAACATGGCGGAAACGAAAGCGAAAGTTCAGCTGATCCTGGTGGCAAAATAGAGCAGCAGTTTTTGGAACCAAAATAATGATAAAAATCAACTGAGAAAATAGGAAAATATTATTTAACACCCCAGTCTATTGAACATGGCTATTTTATGTAACTTGTATATATATAATTACTTGTAACAATATAATTACATATACGCAAATATTTACCTCCAAAAGCATCTCATCTCTTTATTATTTGTTAATTCACTGATAAAATGAAAAAACATATGCTGTCATCCAATTCGTTCCACATATACAGTAGCTGAGACATTTTTTTTGGTATCCATTTTGAAACCGGATGGTGAAACAATCCACTCGTTGATAAAACTAGAAACTAGTTTCACTTTGAAACCATGTACCCGAAACAAGACACTCGTTTATAACAGGAGAAACCAGTTTCAAAAACCAAAACCAGTTTCGCAATAATCGACCAGGCCTTAAGTCTAGGCTACCTGCTGTTACCAAAGGTGAAGGTCACATAAATCCGCCGCAATCAATACCTGCTGCACACCTTAACACATAGAGCGTATCCCGTTCCGACTGGCGACGGTATTGTTCGCCTCGAGAGAGTGGAATGTCACCATGGCAGTATGGATTATTGAAAGTATACACTAGCCAGTGATCGCACGTCATGGCTGCCTGAATTTAACAAGTACATAGTGGATGTGACATAAAACGCATATACTCGGGAGGCGAAGAGGCGGACGACGGTGGTATGAGGGTGTGTAAGGTAAGACATCAGTTAGTTAACGAGTTAACTTGTAAACATGGAGTGTACAGACGGGGACTTGGTGGGCCACTGAAATATTCTCTCACGGCAATAGTCACTATGATGAATCGTTAGGTGCTGGGTTCAATTTAAAGATATATGTTTCAGTAAAACGTTGTTGAAATATTCATGGAAAAGTTGTCTTGAAAGTTAAGACATTATTCGGAAGTGTTTCGTACAAAGCTGAACGAATGCTGGTTTGGCTCTTCCAGGTTTCCCTAGATTTGTCATTGAATAAACGATATACAATGGATCTGTCTGGATTCGCTTAAGTCGGCGTCGCTGTATTGAGATACCCAGGGTTAATATGTACCCAGTGTGTTGACTTGTGGGTGGACGTGGAACTGTAGCGACCTCGCAGCTCTGTACTGCTCCGTGTTCAGTGTTCCACATCCACTGATCGCTCCCAGTGACTGACTTATTTTAGGTGGGTAGTTTGAGAGAGTTAGTTGTTTAAACCGTGGTGGACAATACTTTAGCAGTAACAAAGCGGATGTAAGGAGAGTCTTGGCTACACATGATCCACCCTTTCGGGTCATGGTTACACACAAATACCCGTCTCACATAGTGCAGCGACACTACCGTCATATATCGGCTCTTATTACAGGCTACCCATGAAGATCCGGGTTAGAGTTGATCTTCAGCAACCCATGCTTGTTGTAAGAGGCGACTCACGGACCGGGTGGTCAGGCTCGCTGACTTGGTTGACACATGTTATCGTATCCCAATTGCGTAGATCGATGCTCATGCTGTTGATGACTGGATTGTCTGGTCCAGACTCGATTATTTACATACCGGATTATTTACAGGCTGGAATATTGTTGAGTGCGGCGTAAAACTAAACTCACGCATTCACTCATTCACGTTAAGCTGACGCGCCTTGAAATAACACATATATTAACCTTCCCTCAGATAACATTGTCACCCAATGAATGAACCCGAACACATTACATGATAACAGGGAGATATGCAATGTCGTTGCGTGATCAGAGAGAACTATTACAGTCAAAGGCAAGCGGTTAAACACTTCAGTGAACACAGCCGGCCGGGCATAGTTTAACTGGTTCCACCAGAAACACGACAATCGATATATATAGAATTTCAGTGTAAATGTCTACTCAGCCTTGACGAGCCTCAGAACTTGTTTTACAACACTGCCGGTTAGTTTTGAGGTGTTCATGAGTTAGCAACATCGTGAAACACGACAACAATCGGAGATTCATGTCTCACCTGTCAATGAACTTGCAGGTAAAGTGTGTCACGTATTGATCAGTTTCACCTGATAGTCTGTCACATTTTCTGAATGTCCGAATACATTCACAGTGATAGTTTCCGTCACGGGGTCATGCGTTACACATACTCGTTCAAAGATGCCGTTATATTGGTCGTTGCTTTGGCTGTCTGGTTTGTGTGTAGATGTTACAGATGTTGCCATGTCTCTGCGTTGATGTAGATGTAGATGTAGACAGTGTAGTGCCGAGTGTCAAAATGTGGTTTAACAGTGTATGAAATAAGCCCAAAACCCAGCCAGACATCTGGGCTGGTAACTTTAAAACCTTACCAACCCAGGAGACATTTCACCAGTCAGTGCCAGTGGGCATGTTATCGGAATAATTTTTTTCACCCGTCCATCGGGCTGGCTAGCTGTAAAATTATAACGTCTGGCAGAAATCTAGCTCGTCTCGGGCGGTCGGACGGGCCTTATTCAATATACTGGTTTAGGTGTTAAATGACTTTAAAGGGGTACCGTGACCCAAACAACGTACTTGACTCACTGCTTACTTTTTCATATTGTTTTAAGGATAGAACCAACAGTCACTCACTCACTCATTGAAGGGGACATCTAAAGATCGGGCCATGAAAGTTCGATGAGTTTAAATGGATAGAACAGGGATATACACTGTATCTACCATAGTACAACTTTACAGTCTCATAGCTACAGCTTGTGGTGGTTAAACAAATATGTTGCTCAATGTGAAGCCATTTTCCCATACTACCACCATAATTTCTATCAGATATAAGGGCGGTGGGGTAGCCTAGTGGTTAAAGCGTTGGCTCGTCACGCCGAAGACCCGGGTTCGAATGTGTGAAGCCCATTTCTGGTGTCCCCCGCCGTGATGTTGCTGGAATATTACTAAAAGCGGCGTAAAACCAAACTCAGTCAGTCGGTCTATCAGATATGGTCCAGCGTCACCAATGTTTCATGATGTATATTTAAATTTATTATATAGTAGTATAGGTACCAAAACACCACTTCATACTGTCTCACATCGTAGTAAATGCTCTGCTCAAAGTGAAGCCTCTTGATGTTTCCAAGGCTGTGAGCAATGATGAAGTGTTCAGTGACTTCTAGCGACGACTGACGTCATACTTTGTTTGGTTGGTTGGTTGGTTGTTGTGTTACGTTGCACTCAGGAATATTCCCGCTATATGTCGGCAGTCTGTGAATAATCGAGTCTGGACCAGACAATCAAGTGATGAAGAGAATGGACATCGATCTATGCAATTTGGATACGATGACATGTGTCAACCAAGTCAGCGAGCCTGACCACCCGATCCCGTTAGTCGCCTCTGACGACAAGCATGGGTTACTGAAGATCAGTTCTAACCCGGGCTGTGTCCATGTCGCGGGTGTGTCATGCCTTGGGATAAACCTGTTCCATGTAATAAATGCTCCTTTGCTAGCTTTCCCGACTTCATACCGTTGATAATGTAGATAATGTCTGGTGTTGCTGATGTCAGAGTCATTCCGACAGGAATTGTCTACAAGGCTCCTCTAGTCTGTCTCATTGTCCCTGAACCACATTATTTTCTCATCTGCTCAGCCCTCCTTGCAATACTAAAGCCCTAAATGAAGCAAGTCTAGATTTCCCCAGGCTCTTCTTCTCCCTTCTCACTGTGGCTCTTTTTCAGTTTAAGGGGAATTGTTTGATTCCATCACAATTATATAGAGACTCAGTGTTAGCCTGAGTCTTCCCTGACAGTGTTACTTACTACCGCCCACATCATTACGGTACCACATCGTTACGAAGCGACCATTCCTAGTGTTGTAGAAATATTTCATACCAGGACGAAATCTCTCAGCTAGAAATGTTGAACCAAGGACGAAATCACTCAACTAGAATTATTTGAACCACGGACGACTGACTGACTGAGTTTGGTTTTACGCCGCTTTTAGCAATATTCCAGCAACATCACGGCGGGGACACCAGAAATGGGCTTCACACATTGTACCCATGTAGGGATTCGAACCCGGGTCTTTGGCGTGACAAGCCAACGCTTTAACCACTAGGCTACCCCACCGCCACGGACGAACTCGCCCTAATAGAAATATTTGAACCAAGGAAGAAATCTCTCAATTAGAAATATTTGAACCACGGACGAACTCGCCCAAACAGAAATATTTGAACCAAGGACGAAATGACTCAACTAGAAATATTTGAACCAAGGACGAAATCTGTCAACGTTATATGATCCAGGGAGTGATTCTCCTACGCCTGACAAAGGAAAGTATACCGTTGTGTTTGGTGGTGGTTGAAATAGAACAAATATGAATTGTTATACCATGACCTTGGTGTATGTGACATGGGTATCATTGTACACGATCTATCCTAAGCGCACAGTGTTTCCATGACTACTGTCACCCCAGTAAAGTACATACATACTAGGGCTGTGCAATATTACCGGTAAACCGGTATATACCGGTACAGTATCTCGCGATACGATTATCGCGATATGGTTCGGATTCTGCAATATATTGGGTCATCCAGAGTTAGCTCCATTTGAATTAAAGTATGACCAGAAATTATTGAGAATTTTAGGAATATGTTTAATTGGATTTCTAGTATAAACAACCTTTACCAGCTATCGAGTGCTTGGTTTCATTCAAGAGAGACAACTCCGTTAATCCTTTTTCATTAGTTTGTATTTACAAGTATTTAATGTTGTTATTTGTTGGCCATTTAAAAACCACCTTTCATTTCTTGCTAAGCGCCCTCCCCTTCTAAAAACAACAATATTTGTCTTGTCTAAATTTACTTTTAGACCTGAATATTCAGTGTAATTATGTAGAATATTAAGTTGATTCTGTAAGCCTGGAATTGTGTCAGATATAAGAACAACATCATCTGCAAACATAAGTAACATGATTTCTAATAAGTCTGAAAATAACTGCACTCCATATTTACCATATCTAGATATGTCGTCTGATAATTCACTAATGAAAAAGTAAAACAATAAAGGACTAAGAACACAACCTTGCTTTAAATCAATTGGACAGTCAAAATACTCAGTATATCCGTTATCACATCTAACAGAAGCTGTTACCGAGCCTTAAATACTCATTATAGCAGATATCATTTTCCCATGTGAACCAGATTTGAATAAGCGCGTATATAACTTAGAATGGTCAATTGAATCGAAGGCTTTTCTAAAATCAATTATGAGCAACATATGATTTTTTCCTTTTCTTAATTAGACATTTTCTATAACACCATGCAAAGTAAAAATATGATCAATCGTAGAGTACCCTTGTCTAAAGCCTGCTTGTGTTTCGGGAACTTTACTCCATATATTTGCCCAGTTCGTGATACGGACATTTACGTGTGTGTGCTAGATCCAACATTCATATCTGCAGTATGATGTGCCCGATGTTTTAGTTATTCCATGTTCTATTGTTGCAATTATCAAACGAGGAGCAGTTTGGTGTATATCTCGATCGATCTGTATACAGTTAACCACCGAATATATACTCATGGAAACGAATAGAGGAAAACATGAAAGTACAAGTGTTCCTTTATATATTTCCATATTTTCACCCAAAGCGCAATACAAAGCATGACAAGAAACCCGGAAAAGAGTATAGGAACACTATCGTGTGATCCTTTATTTGTTTCCATGAGTATATGACTCGGGTCATTAGGTTCGGGTAACTGTGGCAAGTGAATTGTGATGTATAGTAAACAGTCCACCTGGGTCGCGACAGACACAAAGCCTTAGACCGCCTCCGTGGTGTAGTGGTTAGAGCGTCCGCCCGGAGTGCGGAAGGTCGCGGGTTCGATCCCCGACCGCGTCATACCAAAAGACGTTAAAATATGGTACTTGTTGGTCCCTGCCTGGCGCTCGGCATTAATGGGTACAACAAGGACTGGTCGGCTCGGAGTCAGTATAATGTGTCTGAGTGGGGTATTCATGCTTCACTGCGGCATGGTATCTCAGTGGGCTAGCACTATAAAACCAGCTTAAGTCTGGGCTAGTACAAGCAGCCGCACATACACATACACACGCATGCACGTCGTCATATGAGCGAAATATTCTCAAGCACGACGTTAAACCCAATTCCACCACCACCACCACCACAAAGCCTTAATGTAAACACTCCAGTCACTGAAGCAAACGGACTCCATACACTTAGTTATTGTTTTGTGTGTTGCAGGCCGATGTTCCTTGTCAGCATTTTACGCTGGATGTACTCTGACCACACGCCTAGACCGCCATCTAGGATTCTGCTATTAAATATATGTAAGTATATATGTACATATGCATGGATTTTCAAATCTGTGTGTGTTCCAGTTATATATTCGTGTATTAGTGGGGTGTGCGTTTCCCTTTTCTGTATATCTTTGAATTATCTGTCTACTAGTGGAAGCCTGCTATTGTTTCCCGTCTATCTGTTTTATTGTTCACAGATGACTGACAAACATAGTCTGACCACCTATCTAAATATCTCTGTCCGTCTGTCCACTATTGTCTGTCTGTCAGCCTACCATTGTCTGTCTGCCTGTCTACCATTGTCTGTCTGCCTGTCTACCATTGTCTGTCTGTCCGCTATTGTCTGTCTTCCTGTCTACCATTGTCTGTCTGTTCACTATTGTCTGTCTGTCTGGGGGTGGGGGGTCTGTCTATCTGTCAGCCACCTTGTGTCTGTCTTTCTGTCTACCATTGTCTGTCACCCTGTCGACAATAGTCTGTCTATCATTAACTGTGTGTCTGTCACCCAGCTGTTACATCTCTTCATTGCAACCTTTCTTATCGATTTCGGAAATTTAGTCTTTCTCGGAAAATATCTCTTAGGGAGCAAGAGGTAATTACCAGGGCAACCTACATATCTAGATATACCTGAAGGCTGTAATCAATCACGCGTTCCGGTAAAATTCCAAATCTGCATCAGTGAGCACGGCTCATTGACAGTGGCCACAGGGCGCTCATTTAAAGCACTGTTTAATCCCAAACCTAAACCTACATTATTATTCATAAAATTCTAGTAGTATAACATTGGAGACTTGTGCAGAAAGGGTGTTCTGTTGTGACGTAATCAGGTCACGTGGTACCTTCAATCCTCCAGTCAGTTTGTACTCTAGTTTCATGAACCTCATAGTCAATACACGCTGTTCCTCGAGGTCTGTTCTTAAACGCTTTAAGATCGATAATGATTGATGGGTTTGTAAGCGTCTATAATCTGATTCAAACCTGGCTAGCTATTCTCGAAACGTTCGTAGCCCTACGAACTTCTTAAGCCCATTCTTAACACATTGGCTACGATCAAAGTTAAGAAGTCTTAGGGCTGCGAAAGTTTCGAGAATAAGGCCCCAGATCTTAGTGCGCTACACCGTAGGACATTTCATTACAGTTCACGTGACAACGACCAATCAGAGCGTCGGTTACGAGATCACGAAAGCTTGCAATACGAATGATTTTCGAATTCTGCGACTTTGGAAAGGTCAGCTCGGGCTGCATTCCGAATGCCACACAACGTATATAGGTCATTGAGAATTTCAGATGCCCTCGACAATTACTGACAAATAAACTCGCTCCTCTTCAGTTCAGTTTTCTAACTGAATCGAGGACCTTGTCAAAATATTTTCAAAGTGTAATTTTGAATTTAAATCCATTTTGAATATGGTCCTTCTGACGAATTCTACAATCGGATATCTTCAGCTATGTGGAGTGGCTGTATCAAGGACCCATATCTTTTTTTTTTTTTTTTTTTGTTTAACGCCACAATCAGCAATGTTCCAGCTAAATGGCGGTGGTCTGTAATTAATCGAGTCTGGACCAGACAATCCGGTGATCGACATCATGAGCATCGATCGACGTAAGTAGGATACGTGTCAACCAAGTCAGCGAGCTTGACCACTCGATCCCGGTTGTCACCTCTCACGACCTCGGCGCGCTGGAAATCCAGGTTCGGTTTTCTTCGTGGGCAGAATGTATAATGCCAGTTTCACTTATATGCCAAGATATTGCTTGGGAAATTTTGCAAGGGCCATGCCTCATCCTGTTCTAAGCACTATCTTGCTTTCTGGTTCTATGCGTCAGTTGAACTCATTAAATAGAAGGGCGGTGGGGTAGCCCAGTGGTTAAAGCGTTCGCTCGTCACGCCGAAGACACGGGTTCGATTCTTCACATGGATACAATGTGTGAAGCTCATTTCTGGTGTCCCCCGCGTTGATATTGCTGGAAATTTTGCTAAAAGCGACGGACTCACTCATTAAATATATTAAAGTAAACATTACATTGCAATTCATACGTTCTTTCGTAATTGTTTGTTTGCTTTTACGTTCCCTGTCTCCAGCTATTCGTTAACGGAAAGACGGAATAGGACTTTCCACCTTACGATTAAAGATCGACGGCTCCCTTTAACAACACATCTTTGAAGTAACCTTGGGATAGGTGAGGTGAAATTGGGTTTAACGTCGTGCTTGAGAATGTTTCGCTCATATGACAACATGCATGCGTGTGTAGGTGTATGTGCGGCTGCTTGTACTAGCCCAGACTGAAGCTGGTTTTATAGTGCTAGCTCACTGAGATACCACACCTCAGTGAAGCATGAATACCCCACTCAGACACAGTATACTGACTCCGAGCCGACCAGTCCTTGTTGTACCCACCCTGGGATAGGACTTCGACTAGTTTGCTTCGACCAGTTACCAACAGTCACGCTGTCAGTGTGAATATTCCAGTACTGACTAATGATACAATCGAAACATGCATACGATCTTAACTGCAACCTTCACGACAGCTATATCGGCAAGTTGATATATATGTTCTAGAGTAACACCCTTTGTATTCAAGGTGAAGGACACTTGTCAAGATATATACACAATGGTCACTCTCTCTCAGACAACGAAATAAACTGACGTAAAAAAAAAGTACACACACGGTGCTTTGGGATTATTTTCCAAGCAACAACGTAAATTTTTTGAAAAATGTTTTAATTGTGTGTCACATAACGTGCCCATCGCACATGGCCTGGTTTAGCTAAGAAGGCACACCTGTAGAATACAGCACCACAAACTTTACAAATTACATCACAATACCTTATCACGTAATTTATGAAACTTTGTTTGCAAAAAAAATGTTCTGTGACGTCAAACTATTTCTGGGTTATCGAGTCTGCCTATGTAAAGCCAAGCGCTGTGAGGAGTTTGCGTGCTAAACATAGACGTTACTACTCAATGGCTTTGCTAATCCAATGTTCTGTCGTCTCTATACCCATTGTCATTGAGTACGCCAAGCGCTGCGAGGAGTTTGTGTGCTAAACATAGACGTTACTCCTCAATGGCATTGCTAATCCCATATTTCGAGACACAAATGATATAAATGGCAGAAACTAGGTAAGTGTATTAGTCAGTGGAATGTGTACTTAGATTACACAGTGTACAATACTGTTGGCGATATAAACCATCAGATCCTGTTTGTGGACCCAGTCAGTTCGAAACACCCGTGTGAGTACGGCCAGGGATTTTGTTTTTATGTAGTACATGGAGACGAAGTGTGCTTCCCGTATATACGAAATCAATACTCCTGTTGCTGGGCAGTGAGTATCGATTTACTGTCAATAATACTGTGTAGCCTGAACAACAGATCTGTTTGCGTGTCAGGAGTATGGTATGGTATGGTATGGTATGGTATGGTATATGTGTGTGTGTGTGTGTGTGTGTGTGTGTGTGTGTGTGTGTGTATATAATATATATAAATATATATTTAGAGATATAGATATATAGAGATAGAATAATTACCACATGTCATAGCACATGGATCATTTCAATATCAAATGTTCTCGTCACGATATGGCTGAAATATTGCTAAATATTAACTCACTCACTCACTCATAGCACATGGGGATACGCACTCAATCGTACAGGTCATTTCGATCATAAGGAGTAATCAGCAGTGACAGAGGGCATGTATCCGCATCTCTGGGGGGTGGGGTTGTGGTTGAATGTATTGAGCTGAATGCCACATCAATTGGACGGACCAAACCTAGGCTCTAGTAATTTTCGAATACTCAGTGCCATTTATAAAGTGGTCAGATGTAACATATATTATATTTGGGATTACACTTTCTCAGTAATTTTCTAGGACTTTTGTTCGATTAAGTTGCATCCGAGATTCGAGCCCACACTCTCGGAGTAAGACACCAAATCGCCAGCGAAGTCAGCCATCTAACCCACTCAGCCACCTCGGTTTCCAGCCTAACGCTGACAGCATGGGTTCGAATCCTGGATGGGACTCAGCCCAACAAAAGTGGTGTTTTTTTCTTATGAATCGAGATAACGTCTAGACCTTGTTGTGTGACGTAAACCAGAATTTCAGAAAGTTTTCAGGATTCCAACCGAGTCGTTGTGTACCGTTGTGGAGGGGACTCAGTCACGGGGTTGGATCAGAGAGCTGGAAAACCCGACCCCATGTCTCTTGCGGGGCATGATGGCAGGTGTGCGTTACATGGAAGCGATTTGGGTCTGTGTGACGGGTCAGGCGTGACGAACGAACGCTTTAACCACTAGGCTACCGCACCGCCCCAGGTTGTTCATGCATAATTGAAGTAGCATCTATCGACCACGTGGGAAATGATCTGCATATCGTTCTCTCACAACGCCCTGTCCTCCCCGCAACTCTACGGGAACCCGGCAATGTTCTTACTGAAGATGTGGAGCAATCTCCCCTTGCCCTGATATTCAGATACTCGTTATGAGCATGAGGCGACTGACCCAGGCTCTGATTCGCATCAGTTGAATCACTTGCGACAATGAGGGGCTTTTTGGACAATGAATGTGGTTTTTTTTATTTCAAATGGTCATGGCCGGTTTTGTTTACACACAAACTCCTAACAGCACTTGGCTTATTCAATGGCGATGCGTATAAAGACGACAGAACACCAAGAGGAGCTTAGGCACACTCGACCCAGTAACTGTCTGACGTCACCGAGCATTGTTTTTCACAAAGTGGTGCAGGGTTTGTAACATATCGCAATTTTTCACAAACTACGTCATAAGGTATTGTACTTTGTCGGTAATTTGTAAATGTATGCCGGTTGCAGGGTACATGCCGACGGCTAAGCTATGTTTGAAAGTAGATTTGCCCCGTGACTTCGCATATCGCAATCATACTTTATTACCTACGATATCCTCGCGGCTCTCGCTCGGGCAACAACATATCGGGTATGACATGATATAATATCCTCTATACGATACCTACGAGGGCGAACGAGGTTCATATTTTTCATACGATGCCCTAGGTCAAAATATCACTTTGTCATGGTGACGTGACGTCATGAACAATGCTATGCCGTCACGTTTCTTCTGTGACGTTGCTTTCTACATGCGGCGACGGCGGGTAGACAACCTATGTTTGAAAGTAGATTTGGGTTATTTTCCTAAATTTGACGACTTCGGTAATAAACAGAATATTATATGAGTGCCCATATCATACTATGTTTACGACACTCGTGCCTAAATATCGGTATATCCCTCGCTCTCGCTCGGGAAATACAACATTTAGGCACTCGTGTCGTAAACATAGTACGACATGGGCGTTCATATAATATCCTCTATATACAAGGTGGCGAGCGCAAAGGGAGCCGGGAACCAGCTTACAGGGTCCCAATCCTCAAACTTTTCATTTCATTTATATTGATTGTGACGACATAGCCGTAACACGTGGCAGGAAGAGAAAGCGTTCGTAACGTTACCTGTCGTAACTGTAGGCCTATAGTATATCATAGGCTTACGAATGTCGTAGCTCTACGAACGTTTTGCGGATTGGGACACTGAATTCTAAAGGTAGACCGCACAGGACAACCGACTTTTCTTCCTGAACATGGTTTTGTGCATCGTTATCGTTGGGTATTTCAATCGATACACACAAAATGACGGTTTACCTTTTCAAGTGGGGATCCTTTACAAACTGTGAGTAGTATATAATCGGAACATGCGTTTTAAGTTAATTTTTTATTTCGAGACAAGCTGGTCTGAATACTTCGCTCACTACCGACAAGAACGCTCGAAGCTGATAAGCTGATAAGAGGTTCAGAAAACAGTATTTTCATAAGATTGCCTGACACACCACACGTACGTTACATAACATAACAGGTAAGTTAAACGGCGGTTCATTGTAGTCTCATTTGCTCCTCATGTCTTCACTCACTAATTCACCGGTTCACTCACTCAAGTGTGTCTTCATTCGCTCTGCCATTCACCGACTCACTCATTCAATTATGTCTTCACTCACTTATTCACGCAACCCTAACGGGGTCCCAGTAACCGACTGAAAAGGGGATCGGGTGATTTTGATGTGTGATCTGTTTTTCTTAATTGCTGTCTATGCTGTGAGTCACGGGTTTGTCTGGTTCAGACGCCGCTGTTCACATAAGGCCGTGAGTTAGCTGGAATGTTGTCTTGTTAACGGTTATAATTAGACCTTACTTAGTTGCTCATGTTATCAGTCATTGGTTTGCTGGCCCACGCTCGGTTATGAACGCAAAGCAGCTGATATCAGAATACCGCAGTCTGGTTAGCGGTTAGTATTCAATTCACAGTCTGGGTCAACACGTTGTGAACCAAGTAAAAAAACAGATATGTTTGTTTAAGTGTAATATCTCCCCAACCCAACCCAATACAATCCACCCCAACCCCTGCAAGCTTACTTGAGACGTGGGCGGTGGGGTAGCCTAGTGGTTAAAGATTTCGCTCGTCACGCCGTAGACCCGGGTTCGATTCCCCATATGGGTACAATGTGTGAAGCCCATTTTTGGTGTCCCCCGCCGTGATATTGCTGTAATATTGCTAAAGGCGGCGTAAGACTAAACTCACTGACTCGCTCAGTATTCAACCGACGCATAAAGCCGTGTTTCGCAGCCTGATTCCTGAGAGTTTCTAGGACTACAGTCCTGCCCACAACGAAGCACATGTGATGCATGTGGTCTCACCTTAGGCAAGTGAGTTTGTTCAAATTGCCTCTGTTTACCCAGCAGAAAATGGGTACCCGGTGGGATGAAGTCATGTGACTATAACTTTCTAACGCCCAGCTTGGGTTATCCGGGGTAATAAGAATCAGATTCTGATTAAGAGCCGCGAGCAATCACTTGGTGTTTGGAGACTGTGCGCTACATAGAAGATGACTTATTATTATTATTATTATTATTAAAGTTATTAACATGGAGTCGCGTTATAACGGGGATGCTGCTACTCAAGTCCACAAGTCCACCTTAATCAGTTGTTACTTTTTCTATTGCATGTATAAGGATGGTGTACCGGCAATGCGTGAAGTACCTGAGAAACGTCAGACAGAAGAAGCGTCAAGTGCTCAGGTGTCAGTGTACCCGTCTCCGGTGGCTGTTTCTATGGTTACGCGCGAGGCCACGCCAGATCCTTGCAGTGCTATGTATACTCACACTCCTTCACCTACATTTGAGAGTCTTACCACAATCCATGGGGTACTACAACAAGCCATGTTACCTCAGTCGAGAGGAGATCAACAATATGAAATATATGCTCACACAAGTCACTGCGGCATTTAATAAACAAAACGTGACGTATTGGTTGGACTATGGTACGCTGTTGGGGGTCTGGAAAACAGGGGAGATAATTCCATACGACGGCGACATTGACATTGGGAGACATTTCACAGGAATCACAGCTGACTCGCTTATGATCCAAGAAGCACAGAAACAATTGAATCAATACAATGTAATAATCAACAACTTCCAGGCCAAGTATAAAGGAAGCACATCAGATTTATTTAGATGGGAGACCTACGGAAACACGACCAAAATGCTCAGAAAGTGGTACCCGTTTGTCGAACACTTTGGCACCATTGAAGCTATAGCCAATTATTTCATGCCTTCGGAAATACCCTATGACGTCATATTTCCTACAAGGGAGCTAACCGTGTACGGGGTAAAGATGAAGATTCCCAACAAGCCCCTATACTTGCTCAAGAACCGTTATCCATTAACTTGGTTTATATCATTTCCATATAAATGGAAATGTTTCTTTGAGTCAAAGCCAAGCTGAAAACTGTACGTTTAAAACCTTGACTGGATCGCAGAAACGCAACCCAATTATGAGGAGAAAGGTAAAGATTGTCAGCGGGTCATCTTTGAGTTGTCCATCGCGAGTGATATGTCTTCGCCTTGTCCCTGCCTCAGCATTAGAAGCGGGTGTTTTTGCAACCAACGGGACAGGGGAACATGGCTGATATACCAAAGTGGTTGCTTCGTCGGCCGTCCCCGGGTTTTTCCAGATATAACATGAAATGTTCTTTTCCCCTAAACCATTCCGAACATTTCCGAAATTTTGCAGGAATTTGACATTTGTTCTCAAAGGCGAGAGGTTATGGATGTCAACTTCTTTATTTTGTATTCCTCAAAAGTTGAAATCCATAAAGTCTCGCCAACATGTGTATCACGTCTAAATGCCGTTCAAAGAATTTGTTCTGAAGTTGTCGGCAGTAATATACGTTCCAGAATACAGAAATGTACCCAAACCAAAATGAGAATAGAGACCAGGGCCTAGATTTTCGAAGCTCTCTTAGCGCTAAGACAGTCATAAGTGCCATACATTAACATTAACTTACGACTATATTAGCGCTAAGAGAGCTTCGAAAATCTAGGCCCAGGGTCCCGATTCACAAAACGTTCGTAAGCCTATGATAAACTATAGAATTACGACAGGTCGTAACGTTACGAGCGTTTTGTGGAGCAGGACCAAGGGTCACTATCCATAGAGCGTTCGTAGCGCTACGACATTCGTAAGCCTATGATAAACTACAGAGTACGGCAGGTCGTAACGTTACGAACGCTTTGTGGATTGGGACCCAGGGCCCCTATCCATAGAGCGTTCGTAGCGCTACGACATTCGTAAGCCTATGATAAACTACAGAGTTACGGCAGGTCGTAACGTTACGAACGCTTTGTGGATCGGGACCCAGGGCCCCTATCCACGGAGCGTTCGTAGCGCTACGTCATTCGTAATTCTATGATAAACTATAGAGTAACGGTACATGCTTTACAGACAGTTTTATGTATGACCCTCGTGCATTCATCTGCATAAAGTTTGCAGTAGGTTCCCCCAAGCTAGTCGAAAAATTCATCTTCGATGTAACCATATATATATATATAATAGGGTGAGTGTTTTAAGTGAATCTAAACTTTTGATGGTTAGTATATTTCTCAGGAGAGACAAACAGGGTATACTTTTGCACTTACATTTTATTTTACATGCGTTCCCTAACAGTGTGGTGTCCGTGACGTGCTAACGACAGAAGATCTTGACAAGAGCGATCGGACGTCGAATCAAATAAACCCCAAAAGAGTCCAAAACAATATTTGCCTAAAAACACCACAAAAAAAACTTGGCTTAGATTTTTGAAGTTCTCTTGGCGCTAAGATAGTCGTAAGTGCCATACGTTAACATAGACTTACGACTATCTTAGTGCTCAGAGAGTTTCGAAAATCTAGGCCCTGGCATCTGATGCAGGTATAAAACAATCTGTCAGCTACTGGACGAGCTGCTGAGGAGTTCAGGGTAAACTGTGTCTTTTTGAAGGTATCTATTATGAGATATGTTCCATAAGTCACGTGACCTATGAGTCTAGACGATTGCTTATCCCGATGAGTCTACATATGTGTGTGGATATATACCAAATCCACTGATCCTTGCGTTTCAGATCATCTCACAAGAAACGAATGAAATCATTGAAAGTAATTATAAACTTTATCAAAACTGCCTAAGTCCCAAACCCAGCTATGATATCCGCATCAGATGCATGGAACAACCATTTCTTCTGTGTTTCATCTTAACCCCAAACATGGATGTTTATTATCTTTTGAATGGCATTTTATGGTACAAATACAGTAAGCCTGCCATATGAAACATATGTACATCCCATCCCGTTTGGATTAGTGAGTGAGTGAGTGAGAATGGTTTTACGCCGCGTTTAGCACTATTCCAGCAATATCACGACTGTGGACACCAGAAACGGGCTTCACACATTGTACCCATGTGGACCATCAAACCCGGGTCTTCAGCGTGACGAGCTCTATGTACATGATGTTTATATTTAATATATTTAATGAGTGAGTCCGTCGCTTGTAGCAATATTCCAGCAATATCACGACTGGAGACACCAGAAACGGGCTTCACACATTGTTCCCATGTGGAGAATCAAACCCGGGTCTTCAGCGTGACGAGCGAATGCTCTAACCACTTGGCTACCGTCCGGATTAACATATGTCTGAACATTAATATCAGGGCAAATGATGGTGCATCCCTAAGTCTATTCAACAGCCTTATAAACACTACATGAAATTTGTCATATTTTAACCCATTGTCGATGTCATATTTTTCTAAAATATATGTTTAAACCTGCCAGAATGAACGAAGTTGGAACATATATTTTCTTGAATAAATACACACATAAAAGACATCGTTGGTGTTTATTTTTTGAAAAGTCAGAAACGTATGTATACGGAGTATGCAGAAATGAGTGAGTGGTGTTTTACGCCGCTTTTAGCAATATTCCAGCAATACCACGTGGGAGACACCAGAAATGGGCTTCACACATTGTACCCATGTGGGGAATCGAACCCAGGTCTTCGACTTGACGAGCGAACACTTTAACCACTCGGCTACTCTTCTGCCCTGGTTGTGCAAAAAACTGCATGACATTATTATCACAGTGGGGGACTCCAGAAATGGGCTTCACATATTGTACCCATGTGGGGAATCGAACCCGGGTCTACGGCATGACGTAAAAACGCTTTAACCACTAGGCTACTCCACCGCCCTCTTCTCAAGCAATCTTGCTGGGTGAGGTGAGGTGAAATTGGGTTTTACGTCGTGCTTGAGAATATTTCGCTCATATCACGACGTGCATGCGTGTGTATGTGTATGTGCGGCTGCTTGTACTAGCCCAGACTGAAGCTGGTTTTATAGTGCTAGCCCATTGAGATACCATGCCGCAGTGAAGCATGAATACCCCACTCAGACACATTATACTGACTCCGAGCCGACCAGTCCTTGTTGTACCCATTAATGCCGAGCGCCAGGCAGGGACCAACACGTAACATATTTTAACGTCTTTTTGGTATGACGCGGTCGGGGATCGAACCCGCGACCTTCCGCTCTCCGGGCGGACGCTCTAACCACTACACCACGGAGGCGGTCTCAGTCCTGCTGGGGGGGGGTAGTAGGGAGATATTACACTAAAATAAAAATATGTTGGTTTCTACTTGGTTCACAACGTATAGACTAAACTGTGGATTGACGCGAAGTAGCGAGGGATAGTTTGTCCAATTGCTCACAAAGCAAAACCTCGAGTGCGAAATCGATTTAAGTTTGAAGCGCTATTTAAATTATCAGTCCAAGTGTCGGGCGAATATGTGTTGTCTGATAGACTGAGGGTGACATGAGTTTGTAAGGACTATCAGGCCAGATGTAACAAAACACGGCTGAGTGGGTAAGCATCCCCATTTTCTAATCCCGCTGAGCATTATACGAGTATGTATGAGCGAAAACCGCACAGGCGCGTAGCAAGCCAATTCTTTCGTGTAAGCCCGATAGGTTGCAAAGCTTTATATTTAGATAGTATTGAGGGCTTGTCTAACTTTCACGGTGATCTTTACTAAAAACATGTGTAAGCCCGGGCTTTTTTCATAATGGTAGCTACGCCCCTGTCGCAAGATGCAAAAAACAGTCGACCAAACACAGCTTGTTTTCAACTCAACATTTTATAACGTCTCAGTGTTAGCGTGTTTCACGTGTACCATGCAGTCCTCCACATAAGCAAAATCGAGGTACACTGTACCTGGAAGAAATACTAAAGTGATGTATGCACATCAATAGCAAAACGACCAAAAACATGGCACGACTCACTGAAGAACAACGAGCAATTGCAGCTGGTAGCTGCATCAACAGAATCACTCACTTGAGTTTAGACAGACCTCAACACCCATCACAAGACAGCGAGAAGACTGACACCTCCTAACATCGCACATCATCAGGGGCCACGGCATCAGCGACTTGTGTGAGTCGACAGACAGGAACCAGAAGACCGCTTGCAGGTATCTGCAACATGCCTTGCAGAGGGACATCACTGACCAACCGGCATCGTCAGACAAGATTCTGACGTGACAGTCGTTAGACAGATTGTCCGTCCGTCGTTAGAAATTACTCGATTGGCCAAGATTTCTGTTTTCGGGTGAGATTAGGTTCTGCATCTCCATGAATGAAGGAAGAACAAGATCCTACAGTTGTAGAGGGGAACGCCAACTTTGCCTTTGCATTCATGGTAAGGGGTGACATCTGTGACAGTAAGAAAAACAAACTACAAATCATTGTGGTAATCCAAAATTTCTGACCAGACCAATTGTGCGACTATTCCTACGAGGAACCATTTTCCAAAAGGACATCATCAGATCCCCATTGCACGTCTTTGTCAGTATTCTTCATTTCATCCAGAATCATTTCCACGTCAATCAGGGTTGATATCCTGATAACATTTACATTACATTGGCCATCCATTCATGCAGAGATTTACAGGACCAAATTTATTAGCGCGTCCAGAGTCCCAATACTTTTGTAAAAATTCCAATCAAGTGACAATAAGTTATCACTGAGTTTGCTACTAGCTAGGTTATGATATTATTTGCAATTTAATTACTGTAACAATGTGATGATCATGATACAATAATAACAGTATAAATAATAATATTTAAGTGTCTCGGACCCCCATTTTGTTGTCCAGGACCCCTGAAAATAAAGAGTATGAGTCCCAGGGACCCTCAAATACAGGACTCCATGTAAATCCCTGCATTAATGGCCTGGCCTTTCGGTAGGGAGGCCTACAATAGGATTCCTTTGGAATATATGAAAGCTGAAACCAGTATCTTGACAGCTTTGGGAAAACCATGTGTTTTCAGTGGAGAAGATGTTAGATGTTTCCAAAGACTTGGTTCCTGTTGAGTCTCTGTCCGATAGTGGTACACTAGACTCATTCATTATTACATATTGCACGGGGGCGGTGGGTAGCCTCTTGGTTAAAGTGTTTGCTCGTCGTTCGATTCCACACATGGGTACAATGTGTGAAGCCCCTTGCTGGAATATTGAAGCCTAAACCCAACTCACTCACTCACTCACTCACTCACTCACTCACTCACTCACTCACTCACATATCGCATGGATGACTTATGCATCGATCTTTCAGTTGAAAATAGTACGTATTTGTAAAAAATCTGTTAACAGAGAATACCTAGTAACTTGAATTGGGCCTATAAGAATTGGAAGTATTGTACTGAATGCATGTTAAGGATGTACTAGACATTCTCGTAGACTCAGAACTACACAGACACCCTTCATATCGATACTTCAGCAATATTCCAGCAATATCACGGCGGGGGACACCAGAAATTTGCTTCACACATTGTACCCATGTGGGGATTCGAACCCGGGTCTTCGGTGTGACGAGCGGACACTTTAACCACTAGGCTACCCTACCGCCTCTCTTTTTACCGATACTATCAGTCTGATAAATCAATACCATAAACTTGGTATTCCGATCTGATGACACCGCAAATGAGTTCTCTTTCTGTGTTTGAAAACTAGTATGCGACCGGACAGTTTAGAGGTTGGTTGCCTACGTTCGAGTGATAATGGCAGCAAGTCATTTGGCACTTTATCACAAATAGGACGGTGTAATTCTGAACTGCATTTAAAAGTTGTCAAAAGTATTGTAAACAAAAATGCATTATATTCCATTACATTATATTAAAGAGATCATACGCACGTGTGTTTAGACAAATAAAACTGTAGTGTGTTTCTGGTTATCATGCTCATCCGATCAGCGAGTGAGGTTTTATTGTCCCATCGCGTTAAGGCCACGAGCAAATCAACATAAAGATCACGAACTAGGATTTGAACTATGTGGTTAGCACATCCTGGCAGGTCTATGGGATGGAACTCCACAGTGCATTGGCATGCCTTGACTACTGTGGATGGTTCAACATGACCTACTACCGTAAGTACTCAAATATATTAAATACACGCACATGGCTAACAAATATCTTCAGGGGAAAGCATTTTAGAAAAACAAACAAATTAGCTTTAATGTTGACCTTCATCAGATAGATCACTCATCACTTTTAGCTATCAAGGCCATGTCCAAAGAATGTGAATGGTACATTATCATTGGCACACAGTACACATTCCTTCGTGCTCGTCATGACTGGGGGCGGTGGGGTAGCCTAATGGTTAAAGCGTTGGCTCGTCACGCCGAAGACCCGGGTTCGAATCCCCACATGGGCACAATGTGTGAAGCCCATTTCTGGTGTCCCCCGCCGTGATGTTGCTGGAATATTGCTAAAAGCGGCGTAAAACCAAACTCAGTCAGTCAGTCAGTGGTCATGACTGACCGACCACTCCCCAGGGCATGTGTTTTCCACAATAAATTCAACCTGTCAGTTTGATTTATGAGGAAATCCCCAGGTGATCACCAGAATGTCACTTTAGTCTTAGATCCGATCCCAACATGGATCTTACAATCTGTATAAGACTCTATCTCACCTACGTTAGTGGCCATGTTCAATACATCGCTGGCTGCATCTGAAGTACCAAGCACATGCAAAATGGCTCTTATTCGTCCACTTATCAAGAAAACTACACTTGATTCAAATGACATTAGAAATTATAGACCGGTGTTCAACCTACCATTTCTATCAAAGGTACTTGAGAAGATTGTAGCAATCCAAATCAACTGACTCACTGACTGAGTTTGGTTTTACGCCGCTTTTAGCTATATTCCAGCAATATCACGGCGGGGGACACCAGAAATGGGCTTCACTCATTGTACCCATGTGGGGATTCGAACCCGGGTCTTCGGCGTGACGAGCCAATGCTTTAACCACTAGACTACCCCACCGCCCCAATCCAAATCAAAGAACATCTGGAAAAGAACAACCTGATGGAAGAGTTCCAGTCTGCCTATGGAGAACACAGTACAGAAACAGCACTTCATCGTGTGCAAAATTACATCCTTTCTCATCTCGACAATCAGAGAGTACTACTCCTTGTCCTACTAGACCTGTCGGCAGCCTTCTATACAATAGACCACAGTATCCTTCTGTCTTGACTTGAGAAGACTGTTGGTATCACCGGACCAGCACTGATGTGGCTTGAGTCGTATCTAAAAAACAGAACTCAGTCAGTGAAAGTTGGTGAGGCAGTGTCATGTGGCGTTCCACAGGGTTCAGTCCTTGGACCACTCTTGTTTACCATCTATATGTTGCCACTAGGTGATGTTTTCCGGAACCACTGCATTGTCTTCCAGTGCTTTGCAGATGACACCAAGAGCTGTATCACCTCCAGGATTGTATCACTTCAGGACAAGATAACAAAGCTGGAAAGCTGCATCAGTGACATCAGAACTTGGATGAGAATCAACTTTCTCAAACTAAATGACAACAAAATGGAAGCATTCATTTTCGGGTCAAAGCACTTACAGGAACGTATGACAGAATTCTCAGTCAATATTGGACCTGTGAATGTGCCTGCCTCTTCCCAAGTGAAGAATCTAGGAGTTTTCGACTCCCACATGACCATGAACAAGCAGGTCACCCAAATGTCCCAGTTTTCTCATTACCATCTTCATCAGATTGGTAAACTAAGGTGATATCTGTCAAATGAAACTGCAAAAACTCTCACTCAAGCAACAGTCATATCTCGCCTTGACTATGCCAATTCACTTTTGTATGGGATAACAGCTGCCCTGGTTCATCGACTCCAGGTTATACAAAACACGGCCGCCAGGATCATAACTCACTGTCCTCAAAGAGACCACATCACCCCTAAGTTAAGAGAACTGCATTGGCTACCTGTTGCTAGACGCATAAACTTCAAGGTGCTCACCATTATCTACAAGTGCCTGAAGACCAACACTGCTCCATCTTACTTGTCATCTCTTCTAAACAACCATAGACCAACAAGAACTCTTAGATCACAAGATAAAGACACATCTATTTGAAATTAAATAGATTACAAGCGCCTGTAAGCAACATAGCTGGAACTCTGCGCTATAGAAGTAGATTATTATTATTATCATTAGATATTTATCACTTTGCTACTAGCACTAGGAACCCCGAGATCTAGTGAGTTAATATTTATCGTCACATCGGCAATATTTCAGCCATATCGTGACAAGAACAGTTTTTAATTATATTAAAGATCAATAAAGTTAGAAATTAAAAAGCCTGTTGACGAAGAACAGTAAAACTACTAGTGTATCAAAGATATCCATTTAAAACAAGCAATTAAATCTAAAATATTGGAATATTGGATCCTCACCTTTTAAAAGGTTTTAATGAGTATATCTTGTGTGGCCAATACGACATCGTCTTATGATGACCTCTTCAAATCTGGACTGACAACCCAAGTAAGTGTAACCGATAGTTGGTTTTATTGCATGTAATTTATTGATACCTACTTGGGTGTCCCACTTCTTTTGCATCAGATCACGGATGTAAGTTAGCTTTGTAATCAGAGTATGGAATAAGAAGTGGTGTCACAGATTTGTTGAGTGCTGTCTTGGCAGAAAGATCGGCCATTGTGTTCCCAGAAATGCCAACGTGGCTGGGTAACCAACAAAAGACGAAGCTGGGATGAAACTCACCAAAAATGCACAGTGAAATAGAGGACTGGGCCACCTTGACTGAGGCACCCAGATGCCTGTACAAGGAAAAGGGTAACCTCTGACCAGTTGATGTCCCCCGCAGTGATATTATTGGAATATTGCTAAAAGCAGCGTAAAACATTACTCACTCACTCACTGACCAGTTTATCTAATGCCCAACATTGCATGAGTAAGTGAGTGAGTGAGTGAGTTTAGTTTCATGCCACCCAGCATTCCAGCTATATTCGAGTCTGGACCAGACAATCCAGTGATCAACAGCATGAGCATCGATCTATGCGATTGGGATACGACCCTTCCTTGCAAGCTGCTGCATCATCAACAAATAAGCAAACCTGTGAAGATATCTGGTTTTGTTTATTTTGATAGTGATATACCCCAAAGCCGCACGGTAGTACGACCTGGAGTACGTTGTGACACATCGTGAAAGCTGGACGGATCTCAAATACATCAAAAACTTAAACACAGTTGACATAACACTGGCATTACATAATTCACTAAACGATCAACACTATGTACAACTACAGACATGTATTAAGGGACACGCCAGCTGGACAAGCTATGCCAGCACACCTGTACATTTGACACCTTACAGCTTGGGTTACAGTGTGTACAAGGTGGCTGCTTCGGACATACACAGAAGTGTTATGCTAAATATACATGTTCTCATTCTCAGACTTTACTTGCTCATCAGCTGAAAGAAGTATACAGAGTTTCAAGTAGGAATCTACACAAAACTACATGAGTGAGTGAGTGACTATGGTTTTACGCCGCTTTTAACAATATTCCAGCAATAACACGGCGGGGACACTAGAAATGGGCTTCACACAGTGTGCCCATGTGGGGAATCGAACCCGGGTCTTCGGCGTGACGAGCAAACGCTTTAACCACTAGGCTACCCCTGCGCCCCAAAACAACATGAAACCCGTTCCGATGCTGGGAAGTGATACGGCAAAGCCTGTATCCCACATTGTGGATGATACTTCTTAAACCTGACAATATGGAAGAGGGATTTATCTACAGTTTATAAGAGACATATAATCAACCTTAAGTTTGCAGCATATGTCCACAAAAATTCACAGATTGTAATAAAACACTTAAGCTGAAACAAATTTGATAGTCAACTTGTATTTCACTGTGTTAGTTTAACAAAAATGCATTAAATGCAATGTACAAAAAAGGGTTAAGTACCTCTGAATTTAAGAAAATAAGATTTTGAAAGAATTCAAAATTTCTTGCTAAATTTGTCAGCCATGGAACTTAATTATAAATTCTAGATAAATTCCTGCAGAATAAAAATGCAGATAACTATATACCATGGACTGTTTCCTCCTGACAGCTGTTCACAAGGATGATTCACCAGCCACGGCACCTGCTAAACATCTGTTTCCTGCATTGTACATCCTACACAAAGCTTCAGACTAATACATTTCTGCTGGAAAAATTAATAACAAATCTGCACATATATTTTCAAAGAAACATGTGTTCCTACAAAAGAAAATTAATGCATTAGTGGTTGAATCATTAATATATTTTTACCAACTCCATCAACATAATCAAATGAAATATACTACAACTTTATTACAAATATATTATCTGTAAATTAAACTAGATAATACCTTGCTTGAGTCTTCACATCTTCAAACAATTAATAGCAAAATCATAATTTCTTTAACTCAAGATGGGAAAGTAGATTAGTTACTGAGACAAAATACAATGCCAAAGATAAATTATTTTCATCTAAGCCATAACTGCTGACATGTTAATAATGATTATTAATTGTTCTGAAAATTTCCCAGGTGCAATGATTCCTGTTTGCTTCAACAAAGGGTGGCATGTCTGCAAATAACCAATTCAAGAGAGAGTGAGTGAGTGAGGTTATATGCCACTTTTTGCAATATTCCAGCTATACCATGGCGGGGTTGGTACCAGAAATGGGCTTCACACATTGTACCCATGTGGGGAATCAAACCCGGGTTTCAAGCATGGCGAGAGAATGCTTTAACCACTAGGCTACCCCACTGCCCCTATTCACGAGAGAAGTGAATGCATTAACACAAGGATAATGACCAACATCTAATCACAACTGACCTCTCCGAGTACTTAGAAGACTGCAAACTATTGTACACACACATCTATCACCTGGTGAGAATGTAGTCACACGGCAGTGGAATGCATGCTCGCACTCATATATCATAGGTTGAGAATATCAGGGTAGAAAAATGTTTTTCAAATCAGATAATATCTGTTTGGACTTTATAGTGTCTGAGCAAGATGTTTCAGATACTGACAAAAACAGCTTCAAACTTGTCTACTACCTCCTGTTCACTAATATGTTGCATTGTTCTCGTTCAGAATTTTGAAAACTGATACCTCCAAACCTTTTGAGGAAGAATGAAATGTGTTTGTGAAACCAAAGGAATGTTGTAGGTAAAGCTGGATGTATGTTAAACAGGACATATGTTCACATACCTCACCGACATTCAAGTACAGACACTTTTCTGTGAAGAAAGTTTGTAGTGGAATCTGAGGTTCTCATTCCTCATGCAGTTTGATCACAAAAGCTATGGACATGGTAGAAAGTAATTAAAACCTCTCGATACAGCATCTCACACACACACATATATATATAGACGTATAATAGATCTCATAACTTGTTAACTGGAACTGCATATTTCAAATTTTGCATGAAAATGATTCCAAACTGTTTCAGAATGTGGAGGTCTGGTTCACATTTGGAAAATGTACAAAGTGCCTTCTGTAATGCATATAACACTAACTAAATTTTAACAACACATTTACACCGATAATGAGAGCCAAATGTAACAGTCATTCATGACACAAATATACAGTAATGCCACCTAAAAGCACAAATGTCCCCATCAGGATAAATCTCTACAAAACTATTTCTTTCACATGAATCACAGGACACTGAAAAATAAGTACATTTGTCTCAATAAGTTAATGATTTCTTTGAGAGTCTTATATACAGTAAATGAATACCACTTTTAAGTAGTTCTCATGGAAAAAGCAAATGGTACAATGACTTAACATCAGATCCAAACAAATGAATATTTGTTTTATGAATGCTCACCTAAAATAGCATCTATAATAGTATAGAGAGTTAAAGAAAATAGTTGAATACAGATTGAAAACTGCCATTGTTCTTGACACAATACATTTCAGATAATCTGTGAACTAGTTTACCATAAAGGCAAGAAATTCTACACAGCAACAAACACCTCAGAATTCTTAAACATTTTTTATGGAAAACAAAGCGAATTATACTCATATTCTTGATAACAAAAACATACTTACACAAACATGATAAGGAGTGTCTACGTTTGAGTTGCCATGACATTCTTTTGAATAGTATGTTTTTTACTTCCTGGGTGAGTTTAATACAGCAAGCCCTACAGTCATGTAAGAGCCTTTCCACAAAGCGCCAGTAGTGTTACGAACTATCTTAACTATATAGTTTATGATAGGCTCACAAATATGGTCGAGCTACAAATGCTTTGTGCATGGGGATCTGGCTCCAGGTTCTTGACCTTATCACAAGCTCAGGATCAGATATGGGTCAGTCTGGAATTGGAATAAAAAACCAGCAGATCCTTGCACACTTAAGGGACACAACTCTGAACATTAAATTGCAGCAGCTTAAACTCTATCTAAAAGGATACAGATATGCTTAAGAGATTCATGTTTTTACACGTATTTCACAAGGTGTCTGTTTAGGTTTAATTTGTATATAATAGAACATTAATCAAATGATTTATTTATTGGAATGATGTTTGTGGTTACAAAAACAATGTAACTTGTTACCATATATCTTCTTTTGTAGCCATTAACTGACACAATGTTAGGTATATTGATCATTTGTTTTCATAAACTTAATTCAGGAAATATCAATCAAAATAATGGCAGATTCAACTGCAGACAGCTTAGAGAAAAAAACAAGGAAAATCATATCAATTATGTTGAAGCTCAGGAGCTATATTCAGAAAAGGCAACACAATTTGCTTATAAAGGCACATAGTAACCATGGTAATTCAGGACAAATATGCATAATTTGTACCAAAGAAATGGGTAAAATACCATCATATCATTTTTAACAATCTGATATGTGTGCTTTAAAAAGGGGGTGCTATGGTGAAAGGATCAATGATGTCAATTAATAATCATAAATAATAACTAATAATATGTTTTTAAACCAAGTGCCAATAAATAATATGAAACAAAGCACAATGTGTATGTACCTAGGGAAAAGACAAGGTAAAGGTGAAAGGTAGGAATAGAATATGATAAGAATATATATATAAAATTCAACAGAGAAATATGATTGACATCTCATCTACTGAAACTGACATCGTTCAACAACATACAAGGGACTGTGTTGGGTATTACAGGCAATGACGAGTCAATACACAAGGAGGAGCACATGTTTGTGTATGTTGAATTTGTTCCAAATGTTGTTGCAACTGATGACACATCTGTGTCTGGGGAACCATAAATTGTTGCTTTCATGAGCTATGGTAACAGTGAGTTGGGACTAACTCTTAAACAGACTATTCCATTTTTCAAAGAACAAGCCCATTGTTAGAGAAGAGATGTCAGTGAAAGACATTCCCCAAATTGATATAACCCACAAGCAAAGATAATGGTGCTAATATACTTAGAATCATAATCAAGGTGAGATTTGAATCCAAAATCAGCACATCCTGGTATGACAGAGACAATCACTGCACAGGAAAGTGCAACGACCTATCAGTGAATGAGATTACAAACAATGAAACACATCAAAACAGATAGAGAAAAGAATAACCATTTTAACTAATGTTTATCCAATCAATATGCATAAATATCCAGTTTTGAAACTAATGTTATTGTAGTATGTGTTGCCTCATATTCTTTAGTGACTCAGCTTAGAAGCTGACCACACTCAAATTATGTCAAGCATGATTATCTCCCCTTTTTGTAATTATTTCTGAGTGTTGACACAGTCCCCGTGACAAGGTGGATGGAATGTTGAAAGAACATGTGTATATCACACTAAACACAATGCTAGGCACAATATCTTGATGAGGTGCACAATGTTGGAACAAAATACATTTCCATGGGTGAGCTCTCTAAATAAATGACATGTTACTTCAGAAAAAACACCCATCATTGGGTTTCAAGTGATCGTAAAACTTGCACATAAATAAATGTGGTATGTTTTGGATACAAAATACAAACTTTCGAAAACCATGGCAACAAATATCACAGATCTTTCAGATAGGACATAAATCTTTATATTTTCATTTAAAACTCTATTTTCCTTTTTAATTCAAGTTTCATGGAATAAAGTTAACAGTCTTATATATGCAGGAAAATCATCTTTCCTATGTCCATCAACAGGGTTATAGACACAATATCAATATATACTATAACCCATGTGTTCATGATTTGACAGTGTAGTCTATATATATCTCAACTTTCCATGAACAATATTTGTTGAAACCATGCTTTACTAAAATGAATAGAAATGTCTCCCTGTCAAACAGCATTTCTTGTTCAAGAGAAATCAACAGAAATTGAGAAAATCTCTAAACGAACAAAAAGACGCCCCTTGACAAAGCTCACACTTCAAGACGACTAATCCAGACTGAGTGAAATTTTTCTTCCTCTTCTGCAATGAGAGCTCCCCATCCCCCCCAACCCAACCTGTTAAAGACAAACATCTCCCCTCAGCAGCATTGCCATGGTAATGCTAGACATAGAATATCCTCACTTTGGATGTGCTGACCATCATGTCGCCGTCGAAGAAGTTGGTTTCTATGACTACATTGCCACTGAAAAGCAAGGAAGGGTTGTCAATATACTCACACATACAGGATATACAATTGAGTGAGTCAGTTTAGTTTTATGCCGCTTTTATCAATATTCCAGCAATATCATGGCAGGGGACACCAGAAATGGGCTTCACACACTGTACCACATATGGGGAATCGAACCCAGGTCTTCGGCGTGACGAGTGAACATTTTAACCACTAGGCTACACCACCGCCAAACATGCTATTTACAGTGATATGTGCTCATCACAAGGTCAAAATTCATTTTCTGTGTCTATTATAACAAACTCCTTTATTGAAACAGATGCATTTTGGGGAACAGGGAGAATAAAGTAAATGATTTCCAGATAGCCAACTTACTTGAGTACATTTGCTGGCATCATCTGACTCTCTGGAGCGGCCTCTATAACAGACTGCCATGTGTTTGTAGAACCAGGGATGACAAAGCCAAACTCAAAATACCACTCTGAAACAAACAAACTGGGATGTCAGCCTCATTGTTGTGACAAGTGAATGTAATTAACTTTCATGCCCAAGAACACAATATTCCACCTTTAACCACATTCCAATAATCTAATCAATGCTATATAACATGGGAAACATGTACCTTCTAAACATTTCCCTTTGAAGAGGACCCTCTGTTCAAGACGGAATTTCTCCATGGCTTCCTGAGAGGAGAAATTTAACTCCCTTGATACTGCTCTGCATTTTAGGATCTTCTTGGGGACGCGAGCTGTAAAATAACCAGGATGATGTTAAAAAATGCACTGTAAAATGTAATTTTTTTTTAAAAAGAACTGCTATCAAGCAAACGTAGAGAAATGGTGCTGTGTCACAGTGTGTGTCACTATCCTACAGATCTAACCATAACAGTTTCTCTGTACAATGTTTAAGGCTCTCATGACATCATTTACAGTTTATTAAATACATCCATTATCATCATTTTGATGTACGTATGACCAGGGTTGGAAATTAAAACGTTTGATGGTCCAAGACAAGCAACAGTTAAAAAAGAACTACTCTAGTGACATTTCCGTGTGGACAACCACGCTGACAATCAGGTAGACAGCAACCATGCAGTTGAGTGAGTGAGTTGGGTTGGGTTTAAGGCCGCTTTTAGCAACATTCCAGAAATATCACGGCGGGGGACACTAAAAATGGGCTTCACACATTGTACCTATGTGGAAATCGAACCCAGGTCCTGGGCGTGACAAGCGAACGCTTTAACCACCAGATTACCCCACCGTCCACACATGTCATCATATCCCAATTGCGTAAATCGATGCTCATGATGTTGATCACTGGATTGTCTGCTCCATACTCGATTATTTACATACTGCAGCCATGTGGCTGATACACTGGGTGCGGCGTAAAACTAAACTCACAATAGCCATACACGTACCTTCATGTTCAGATTCAGGTGCAGATCTGCAAAACAAATATTATTGCAAATATGAAAAGAGTATACTCATGACATATGCAAGCAATAAAAAACTTGAACGTGGAACCAAGTCTGCTTCACATTTCAATACCATTATTGACTTTTTACAGTTACAAGACCAATTCTAACCATGCTAACCCAGATCCCCAATACTTCCAATATATTTAAATAATCATGTTAACCATTTCAACAAAAGTCTTCTGCTTCCATAACATGTCAGTCCCCTTGGTTACTAAATCACAGTGAATTAGTGCAGAAAGGAATCCTGCATGCAAATGATTACTTCTTATTCAGAAGCTGTACAGAATTTGGCTTCCTTTGCAGCAGGATTCATCAAATAAACAGAGTTAAGTAATTCAGGCAATGCAAACAAAAACTTTAACAAAAGTCGGTCATTTTGGCACCTCATAATAAAGTAATGAGAAAAACCTAAGCTATCATCCTGTGCATTTCCCCATCATTCCAAGGTCATTCAACATCAAGCCAGAACAACAACTTACAGATCATCACTGGATTGCCACATGATTTTCCCATTGTCAGCATCTCTCAAGTTCATCCAGTTGCTGGTGATTATTAAGGAACACAAGATGTCTATCTCTGAACATAACAAGAACAGTGTTTATCTATTGTAACAAAGAAGACAACATGTACAAAAGTCAAATATGCAGCTTAGAATATTTCGATGATTTGTACCAAGAATTTAGAAATTTCAAATTGAATGAGTTCAATTGGGACTATAGGCCTTAATGGACACAAGAGACAAGTACCACATCTTGAGTAAAAGACCTTTGATGAGACTGGAGTGCAATCTCAGTCACTTAGTCAAACAACTCAATCCATTTTGCTCCCTGTTATGAACGGTAGAAGTTATGGTAGACCTATTTCAAGTTGAAATCCCCACCATTGCCTCAAATGTGCCCAATGGGCAAGTGGTGTAAGGCAATTACTTTTCAGTTTTGGATTTGGTGATGTGTGGTTGTTTCAGGATATTGGTAATGTGGATGTTTTTAATGCTATTTAAGCAACGCATATGTGAATGTGATATACAGGTAATTTTTAATAACATAAGTACATCTGATAGGTTAAAATATTATCTCCAGTTAAAATCGTGTTTTGATACAGAATATTATATAATGAATATTAGAAACTGGGAGTTGAGGAGATATTTATGTTTGCTCGATTAGACGAGTTACCTATTCAAACAACTATTGGTCGTAGGCAGGGTATAAATAAATGTTTGTGCTTCTGTAAGAATTGTAATGATAATGTAGTTGAAGATGTTATACACTTTTGTTTGAGTGCCCAATGTATAATTTGATAAGGAGAAAATATATACCATCTAGATTTTCTGATAACCCTACTACTTATTCTTATAAGTTACTAGTATGCAGTAAAGATCATGAAATTATTCTAAATGTAGCAAAATGTGTTAAACATTGTTTGCCTCTCCGCAATGTATAATCATTGTCACTTTCACTTTATCATCATATATTATTGTTCAACGATGTACATGGGCCGATGGCCTAAAAAACGAATAAACGATATAATATAAGAGCAATGGGTAAAATGGTTAAAACTTTTTATAGTACATTCAGAGCAATATTGTGTTAGCATAAAACTAGGGGGATGAATCAGGTCTATCAAAATCCTGTGACTATCTGGAAATAATCCTAAGGGCTTAGCACATTCTTTTTGCACACAGGGGACTCTCAATATGAAATGTTTTGGGTGCAAGGTGTGAAGAGGGTGTCAAAGATCAGGACATGCTGAATGCTTCAATTTTAAGAATAGATGATGAAGTCATCCTGCTGCAGATTAAAGATACTCTGAAGGTTTTAGCCTCTTAAAAAATGAGACTTTAATGCATTCAAATTGAATACACATAGCTCACTGACAATATAGTGACACCAATATATATGATACACAGATATGACTTAATTGGGAGTCCTATAGAATATGTTCACCCTTAACTATAGTCCAACATTCAGCGATGCTGTAGGTACACCTCTAACCCTGGGCTGGGGTCCAACAAATTCTATAGTTACACCCGTTACACCAAAAGAGATTTCATCTCGCCAACACTTATCAATATATTTTCATTCCCTATATGCATGCTGCATCATCACACTGAATGTTGCAGTATTTCACATCAATTTAGCTAAACATGAATACCAACCTAATTGTTACGTTCAATAATGCAGTTGATGCTACATCAGTACCCGACATCGTTTCCACCAACACGCAATGTCGATATTCGTAAGGTTACTACACGAAACTGTCCTTTATTGCGTTTACCATGGTAGTGATACGCCATATGAGAAGGCGCATTTCTACTAATTACTAAAGTGTATTTGTCAAATTCAATACAAGAAATGAATCATAACTGCAAACACATTAACAGCAAAACGATCGTTTTGACACATTTGGTCCATTTGCAGTTTCCAATCTTCTGTCGGTTTAAACTAAGAGAAATCTAATGGTAAATGATGGTTGATTAAGGATACAGCCTGAATCCCTTGAGAATATCTTCTGCTTTAGCTGGCATGTTGATGAGTCGGTGGTGTTGTTGTTTGCTTCGAAATCGTCGACTATCGGTTTCCAGAGAACCAGTCAACAATCCAATATGGCGTTTAGACTTGTTCCGATTACGTCACGAATATTCATACGCAAATATAATACTAACCAGAGACTAATCTTAATTTAGATTTCAAAACGAGAACGTCTGTCGCAATCCAGCAAACCAGCGTCTTGTTCCCATTGTTATTTTCTCACATACAGCTATAGACGGAGAGCAATGGTATCAGCTATGATAGAAGAACCTGACTTATAACGGGAACTAGTCAAGTGGGCCGAAGTACAAAAGGGCCGAGAGGTGCCAAGTCAAAAGGGCCGATGGAAAAAGTCTAAGAACCGAGGTGAAAGTCAAATGGGCCGTGACAAAAAGTCAAAAGGGCCGAGGTGAAAGTCAAATGGGCCGAACAGAAAAAAAGTTTAGAAAGGTTTTACATTATTTATTGACACATATAGCATTGAAACATAATATCATAATGTCAGAAGCGCAGTTGGGCTGAGCTGTCCCTCTTTGTACAGCCGCCAAGCAGCGAGTCGAGATACTATACAATACAAACCTTAGACTCCCATGTTTTAATTAGATTTGGATTAAAAACTTACAACAACAAAAACAAACATCCCATGTTTTAATTAGATTTGGATTTAAAACTTACAACAAGAAAAAACAAACATCCAATACGGATTAGTCATGACACTGAGTCAAGACACTCCACAATAAAAACATTTGAGTCTCATGTTCAAATTCCATGTAAAATAACAACAACGAACTAAACACTATTTTACTATGTAATTTATTTTACAAAAATATTTTTCGGCCCTTTTTTCGGCCTTTTTGACTTTTCATTTCGGCCCATTTGACTTTTAGCCTCCGCCCTATTGACATTTTTTTGCCCCTTTTGTCCTTCGGCCCTTTGACTACAACCCTTATATAACACTGTCATGTGAAAAGTTGTTTCAGATGCAAACTTTGAATACTGTTGAGAAAACAGACGTATGCTCCAATTTCCGATAGCATCATTTCAGCGGATTTCTGGAGACAGGTATCACAGTGATCTCGAGCTCTGTGGTTGTTGGTAGCGCGTTTCGCACCACACGTGAGTGTTTCGCCGCTTTTAGCAATATCACACCGGGGTACACCAGACTTGGGCTCCACACATTGTACCCACCACAAGTAATCGTTTAGTTAGATAAACAAACAACTTGACTTGACATGGTGATTCAAAGAAAATTACCTTATACTATGCAAAACATTCTCGTGTTTTATAATACAATACCACATAACAATATAAACATATTTTTATACAGAGCCTAGGCTACAAAAGGACACGGCACCTCACCCTTTTGATACAAAGGATAGACCGAAATTAGCAGAACTATTTAAAAATGCTGTCAAAGCTATAAAATATGGTTACAGTTACAGTCTGTCTAGATTCTAATAACATGGTTTAATGCATCAAAAGGACTGATTTCAAAAGTTTTTCTCTGGAAGAATATTGTAAATGTTAGTTTCAGTTTGTTTTCTCCTGTAGTTAAAAAAGAACGCATTTATCAGTTATTTGAGTCAGTTTTACTTTAGGAAGTAAAAACCCTGCAAGTCTTAGAAATAATGAAATGTCTGAACGTTTTCGTACCATTATTACACAATTTTCACGAACTTGAAAATGTAAAATGTGACTGCCCCCAAAACGGGGGAGCTACTACAAAAGTTTACACTAAGATGTTGAATGCAATTAGAAGGCCTGCCAGTCACATATACTCATGCCAATAATGGTTGTCACCCCCCTCCCCACCCCAACCCCACACACACTTCACACCCCCACCCCACACCACCTCTCCAATTAAAAACATTGAAGGGGGTGACAGCCATTATTGGCATGAGTATATATTCAGAGAGTTTTGTAAATGTCGTTAGGTCAGGGTAACATGTACAATAATAAGCAATGAATTGTTGAAAGCATGCCCTACACCCAGTGATAGATCTGTAACTGAAGACAACGGCACAACCAATAATCAGTACAACATACAAAAGGTTCAAACCGTTGAGTGGGTGAGTTGGCGAGTTAGTATCAATCCTCGCCGTCCAGGTACGACACACAATCTGCTATCAAAATGATCGAGATTCCTACCGTATCGATCGCTAGCTGAAGGTTTGAAGAATTTTAGAAGCACGTGACGTAAAACCGTTCCAATGCAATGCGTATTCAAGCAACACCAGGTAAAAACAACCAGGTAGGAAGTTTTATGTAGAATAGAAATCAGGCGAAAAAAGATAGTCCCACGATTACAAACACGTATTTTACATTAAGTGGATATGCATATGTTTAGATCTGTTTGATAATACAATGCTCAACAATGGTTCTGTTGCGGTGTGTTCAGCAGACGCCGATAATCATAATATAGCATAATGGTTAGTGGATTAGAAAATAGTATTTCATTATGACGTTGAAAAATGAACAACTTTTCAGGCAGAACACACACCCAATATCACTATGTGCTTATACAAAGATAGCATTTAGTTTACCTCAAAGTAATCATTCTGTAAATTAATACAACTGTGTTTCAAAATAAGATCAACACATGGGGAACTATTTGAATACAGAGGTGAAGGACACCGGAAATAGCAGCCATCAATAGTCAGGGATGTACTTCGGTCAAAATACAAACATCAACTTTCAAGGTACAAAGTCGATTAAACACGTAATTGCCTCTAAAACACGACCTAACAATTAGAATTTTCCAAATGGAGAGCTAGGTTTTAAGATGTTGACATTCTGAAACTATTTTGAGGAAGAAAATAAGCTAAACGTTGTCTTAGCCAGAGTTCACGTCAATCCGGCCCGATCGTGATCCGACTGCTTCTCTTAACTGTGGAAGAACCACGGAGAAGCATGAAATAGAATTGTGTTGAACTGACAAATGCTCTTGGTCGAGTGTAACGGTGAAGGTGACACGGTAATTCTTGTGGTTCAAATCATTTATTTCATAACTCATTTATGGTGACGATTATGTAATTTATGAGGTGAGAATGTTCACAGTAAGAACACACACAAAAAACAACAACAATAACCATAAACAAACATTCTGGACTTTCATTGCAATTTGCACCAAGATGTGACATTGCTATTTTCTTCTAAAGGCTCTGCTGGACACTTCTGATCTTCTGGGTCGCATTAAATACAGTGCTACATTAATACATGTATAATCCCTCAGTAAACATTTAACTTCTTCTTTTCAGTTTGTATTGATATATTTGTAAAAAATCATGCTAGCTATTAGAAAACACAACAGCTGCAGTGAGAGGAGAGTTTTCGGGTCAATGACTGATCCCCATGTTGATTTGTGTAAAACCAAGTAAAGTGGATTGGATGGTTTCATTTCAGGATATGGTTTATAATATCACCATCATCAGTGTGGATTGTTGCTCAGACCTTCAACCACTGGTTTGTTTGTCCTAGACTGGATTCTTTGCAGTGTGTCCTGATACAGTTGGAATACTTCTGACTGCAATAACATTCACTAAATCACATCACAGACATTGGCTGCATGAGCATTGTGAGATCACGATTACTGGTGATCACAGATATTGTGTTTACACATTGCACACATGACAGATTACTAAAATTTATTACCAGGTCTGAGGTCCAATCAAAATATTTCTTCTTTCCCTTACTCTAACCTAACCCTCAGCTGTAAATAATACATTTTTGTGAATGCTCAGATTCAATTCATGTTCTGTGTTTGTGGAATCACTTTCATTTTCAAGTTGTGCATTCTTGTTCAACTCACTGATGACCAGAAATGACCTTTTTTATGATGATTCCTCATAAATACTAAATAAACAGTTCTGTGTTGAAAGCATTGATTTCATTTAGTACAGTCTGAATTAACATTGGTTTAGTGGGGAAATAGAAAAAATGAACAATACAATTTGAGGTACCTGCTATTTTTACTCTTATTTTTTAACTGATAAGATGCAAGAAATATTATTTGTATGGTGATATATTGTTACATTGTTATTTATTACCATACATGCTTAATTAAAACTGGTACGTTTGAGAAATTACTGTTTCTAATTGCAGGTTTTTTAATTTAAAAGAAAGATGGCCGGACGTGGACTGGTTGATGGGGAGTGTGGGGGAAGCAACTCCCTCATGAAGTTAAACTCACATTTCACTCGGGATCGGGCATTTAAGCAAGTAAGTGAATATGTAATAATCTGATACAACAACATTTAAGGTTAGGTACAGGGGGATCGCTTTTGACTTGATACTTTGTAGTGTTAGAACTTAGGGGATCAGAGTAGTAGAGAACTAACTTAGTTCAAATGTTGATGAAACTTTGAATGTTTTGAACAGATAAACTGTGCAATAATATACCCTTTATACAGGTCTGTTTCTGGAAACAGTCTGAAGTATACACAGGGAAATATTAACATTTTAATAAAAAACTGCATTGAATTAGAGACATCTCAATGAAAACTGCAATGTTAGCAATTATATATATATATATACATATCAACACTGTTGCAGATCATTTTTGCACACCCATTGAAATTATGATTAATTGCTAAAAAATATTGTTTGATTTTATTTTTTCAGGAAGGTTTTCGACCGCCAGGGCAGGGACCCCCAGTTGGAGTTCAGGTAGTGTATCTTACCGCTTAAGTTCATGTATTTGTATGTTTCCTCAAACAGTCTTTTACCTAGTTATCTGAGGTGCCCCAGCAAGGAGTTTAGAGTTCTGTCCCTTAGGAGTGCCAGGATGTGCTGTTTTTGGATTTCAGTCCCGTGACTCCCAATTCTTTAAGCTGACAAGTTGTAACACAGAAACTGTCAAACTGCAGTTTTGGTTTCAGCTTTGTAGTACCCTAAGGTTTCATCACATCCTTTGGCTCCTGTGCTTTGTTCACAGCACTGTATTAATGTGTGACAAATATGGATTACGTGGTTATGCTTGGTGACTTGTTAGGTTGCTGAGAATCTGAACAACTGGTTCATCTTGTACAGATTCTATAATATACAGGTTGTTGTTATCATGTAACCGGAATATTGTTGACTGTGACCTAAAACAATAAACAATCCACGACAAGTTTTATGAGTTTGTGATTAAAAGTGAATATTATGAGAAGCTAATCAAAGTCCCACAGAAGAATATTTGCAAAAGATATTTACTGATGAAACTAAAAATGAAGGCTGGAATGTGTATTTTAAAGAGTTAGGAAATGACTAATAGACATGTAAAATGGCTATAAATGTCTTGCATGGGCAGATCCAGGAATTTTGAGAGGGGGGGAGGTGTTCAGGGGATTCGAACCTGGTGGATGGTGGTCTAGGAGATAGTGTGGTCTTAAGTCAGTGGTCAAAAGTGGATAGCGGATCATGGCCTAGTGGATAGTGGTCTAGGGAATAATGGATTGCGGTCTAGTGGATCATGGCCTAGTGGTCAAGTGGATGGTGGTCTAGGGGATAGTGGATCATGAGTGAGTTGGATTTTATGCCGCTTTTAGCAATATTCCAGGAACATCACCCATAATATGATTTTAGTACTCACACATTGTACCCATGTGGGAAATCAAACTTAGAGTTTCGGCATGATGAAAGCGTTAACCACTAGGCTACCCCACCACCCCAATATAGTGGATCATGGTATGTGGGATAGTAGTCTAGTGGATGCTGGTCTTGGGGATAGTTGAACATGGCATAGTGGTTTAGTGGATCGTGGCCTAGTGGATAGTGGTCTGGAGGATAGTGGATCATGGCCTAGTGAATAGTGGTCTAGTGGATCGTGGTCTAGTGGATAGTGGATCATGGCCTAGTGAATAGTGGATCATGGCCTAGTGAATAGTGGTATTTTGAATGGTGGGCTAGGGGATAGTGGATCATGGTATAGTGGATAGATAGTGTCTGGGGAATATAGTGGATTGTGGTCTAGTGGATAGTGGATCATGGCCTAGTGGATAGTGGTCTGTCTGGGGATAGTGGATCATGGCCTAGTGGATAGTGGATTATGGTATAGTGGATAAAGTCCTAGTGGATAGTGGTCTAGTGGATAGTGGATCATGGCCTAGTGGACAGTGGTTCTGGGGATAGTGGATCATGGCCTAATGGATAGTGACCTGGGGATAGTGGATCATGGTCTAATGGACAGTGACCTGGGGGATAGTGGATCATGGTCTAATGGACAGTGACCTGGGGATAGTGGATCATGGCCTAATGGACAGTGGTCGGGGATAGTGGATCATGGCCTAATGGATAGTGGTCTGGGGGATAGTGGATCATGGCCTAATGGATAGTGGCCTGGGGATAGTGGATAATGGCCTAATGGACAGTGGGCGAGGGATAGTGGATCATGGCCTAATGGACAGTGGCCTGGGGATAGTGGATCATGGCCTAATGGACAGTGAACTGGGGATAGTGGATCATGGCCTAATGGACAGTGACCTGGGGATAGTGGATCATGGCCTAATGGAGTGGCCTGGGGATAGTGGATCATGGCCTAATGGACAGTGGCCTGGGGGATAGTGGATCATGGCCTAATGGACAGTGGCCTGGGGGATAGTGGATCATGGCCTAATGGACAGTGGTCTTGGGGATAATGGATCCTAGCCCTAATGGACAGTGGTCTAGGGATAGTGGTATGGGGATAGTGGATCATGGCCTAATGGACAGTGGTCTAGTGGATAGTGGTTCATGGCATAGTGGCGCCGATTTAGGGTAGCCTAGTGGTTAAAGCGCTGGCTCGTCCGCCAAAGACCCGGTGGACTCCCCACATGGGCACAATGTGTTAAGCCCATTTCTGGTGTCCCCTGCACCGTGATGTTGCTGGAATATTGCTAAAAGCGCGAAACCAAACTCAGTCAGTCAGTCAGTCATGGCATAGTGGTCTAGGGAATAGTGGATCATGGCATAGTGGTCTGGAGGATAGTGGATCATGGTCTAGAGGACTGTGGTCTAGGGAATAGTGGATCATGGCATAGTGGCTAGGGAATAGTGGATCATGGCATAGTGGTATAGGGAATAGTGGATCATGGCATAGTGGTCTGGAGGATAGTGGATCATGGTCTAGAGGATGGTGTAGGGGATAGTGGATCATGGCATTGTGGTCTAGTGGAATAGTGGATCATGGCATAGTGGTCTGTCGGATAGTGGATGATGGTCTAGGGGATAGTGGATCATGGCATAGTGGTCTGGAGGATAGTGGATGATGGTCTAGTGGATGGTGGTCTAGTGGATGTTGTCTGCCTGGGGAGCCGAAGGTCGGTGGACCATGGCAAAGACTCTGAAAGTTCCAGCAGACACTTACAAACACACATACTAATCCCAACCCACCGAGGAATGCTTGGAGACATCTGACATGTTTTCTGTGACTGTTTGTAGGCTGGGAAACCCATCACGCAGATAAGTCCAGATGAGGTGAGTAATTGGAATAATTGATGCAAGTAATGTTCACAATATAAAAAAGGTCTACCATTTAATTTTTTCCCATCCATACTTTCATGATGCATTTTACGACCCTTCATTAATACTACTGAGCTTAAAATATAACATAAGGTTGAAGATGTGTTATCTTCAGTTGCTTTGTTATATACTAGCCACATAAAGAAACTGTGCATTGTCAAAATATTATCCCAGTTGATAAGTAATGCGATAACAATGTCAAAGGTACATATAAACTTTAATGGAGGGATCATGAGACTGTCCACCATCGGCATTGAGAACAGCAGTGCATCGGCGACGATAGAGCCTATCAAGCGTGCAAGGAAGGCTTGTGGGATGTCATGCCAGATTCTCTCAAGTTCTGTTGCAAGGTCAAGGGCGTTATCTGGCGGATGAGGAAGGCGGCGTGAGGCGTGCGCCGATCCATCTCGTCCCAAACATGCTCTATCGGGAGAGATCCGGTGAATTTGCAGGCCAAGGCAGTAAGTCAACGTTGTGGTGTTGCAAGAAATCCATAGCAACCCTTGCTGTATGAGGCGGGCATTGTCCTGTTGGAATGTTAACCCAGGGCCATGATGTTGCAGAAAAGGAATTGCCACAGGTCGAAGATCCCTGTAGCCCACACCAGTTAAGTTGCCCTGAACAATCACCAAAGGAGTTCTTTGGCGTGCTGTTATTCCACCCCAAATCATCACGGAACCACCACCAAAGCGATTCCTCTCAAGACACAGGCCTGTGCATAACGTTCTCCCGCACGTCTATAGGCGTTGACGTCCATCACTATGGGAAATGTTAAACCTGGACTCATCTGTAAAAACAACATTTCTCCACCAAAACAAGGGTCTGCGGACATGATTTTGGCACCACATTCGGGCGAGCTTGTCGATGGCGTTGTGTCAGGATAGGCCGTATGGCGGGACGTCATGGTCTGATCCCGTGATGGCGTAAGCGTTGTCGAACTGTGTTGGGGTGGATCACGGCGAAGTCCTGGGATGGGTTCGGGCAGTCATCACTGCAGTCTGAAACCTGTGGCGAAGATGGGTCACCCTTATCCATATGTCCTGTCTTGGCGTTGTTACTGCGTGGACGTCAGAGCGTGGGCCGATCGATGGCGTCATTTGTGTTCTGGTAGCGTCTCACCAGTGCAGAAATGGTGTTCGGTGGCAGTGGAAATGTGCAGCCACTTGTCGTTGAGACATTCCCCACGGACCATCCCAATGGCCTCATGACGTTGTGCAGACGTGAGCCTTGGCATGCTATGTGTTTCAATAGCCGTTTAATTTTTTGAACGATCGCAAGGGCAGGGGTTGAGCTTTCCAAAGTGACAGTATTGTGTGGCATTCATTTGCTCTGTTTCTCTTTCCGGAATGCATGTGCAACAACGTATTGCACGTCTCAGGGGCGAACCCACTGGCGTCACGGAACGTGGCGATGCATGCATGTTGGATACATGTCACTAATCTCTGAGTTTAAATCCTTATGTGTCTACACAGGTTTGATACATTTAGATTTTAATTTTTGTATGCACAGTTTCTTTATGTGCTTTGTTATATATCATCAATAAGAAACTGCCCTATTGGTGCTCATTACATCAATCACTGGTTGGTCTGGCCCACTTTAATAAAAAAATATTATTTACAGACCAACATGATAAAGGTAGAGTATTGTTGAGTTAAGTGTTAAAAAACAACCAAGCAAAGGTACTTTATATATGAATAAAATGTTTGAGAGAACATTAGTAGGTCTCCAATGTTCAACTTGGTATTGGTCAGCAACAACCCTTGCTTGCTGTAAGAGGCCATTAACAAAATTGAGTGCCAAGGCCAGCTGACTTGGTTTAATCATGTTAGTGTATCCCAGTTGGGTAATTGATGACCGTGATGTCAATCACTGGAATATCTGGTCCATCACTAGGGGTGGGTATTGCAGAGAATTTTCATATTGCGATATATTGCGATGCGAAAGCATGTATTGCGATATGTATTGCAATATATTGCATGAAGTATTTTTAAACAAAAAAACTACTTATAATCGAGTTACTTCTTGATTTATAGAGCAAAAACACAACAAAATCAGTAGGCTTGATTAAGCTTTAATAACAACTTTTAATTATGATAAAATAAAAATGTGTATACTATTTGGCACAAATGAAACAAGGATATATCCGAAGATTTCCGAGTGTTACGAAGTTTTCCGAATGCAAGTCAAAATACCGGTTTTCGATCAGCGCATCGCAATACGTATCGTTTTCATGTCTGAACTGGTAAATACCGGTAAACCGGTTATATTACGCAGCCCTATCCATCACTAAGCTGGACTATTTTTTTAATAGGTCCTTAAACAACAAACAAACAACACAAAACAAAAGCAAGTAGGTGTACAGCGTGAGTTGTGTGTTTCAGCTGGTGAATGAGTTCATGTTGGGGCATCAGACAGCGATCGCCCCCCAGACGTTCCACATGAGCAGTCTGCTGCAGGAGATGAGAGAGATCGAGGAGTCGGAGATGAAGCACATGCCACACAGAGGTGAGGGTGTGGTCAATCATCAGGGTTCGGTGTCAGAATAGGTCCCCAGAACACTGTACTTGTCTCACCTTGAACGAAAGCCCTCCAATGTTACTAGTAATAGACAAGTGTCACTGTATTTTTACTTGTTCTCGGCACAATTTGGGAATATATGAATTTCGAAGCTTCAGCAGCAGGTGCTTCTCACTGCTATGACTTGACTGAGGATTGGATTGTGGTGTTGCATCATACCCTGATGGTATGGATTGTCGCTCATGCTATCGACCACTGGAAATTCTGATCCATACTATTTACATGACACATTCTCCAAGCATTGATGTTACAAAGTGCAACGTAAATATAATTAAGTCAGTTATCCATTTGTCTTTTTGCCAAGAAACTTTGTTGCTACATTCAGATATTGATATAATGGATTCCGATATCTTCATTGGTGAAGCGGTGGGGTAGCCTAGTGGTTAAAGCGTTGGCTCATAACGCCGAAGACCCGGGTTCGAATCCCCACATGGGTACAATGTGTGAAGCCCATTTCTGGTGTCCCCCGCTGTGATGTTGCTGGAATATTGCTAAAAGCGGCGTAAAACCAAACTCAGTCAGTCAGTCAGTCAGTATCTTCATTGGTACTTGTTGTTGAAGCTTGACATTTATTCCCATACAGCTCCTGGAATAGCTGAGTTGGCATCTGACGCCAACTGGGCTGAGGAATTCCTGACAACAGAGAACATGGCAGCAGCTGGTGGAGATTGGGTGAAGGAATTCCAGGGGGGCCAACAGGCAGCGGCAGCCGATGCCAAGTGGGGGCAACAGGCAGATGGAGTACCGAACCCACGCCTTAGATAAAACATGGCGTAAAGTTGCAACTGACCTCATGGTGATTACAGTTAGAAAAGTTACAACTGGTACCCAACAATGTATGCTTGTGACATGATGTGCTTTGATGGATCAGTGGGCTCGGTGACTCAGTTGACAGTGTAGACATGTCGATAATATATCAGTAAATAATCAGTCATTGGATTGTCTAGTCCAAACTCAGTTATGTATAGCATGCTGCCACACCGTTGGTAAATGGCTGACTGTGGTTTTAACAACAAACATAACAAGTACATGAATGGGATATATTGAAAATGTGTGCTTCGTTTGACATACCTCCCTAAAATCTTTAACATACAAAACCTTAACCTATATTGTGCCATCGTTTGTATGATCCCTAGGGAGTTGAGATTGAAAATACGATGTGCTGTTGTGATGGACATCCAATGATCGAGGGAAAACAAAGCGCCTTTGATCAGTTGTACTGGATATTAACATACAAATGTTTGTTTGTATACAAATGTGTATGTATGTATGTATGTATGTATGGATATGATGGATGGATGGATGGATGGATGGATGGATGGATGGATGGATGGATGGATGCATGGATGCATGCATGCATGCATGTATGTTTGTTTGTAAGGCTGACGTACCTTGATGTGGCTATTATCAAACCTGTCCATATAGCTAGTTTCAGAAAGTAGAGCAAGAAAACCTTTAGTAGTGTCAAGTTCTGCACACACATCAGTAATATATATTTGTTAATAGGGTGGTGGGGTAGCCTAGTGGCTAAAGCATTCACTCATCACGCTGAAGGCCTGGGTTTGAATCCCCACATGGGCACTTTGTGTGAAGCACATTTCTGGTGTCCCTTGCCATGATATTGCTGGAATAAGTGCTAAAAAAGTCACTCCTCCCTGTATTTGTAAAACCCCATCCACTCACTCACTCACTGGGTACTAGTGGTTAAAATATTTGTAAATTCTCCACATCCACCCATATTGCCCTGATTGTTGTCATCTGGTTTGGTTGAACCACACTTATTTATGTACAGTTGGCTATGTTAGTGTGTATAGATTTGTGACTATAGATTAGAACCTCATTTTCCAGTAGATTGATGCTCATGCTATTGATCACAAGATTCTCTGGTCCAGACTCGATTATTTACAGACCGCCGCCATATAGCTGGAATATTGCTGAGTGTGGCGTAAAACTAAACTCACTCAATCACTCACTCACTCACATTTTCCAGTAGTCAACTGTGATAGTGTAAAACCTGATTCTGTAGTAGTCCATTATTGTTTCACCAGGTCGGAGCAGTACGAGCGAGAGCAGCTGGACGATACCAAGTGGATTGATGAGTTTCATCAAGGCAGTGATTTAGAGAAGACGGCCAATGATCTGCTTGGCTCTGTAGATGACCCCAAGTTCAGTAACTCCGAGGTAATGATTGTGTTAACATATATCATGACAGTGAGTGAATATCTGAGCGAGTGCGGTCAGCAGTATTCCATTTGAGCATGGGACCATGTAAATTACCAATTGTGGTCCAGGCAAACCAGTGGTTGATAGAATGAGCTACAATTAACATCATCGGTGTCACACTTTGTAACCACTCTCAGGGGCGGTGGGGTAGCCTAGTGGTTAAAGCGTTGGCTCGTCACGCCGAAGACCCGAGTTCGATTCCCCACATGGGTACAATGTGTGAAGCCTATTTCTGGTGTTCCCCGCCGTGATATTGCTTGAATATTGCTAAAAGCGGCGTAAAACTAAAACCCAGTGTAACCACTCTCAACAAGCCTCGTTAGATGCCTACAAATGTTGACTGAGTGCTCACAATTACAGAGTGTGAGGTAAAGTTTATATTCACATTTGGATCTTTTGTGGTATCTTGTGTGGTATTATACCTACCCTGATGGTGTGGGCCGGTACTCATACTGTCAACCACTGGTTTTCCTGTTTAGATTTTAAGTATTTAACAGCTGCATTGATAGAAGGATTAGTGTAGATTGTGGCATTAGAAAACACTGACTCACTCTGCAAACTAGAGTCTTCAATATCATGAGCTCTTGCAAACTCATCTTGATGCACAAGTTACTAAAAGAATTGTTTAAAATCTGTCTCCAGGAACAAAGGAACCATTTGAGTAAATTTCCTTAAGCCTCCCATACCTACTATCAAGCCCAAGTTTGTAGCCTTTGCTTGTCAGGAGTTTTCTCCCTTTGACCAATCTAAACTTGCCTTATGTTTCGTGAAATGAACAAGAGAAACACTATGGTTGCTTTATTCTACAGGGTATTTGGCAAATGTTTTTATGACTTTAAAAATATTCTTGAGTTGCCATGAAGTCCCGGTTTAACTGATCTACTTCCAGTTCATGAAGTTTGTGAAGCGTATTGGTGATGGGGAAATTACAATAGAGGATAATAAAGTGCTACAGAAAACTCCAGGTCAAAGGTCAGATGACTGGGCGCAAGAATTCTCAGCTGGGCAGGTAGGGACATCTAGCATGGGGTCAGAGGTCAAAGAGGTGGATGGATTAATAGATGTGTTGTTAGCTGTTTCATTTTTTGCAGCTCTCACAGCTATTGCTTTTTAGTCTATGTAAGCTGGTCTCTGTGAGCCTGTGTCTGTAGTGCTGTTCTCCATTCCAGTTTCAACCTCTGTGATTGTGTTCTTGTTACATTGTCTGTGTGATCTCTTTTGAGTCTGTACTCTCTGTGAAATTTGTGAATGGTGCGAATCTGTTAAAATGAAGCATGTGTTTTGGTAAAAGATTTCCTTGTTTCACCTAGCAATCCTAACACAATGACTATCATAAGTAGGTATTTATCTGTGGGAGTTGGGACACTTTTAGAGTTCTGTGTGGATCGGGACTTGTGAAAATTTAAGCTTGCTGCTTCATATGGGACAGGGGTGGAAATAACCCATTGCCCGACCTCCCAGTCCAGTGGATTCTTTCTGTCGATTAAGCAAATTTGTATATCACGCTGTACCGTGTCCAGTTGACTTTCCAATGTTAAATATGTTGCTTATTTAAAAAATCAACAAGAAAATCAGCCGGTATAGTGGAAAAATTATCAGGGCAAGTGATTTTACATGTGCCACTGTACCGGAGTAAACTAGCAATTTTAAAGTTATTTCCACCCCTGTGGGGAGTCGTGTTTAGGTTCCAAGCAACCTGTGCTCGTCATAAGACGTGACCAGAGGGACGGGGCGTAGTGTCTATTCTAGGACGCGCGATTGCGTGATTCGCACTGATAATTATCAAATTGCCCCTCATAAAAACAGCATAGTGCGAATTGTTGTGCATAGGAATTTTATCCCTACCTACCTTTCAAAAACCATACTTTATATTGACAGAGAATGATTTATAAATCGGAGTCAGCCACAGAGTCTAAATTGCATGTCATTGTATCCCGATGTTGGGATTGTTCAGGATATTGATAACTCGAACGTCTGGATTAGACTGATTGTTAACAAGTTGTTCTAATGTTGCTGTAAAATAATTGCTGTATGATATCAACAAGAATAAAGAAACAGCTTGCTGGTCCTGTTGGTGAATAAATGACAATGCTGCAAATTTGTTTTTGGTAAAATGAGTCGAAGATACACAACAATATCAAAATTCATTATTGCGTGTATAATGTGCACCTGTCTCTGGCGAAACACAATATGAGCACTGTACAGAAGAAAATACATATAGGTCACGGAGTTGAGCGTGAACCATTGAAGTGTGTAGGCATTTGCAACATGTGGCAATACCTGTTGACAATCCAGTGATCAACAGCACGAGCATCAATCTACACAACTGGGAACCGATGACATGTATCAACCAAGTCAGCGAGACTGACCACCCAATCCCATTAATCGCCTCTTACGACAAGCATGGGTTGCTGAAGACAAATTCTAACCTGGATCTTCATGGTTGTGCTAGATGGTGGTTTGGTGTGTGTTGCTTTGTTATTCAGTGTTAATTTTTAAAGGACGTCATTGACGTTCCTTTACTGTATTCATTCAGAGATTTCTAAATGTTTTCAATCAACATTGGGGCGGTGGGGTAGCCCAGTGGTTAAAGCATTGGCTCATCATACTGAAGACCCGGGTTCGATTCCCCACATGGGAACAATAAGCGAAGCCCATTTCTGGTGTCTCCCAGTCATGACGTTGCTGGAATATTGCTAAAAGCGGTGTTAAACTAATATAGGGTTAATACAAGAACTCTGTGACTTTCATGCTTAATTTTGAACCACATTTTTGTTGTCACTGTCCTATCTTGTTAAAATTTATTCCTGTTTGAGGTTATTTTAATCACTTCAAATTATGATACTCTGGGATGGATGACTATTTATAGTACTGTGTAATACTGTATTTGAAATCAAAACTCTGTTGAGGGGGAGCCATAGTATTGGTTGGGCATAGTTGAGGATGAAGTAAATAGTATGATGAGTTTGTACTGTCGAAATTGGATAGTCGTAATTGGTTTTAGGTGTATGTTTACAAACTGTTGGGCAAATATCTTGAAATTGTGCATGATCAGCTGGGTCTATGGTTGACTACAAGGAATATCCCTTTCTTAAGTTGAGTCGTTTGTGCCTGTAGAGAATATTAAAACTTAAAAGCAGTTATGAACCAGAAGAATATCACCAGTAAATGAAATCGTGCATAATGTAACCTATTTATGAGAATATATAAATAGCATTTCTTCTTGTCATCTCCCATGCTTGTCGTAAGAGGCGGGTGGTCAGACTCGCTGACTTGGTTGACACATGTCATCGGTTCATAATTGCGTAGATCGATGCTCATGCTGTTGATCTGGTCCAGACTCGATTATTTACAGACCACCGCCATATAGCTGGAATATTGCTGAGTGCGGCATAACACTAAACTCACTCACTCACTCTTGTCATCTCCTGTTTATAATGAATTATGGGAATATTCCTAAGAAATTCATTGTTAATGTAAATGTTATAAAGTTTAGACATATTCTTTCCTCCAGAAAAAAAACAACACCAAAATGTTATCATTGCACATGTATTTTTTTTTAAAATAAGAAAAAAACATGACTATGACTTGTTGTGTGTGTCACCTCCTCTTTCTGTAAGCATAGTAAATTTATGTTTGATGTTGGTCAAAGCCTTCACAATAAAAAAGTATATTTATAAGGAAAAGCCTGGACAGGATTTTTCTGTTAACTCTTTTGTGTGAAAAATGTTTTGGATTGCCTGGCTCTCTGCTGGACCTGATATGGAATTTCTGTACACATCTAAAACCAACTAAAGTAGAACAGTGCTTGATTGTTGGCATGTGCACATCAATACGGATTATCTTCTTACACTGTTACCGTGGTGACTGGATAGCCCAAAGTTTTCTTCTTATCTGTTTGTTAGGAATACAGTGTAGGTGTCATATCTGTTCTCATTGAAACAGTTGTTTTGATTGGATGTTCTGTTCTCCAGGCAGGGGCTTCAGTGACTGACAAGTGGGCAGAGGAGTTTGCAGAATTTTCAACCAATCAGCCTGAGCCTGAGGCATTCTGGGATAATCTTCAAAAACACTGGGAAGATGTGGACAGGTAGTGACATACAGACTGTACTTGATCAGTAATCTGGCAGCATTTTAACTAGGGTCATCTCTGGCAACGTAGACATCCCTTTGTTGCAACCTTCTTCTGCAAACTAGTACAGCAAATTTAAAGTATCTGGAACCAAATGATGGATAGCTTAATTACAGATCAACATTTGTTGATAATGTTTTTATCAAACTCTCATATTGATCATATTTGAGTAAAAGAGGGGATTTTGTAGAGATTGGATGATATTAAGTATGGCCGTCATAGCAGCCATCTTGAAAACTGGAATATAGCTGATGCAGCAATATTTGTAATGACTGACTCGTTCACATTTATATATTTAGGAGATAAGCATACTGTGTTGGAAAATCAGAGGTATATAACGAAATTATGATAGCTCTAAATTTGATTGCAAACCAAACGCTACTATGCGTCCAATTTAGAGCCATTATGATTTCTAATGCGGTTCTACTATAACCATGTTATTAAGATTTTAAAAAGAGTACATATTGTGTTGGAAAATCAGAGGTATATAATGTGATTATATACCTCTGGGTGACTGATTAACCAATCACAATACAGTATTTACTGAAGTCATGGCAGAATGTGTGATGCCCATTTCCAGTGTCCCTCACCATGGTATTGCTGGAATATTGCTATAATCGGTGTAAAGCCATACTCACTCACTAGTGTTGGGAATTGGTTAAAATCTTATAATTGATGATTGGTTCATGACAACCGATCAATCATCAAAAATAATTGGTTGGAGTCATTAATGAAATTTGTTAATGCACATAAAAATAAGGAAAAAACATGTAGTTCTTTGGGGGGTTTTGTGGCAAAATTTCACATCTTTAAAGGATGACTAGTATGTTAGGAACATAAATTTCTTGGAGTCTTTAAGATAAATTCAATCATGAGTTGAAACGAGCTTGTAGTGCTTATGAAATCTAACAGACAAAACCAACCGTGTGAAAAATATTGTTAATGAAAACAAGTGTTCCAGCATTGTTTGTGTTCGTTTATGAGAAAACATGATCGGACCAATCTTGATTACCGGTATTTCAATTAATCGGACCACCACTATCACTCACCCATTCATTATTTTGATGTTGCAGAAATGACAGTCAGCCATGGTTGACGGAGTTTGAGCAGTCAGAGCCGTACAAGGTAGGAGACTGCAAGATTTGGTTTCTAAGCTGTGTGTAAATTGTAGAGACATTAAAATCAAATATCATATTATAGTTTCAGATTAGCAACTTAAATTTTGTTTCTTTATATACTTACTAGGATATGGTTTAAACCATCACTGCATGTGTCTCCTATCTCTTTAATGCATTCAAGTTCTTTTTGCATTCTAAATAAAAAAATGATTATGGTTTTGAAAATGCTTTCATAAAATTGCACAGAAATATGAGGAAGAATTGAACCGTTTGCAATATATAAGATGTTATTGGTTAAAAGTAGGGCTGCGCAATATAACCGGTTTACTGGTATATACCGGTTTAGGCATGAGAACGATACGTATTGCGATACGCTGATCGAAAACTGGTATTTTGACATGCATTCGGAAAACTTCATAACACTCGGAAATCTTCAGATATTTCCGTTTTTTTAATTTGTTCCTTTCCTTGTTTCATTTGTTCCAAACATTATTTGCATTTTTAGTTTGTCATGATTTAAAGTTTTTATTAAAGCCTAATCAAGCATAGTGATTTTGTTGTGTTTTTGCTTTGTAAATCAAGCATTAACTCGATTATAAGTAGTATTTTAAAAAAAGAATTCTTGCAATATATTGAAGTACATATCGCAATATATGCTTTCGCATCGCAATATATCGCAATATGAAAATTTTCAGCGATACCCACCCCTAGTTAAAAGTGTGGGTGATAAGATTTTGATCAAATGTCATGAATGCAATATGGAAGTAATGTAAACAAGTAGGTACTTTCTAATTACTGCCCACCATATAGCTTAAATATTGCCGAGTGGGGCGTTAAAAAATAACCAACCAATCTAATTAATGAAAGTACACGCATTTTGGACTTTGTCATCAACACAACCTTTTAGCTGGCCTTTACATTTTGCCACATTTGAGATACTGTAAGGTTCTGAAAACAAGGACAAAAGGGACCGTCCATAATGTATGGCTAGGGGAAGTGATGATGATCTTTATGGAGAAGCATGTACAGTGTGAATGGGCACACTCCCCCTAATTTATGTAAAAAGCATGTGACACCCCAAAGTTCACCCACCCCCCACCCCCTGCATGCATGTCATGTACAAAATCAGTGACACCCCCAATAGTACATGACACACACACACCTCTATAATCATCATCACACACCCCTAATCATTGCGATAACTCAACATATAATTTGTGTGTTAATACTATAATTGCTATGTTCCAGACCTACAGTTTTGAGGACGACAACCCCCTGCTGGATCATCCGAACCCATTCGCAGCTGGCCTGGAGAAGTTGGAACAGGGAGACATTCCCAACGCTGTGCTGCTGTTTGAAGCCGCTGTCAGGAAGGATGACTCACACATGGAGGTAGGGGAGACACGCTGTTGTAGCTGTCACATGTTTCGTGGTGATGTCATGTGAGAGGGAGACCTCCAGCTGCCTGGACACACTGACGTGTTTTATCTCCTTCTAGCCCCCCTCTAAATGGTTCTGGTCCCTCCCCCTCCATATTAATGAACTTTTTTGTTGTCAGGTATGATACACGCTCAGTTATGTGTTTGATGTGTAGGATATAGTACGACTCCGAGGTTATGGTTGGGAAAGTAAGACCCGAGACCGGAGGGTGGTCGAGGGCTTACTTTCCCAACCATAACCGAGGAGGAGTGCTTTATTATACATATAAACCGTCAATGATGGATAATTAGATGATCATGTAATGAAGCTACATAACAGTAACTGAAGTGTTAGTAAAATCAATTGAATGATAGTAGGCCTAACTATAAATAGATAATTCAACCTTCATTTTTTATGGGCCTGGTGGCTGTGAGGTAGAGCGTCCGCTTATGAATCTGAAATATACGGTTCCAATCCTGCTAGGGAAAACATTTGCACATTTAAGTTGATCTTTGACGATATTTTTCAATTGATTTCAAAACTCTCACATATAATTTGAATGTTGATGTTAATATAGAATTAGGAAAGAGTAAAACCTGGGAAGAGGTCTTACTTACAAAAGTAAAACCAGGAAATAGGTCTTACTCACAAAAAGTAAAACCTGAGAGCAAACAAAAAACCTCAAGTGCGGTTATTCTGGGAAAAGAAGCCATGTCTAATATATAGTGAGAAGCACCCTTCAGGTTTATAAGTAGGTGACAGTGTGATCCGTGATCTGCCTGTTGTTGTTGTGTTAGTTCTTCTCAACATCAGATTTGTACACCTGTGTTCCAGGCCTGGCAGTACCTGGGAACGTCACAGGCGGAGAATGAAAATGAACCCGCAGCCATAGCAGCTCTTAAAAGGTGTGTGATTTCTGACATTAAGAAATCAGATATGATTGTCTCAGTGTTAACTTGCAGGTAGGAAAGTAAGGTCACTTCTTTTGATTTAGACCACCTCTGTGGTGTAGTGGTCAGAGCGTCTGCCCGGAGAGCGGAAGGTCGCGGGTTCGATCCCCGACCTCGTCATACCAAAAGACGTTAAAATATGGTACTTGTTGGTTCCTGCCTGGCGCTCGGCATTAATGGGTACAACAAGGACTGGTCGGCTCGGAGTCAGTATAATGTGTCTGAGTGGGATATTCATGCTTCACTGCGGCATGGTATCTCAGTGGGCTAGCACTATAAAACCAGCTTCAGTCTGGGCTAGTACAAGCAGCCGCACATACACATACACACGAATGCACGTCGTCATATGAGCGAAATATTCTCAAGCTCGACGTTAAACCCAATTTCAACTCACCTCACCTCACCTCTTTTGATTTAAGTGAAATTTGGGGCGGTGGGGTAGCCCAGTGGTTAAAGCATTGGCTCGTCACGCCGAAGACCTGGGTTCGAATCCCCACATGGGTACAATTTGTGAAGCCCATTTCTGGTGTCCCCCGCCGTGATGTTGCTGGAATGTTGCTAAAAGCGGCATAAAACCAAATTCAGTCATTCAGTCAATAAGTGAAATTTAGTGGGAAAGGACGTAGGTGACCCTGTTTTCACTTTCAACTTCACTTTCAACTAGCATTGTGTGTTATGACCGATAAATTGTAAATATGAACATGTCACCCACTTCCTGTCTGTGTTGATCAGGTGTTTAGAGTTATCTCCCAATAACCTGACCGCCTGGCTGTCACTGGCTGTGAGTTACACCAACGAGTCCCTCGGGTCCTACGCCTGCCACGCCCTCAAGTCCTGGCTCAAACACAGTCCCAAGTATGCCAGTCTGGTGCCAGGACCTCTAGGGGAGAAGCCAGTCACCTCGTCCTTCATGTCAACGTGAGTTGCTTGTGTATATATGGTTGGGGAAGATTGGCCAGGTTATTTGGATCGACAAGGAATTGGCTGAGACATCAGGGAACAGGGACAGTGGTATACCCTAGTGGATAAAACTATCCCTCGTCATGCCGAAGACCCGGGTTTTATTACCCACATGGTACAATGTGTTAAGCCCATTTCTGGTGTCCCCCGCTATGATATTGCGGGAATATTGCTAAAAGCGACGTAAAACTAAACTCACTCACTCACTTACTCATATCAGGAAACTAATGTCATTTTGTGGATATTCATTGTTTTTTGTTCTGTATTACATTAACAGAGTATTCCCATACTTTATAGTCCGTTTGGCTCAAAAGCAGACCGATGAATTGCAATCTAACTCGAAAACTTATAAACATAAAATGAAAACGTCAGACCAACTCTGAGAGGTGTTTGCAGAATTTATGTCCTAAAATTAATTAAGTTGTTTAACAAACTATCATTAAAATATCGACACAGTTCACTATTTGTTACGAGGGAGGAGTGCAGAGAAAGGGACAGCCGGGTGTGCGAGAAAGGATGGAGACGGCACAGCACAGGTTAATGAATCAATAACTTTGTCGGCACTTGTGCACGTGCTTCTCTAACACCTGGCTGTCCCTTTCTCTGCACTCCTCCCTCGTAACAAATAGTGAACTGTGTCAATATTTTAATGATAGTTTGTTAAACAACTTTTTTAATTTTAGGACATAAATTCTGCAAACAAATCACAGAGTTGGTCTGATATTTTGATTATGATCAGCGTTTCATTGAGTATTATATGCTTATTAGTTTTTGAGTTAGATTGCAATTCATCGGTCCGCTTTTGAGCCAAACACACTATAGCCGCGGTGGCTGAGCGGTCTAGGCGTCTGACTTTGTGTGCTGGCGATTAGGTGCCTGACTCTGAGGGTGCGGGTTCGAATCCCGGATGGGACTCAACCCAAAAAGTACTAGAATCTGTACTTTACTAAGAAAGTGTAATCCCAAATATAACATATGTTGCACTATAGTGTATATTGAAAAATATCTGAAACAAGGTTGACTTCGTTAATACAAGCTCTTTTTATGGAAACGGCCTGTTCTGATCAACATAGTATTTTCAAATACACTGTACTTACTATTGCTTCATAGTGCTACTTTTGTATTCATTGTATTGCCTCTCTGAACTTGATTCCCTACTTTTGAAGCTTTTAGCTCACCAGAGAGAAAAGTAAGGCAGAGCTTATGGTATTAAGTCTATTATGAGCTTGTGTTAACCATTTCCTCAACTAACCATGTATGTAAGAGGTGATAAATAGGATTGGGTGGTCAGGTTCGCTGACCTGGTTGACATGTTATTGTATCACAATCCTTAGATTGATGCTCTTGTTGTCAGCCACTGGATTGTTTGGTCCGGACTCAACTATTTACAGACCATGTGGCTGGAAAATGGCTAGAAAAGGTGCAGTGTTAAATAACAGACAAGCAAACGTCCGCAACTGAACAACTTAGCCTGGCGGGATCGGGTGGTCAGGCTCGCTGACTTGGTTGACACATGTCATCGGTTCCCAATTGAGCAGATCGATGCTCATGCTGTTGATCACTGGATTGTCTGGCCCAGACTCGATTATTTACAGACCGCACCATATAGCTGGAATATTGCTGAGTGCGGCGTAAAACTAAACTCACTCACTCACTCACTCACTTAGCCTGAAACTAAGAGGACATGATGCAAAATAAAATTTAGTTCATGTCATTAGAATCAACCCATTTCTTTTATCAAAGAATGGATTAAATATGGTTTGGGACCAACATTTTAATATAGACCAGATTGCTAGACATCATATCCAGATTTCCAGACACTGTGTTGTCTGCATTTAAGTAATTGTAAACATCTTGATTGTGTGTACGTTGACTGGCTCTGTGTCTGCAGCCAAGACTACGAGGACGTGAAGGACCTGTACCTAAAGGCTGTCCACATGGAGGACCGGGGCAAGATTGATGCTGATGTTCAGGTGACACTGTCTTTGTCAAAGTCACATGTTCAGGCCAGATTGTGTTGCAGTAGTAGCTGGCATTCACTTTGTGTGAGTTTGTTGGAGTATAACATCCCTTGTCTGGGTTTCGTACTCTGATGAAGTCTCACAAAGAGACAGCCATTTCTTAATTTGAAGGGCGGTGGGGTAGCCTAGTGGTTAAAGCGTTCGCTCGTCATGCCAAAGACCCGGGTTCGATTCCCCCCATGGGCACAATGTGTGAAGCCCATTTCTGGTATCCCCCGACGTGATATTGCTGGAATATTGCTAAAAGCGGCGTAAAACTAAACTCAGTCAGTCAGTCAGTCTTAAATTGAATTTTAATTGCTTGCTCCAGCGTATTGTTTTGGCTGTATGCAAGCACTATGGTATTACTTATAATAAAGAATCCATTAGCCTTGGTACCGGTAAACTGTACTATATACACACACATTCTACATAGTAACCATGGCAGCCTACTGGGGAGTACTAGTTTTGATTTTATGTTCATGGAATGACAAAGTGACATGTTACTGTTAATAGCAGATACTTTAGTCCATGTCTTGTTTTGAGATGCATGTACTTATGTCCAGGGTGCCGTTCCACTAACCGATCTTAGCCCTCCGCCAATCGTAAACCCCTAAAATCCCAATCTTAGCGTGACGTTACAATCGGCTTACCGATCCACTTACCAACCTTACCCAAGTCAATCGTAAAGTTAAGATCCAAAGTCTAAGTTGCTCATGACCAACTTAGGATCGCTAAAATCAATCGTAGAGAAACCAAAATGGTGGCTTTCATATTCTATGTGAAGAAGAAGAGCGAGCATTTCATCGTGAACGTCCCCTAAAACCCCCCATGAAATCAATTTGTTTATTTCTGTGATGTAAACAAACACAGCACTGAAGCCTTACAAATGTGAGGCCAGTCTGACCACTGTCGTCATGGGAACACAGCTGAGGGAGTCGGTGTAACACATTTGTACAACAATATTGCAACTCTGTACATAGCAAATGTAAGGCCACTAGCAAACAGTGATTTTACAGGGTGCGAGGTTGAGGATGCCTGGTCACGCCTTGTTTATTCTGATTACAAGGTTCAGCCACATATTATGTCTGATACCCAGCGTTCACACGCACTTGAACCAAGGTGCTTACTACCCTAATATTTTGCTCGAGGTTTTTTCTCCATGTTTATACAAGTTTGGTTCCAAAACTACTTCCATCGTCTGCTAGACTATGCAAAAGGAGATAACTCATACCTCACATTTCTCGATCTCTCTCACGCAAGAGTCTCGATCTAAGCTTGGATCGGATTGTAAGATCGGGACCGGCTACGATCGGTTTAAGATCGGTTAGCGGAATGGGTGTAACTTTTAGCTAAGACGATTGTAAAATTGGCGTAACTTGCTAAGATTGATCTTAGATAAGATCTTTTAGTGGAACCGCACCCAGGTCAGTTTTGAGATGCAGGAGGCTATGATATTTAGGTAATCTGTGTTGAACCATTTTGAGATTGAGAAATATTTTGTGTTCCAGTGTGCCCTGGGCATCCTGTTCAACCTGAGTGGAGAATACAACAAGGCTGTAGACTGCTTCCATGCTGCACTGCAGGTCAAACCCAAGGTCAGGCATGATCCCACCACAATAGTCTCTTCAGCAGAGGCACACTCGGAGTTATGTCCCTTAGGCCTACCAGGAACCTACACTCATCCGTTCCAATCCCAGATTCACATGTGATGTTTCTTGATTTGTCAGCACAATGCCCATATATGGGTGTCACCAAACCTGTTAACATCAGAGACCTGTATCACTTCAAGTTTTCCTCCAACATAAGGAGGGATAGTGGTAGCCTAGTGGTTAAAGTGATAGCTCGTCACACCAAAGGTCCGGGTTCAATTCCCCAAATGGGTACAATGTGTGAAGCCCATTTCTGGTGTCCCCCGCCATGACATTGCTTGAATATTAATAAAGTGGTGTAAACTATACTCTCTCTAACATATAGTTTTGACTGGGTTGTGTTTGGATTCCAGGTCAAAACAGGTCGGCAGGAATTCCTCTTTGTCATAATGTTGGTTATTTAACTGACCATTAATAACATTCCCTCTCTTGTATACCAGGATGCCTTGCTATGGAACAAACTGGGTGCTACTCTTGCTAATGGCAACAGGAGTGAAGAGGCAGTGGAAGCATACCACAATGCATTGCAGCTGTCTCCTGGCTTTATCCGATCTCGGTATAATCTCGGCATCGCCTGTATAAACCTTGGTGCTCACAGGTAAGTCAGAAGGGATGGAATTAAAAAATATTATCTTTCAGCACAGTTTGCTATCTAATGTTCAATATCTCCCTAGATGTTCTAATGTTCAATATCTCCCTAGATGTTCTAATGTTCAATATCTCCCTAGATGTTGACACAAGAATGTGATGTCTTTGATGGAAACAAGTAACGTCAGTTAACATTTTCCCGTGTCTGACACTATTATAAGTTATCACATCGTGTCTCGAGGGAAATACGGGGTTTTATCAGTCCCGAGTAAGGTTGTATTCAACCTTACGAGGGACTGATAAAACCCTATTATTATTTCCGATATCGAATGATAACGCATTTATCTAACAAATGTTTTTACTAAATCAAAAGAAAACAATACGCATCGAATCAACTTGTTTTTATTTATGTGAGATGCCATGTTGACACCAGCTGATCGATTGACCTCAATGCAGCGCACGTTACTAAAGGCTTGGCGATGCACGCTTTTCTCACTTCGCGTGGTCACCGAGGCGTGGCGGGATAATATGACTTTTGTACTCCCTGCTCGTGGATCGTGACGGGTGTACATAGTATTTTATCAGAGTCACGTGAACCAATCAAAACTTCGATATTCTTACATGAGGCTGGATAATGAACGTTAACATCATCATGCGACATGATTGGGCCAGACTCAGGTGTAGCTTACCTTCACATTGTCGTAGTGAGCAAATGTCACTTGTCATCAAACTTTCGTTTAGGAAGTGAAGGTGACTTCACTTCGCATCTGAAACTTAGAACTGAATTTAATGTTTCAAATTTGTAATCAACAGCTGATCAAAATTTGGAATACAGATTGAGAATTACGGAATCCAATTTCCAACTTGTGTCCCAATGTGAGTGATCCCTTGATGCAGTTAACAAATCTGAGGACTTTCACTCAGCTACAAAATATTCTCCTGATACCAGAGCAGAGACATCCTTATGCTCTGTGACATTCCAAGCTGTATTTGTGAAAGTATGCATCTGATTGAGTCAAGTACTGTCCATACCACTACCAATGTCGATGATGAACGAACAGGCTAATATGACTTGACTTGAATCATTTAGCATTGTGGCAGTCAACGCATTTTTAACATTGTGGCAATCAACTTGAGTCAAAACAAAACTATGGGGAAAAAGGACAAGGGCATTTATCGGAATAAGTATGTTAAAATTAAAAGTACATGTACAATAATACGAAGATATGTATGATGAACACTTTTTATGACGATCTGCACTGAATTTTCGCTAGTTTACATCATGAATAACCTAAGCACAACTGCTTAGTGGTTTAACTGAAACCGCGGTATCACGAAGACCGTTATTGCGACTGTAAGACACTGGATTATTCAATAGGCGGTGAGGGGCATTGGGGTAGCCTAATGGTTAAAGCGTTGGCTCATCACGCCAAAGACCCGGGTTCGAATCCCCACATGGGCACAATGTGTGAAGCCCATTTCTGGTGTCCCCCGCCGTGATGTTGCTGGAATATTGCTGAAAGCGGCATAAAACCAAACTCAGTCAGTCAATAGGCTGTGAACAAATAAATGAAAACAACATTCTAAAAGAAAATTCTTTTTCAGGGAGGCAGCTGAGCATTTTCTAACAGCTCTGAACATGCAGCAGCAGAGTCGAGGCCCAAATGGACCCGAGTCTGTGATGTCCAGCAACATCTGGTCAACCCTCAGAATGACCCTCTCCATGCTCGGCCGACCTGACCTCTACAACGCGTGTGACTCAAACAGTCTAGACGTACTCAACAAGGAGTTCAAGATGCAGTCATGACCCAACTTTCAGTTAAAGGAGACAACCATCACCAACTGTCTGGTTGCTGAACAGAAAACAGAGTCCATGCCGGAACTACTTTCTGATGTGGACAATTTACCAGGAGTACTTCGGCTTATATTCTGCTGAGATTCACAACTTCTGATGAACTTGATTCCATGGATAATTAACTGACGAAAACCAAGAAGGGTAACGGTCATTGTGTTAATGGATGTGTACAATTCTAGTTTGAAAAACTAGTGATTGGAATAACAGTATCTCTGTGTGTGAAAAGAAGGCTGATTATGGAGGGCATTATTATTATTTTGGTTGTGAGAAGTTTGTATTAATCAGAAAAATATTTGCCATGGGCACAGTGCCGACAAATCAATATTCTTGGATTTGAACCCTTGATCTAAAGGGTCTGACACAGGAGGTGCCTTAACAACCGGGCCTTAACTAACATGGGTGTTAGGGTAGGCTAATGGTTAAGGTGTTCGCTTGGCACACCAGAGTCCAGGGTCCCGTTCCTCAAAGCGATCGTAGCGCTACGACAGTCGTAAGTCTATGTTAAAGTATGGGAGTTACGATCACCTTAGCGCTACGATCGCTTTCAGGAACGGGGCCCTTGCTTGTATTCCACACAAGGTTTCCCATGCTTATTTTACTGGCATAACACTTAAACATCTAGAGTAAAAATATACCAGTACTTGCTCCCCTTACTACTAAATCACATTAATAGTTTCTCCGCTTTGTTTGGGCAGTGGGGTAGTCTAGTGGTTAAAGTATTTGCCTGTCATGCTGAAGCCCCGGGTTCGATTCCCCACATTGGTACAAATTTGTGAAGCCCATTTCTGTTGTCCGCTGCTGTGATATTGCTGGAATATTGCAGGAAGCAGCATGAAAGTAAGCTCATTCACTTTATCCTCGATACATTTAAGAATGTTTTAATGCACATATTCTGATCGGTTTCTGGATAACGAACAGAGTAACGTACTTGCAAGAAGGGTTGATCATCATCAGAATTTTACAGTTCATTATCATCAGCCATGCAAATTAATATGCATCAAATAGTTGAATCAGCTGTTCAACTCACACTCATTGTTGGGAACTAGAAATTGGTTAGTATTTTGTACAGACCTAGGTTTGATGTGATATCAAAGTTTGACAATTTGACACATTTAATGTGTTCATTACCAAAACCGGTCTGTTATCATATGAAAAACAGAGAAATATCAAATGATCTTGCCATGGATGTTGACCCTCAAACCTCAGGATAAAACTTGTGATAATGTCGCATGAAGCTTCCAATCATGTATTTGTACAGATATCTATGTATATTTCAAAACTATGGGGGCTGGGGTAGCCTAGTGGTTAAAGCGTTGGCTCATCACGCCGAAGACCCGGGTTCGATTCCCCACATGGGTACAATGTGTGAAGCCCATTTCTGGTGTTCCCCGCCGTGATGTTGCTGGAATATTGCTAAAAGCGGCGTAAAACCAAACTCAGTCAGTCAGTCAAAACTATGACAGGTAGTAAATTACTAATACAATTTCTGTAAAACATTTGTTCAGTGAAAGAGCTGATAATAAGATCATGAGTACCTAAACACAGAAGCTCGCCTTTCAACTTGGTGTAAAGTTATCTTGAAGCCTGCAAGGACAGCTGGTCGCAAGCAATCTGCTAGTGTCCGGTGTTTTTTCAATTTAACAGATGTTTTGCATCACAGTATCATTGTCTACAATGTATTTAAATTTTTACGACAGAACATCTCGCCTATATTTCGTGTTACAAACAGCAGCGAAAATTAGCTTTTCAGTTTTGGAAAGCTGTGTGATATGACTCCTCAAGATATTCCACACAGGCCCATGGTTACTGGGATTTCCTATATATCTCAGATATTCTATTGTATGTATGAATGTGTACATATGTAAAGATGAATGAATGCAAATGAAATTGTGACACTTGTGTTGTTTTTATTACTAAGGTCATCTGTATTGGTGTAAACTGCTCAGATGCCACAGTAAGGTTGCCTACTGGATAAAGTGGTCGCTTATCCTGACCAAGAAGACGTTCAATTCCCAAGCTTTCTGATGATACTGCTTAAATCTTGCCAGAATTCAAGATGGATGAGGCGACTAACAGGATCGGGTGGTCAGGCTCGCTGACTTGGTTGACCCATCGGTTCCCAATTGCGCAGATCATGCTGTTGATCACTGAATTGTCTGGTCCAGATATGATTATTTACAGACCGCTGCCATATAGCTGGAATATTGCTGAGTGTGGCGTAAAACTAAACTCACTCACTCAAGATGGATGCAGAGTGAATATTTGAATAGCAAAAGTCTGGGTTTGAATCCTTCTTTGCCACCCGACTTTGCACCTGAGACTACTGCGTGACCAGTGCTACTGTCAAAAAGACCTTTTCCTATGACTACAGTTAACCATGGCCCTGGCAGATTAACTGTAGTTATATGAAACCATTCATGTGTTCTTCAACTTCTTTTGGTTAAAATAAATCTAAACATGACAAAACAAAGTCTGAAGTTGTGAAAGTATTTACTTCATGTACACAAAAAACGGAATAGAAAACATGCGTAGATGAAACCACCACAGAAATGATGGCATACTCTTATCAATAACTAAGAAAGTCAAGTCATATCATAAGATTTCACATTCGTGACCAACTCGTGTTATTCCGGGACAAGCCGAATAGCGACTTGTGCCCCTCTGTTATGTCAAACGCACGTGTGTGTATTTGAATATCTCACTGTCAATCGCATGATTTCTATCAAAAACTTCATAATAGGCAGCAAAATCCTGTTAGCTAAGTTCTTTGTACTTTCAATATGACGATATATATTTTTTATGATTTTTCAAACAACAACATAATGCCATAAACGATTTAAGTACTCAGGATTATTTTTACAAACGCACCGCAGTCATTTACGCGTGTTCTGATTCGTTTGTCATATCAAAAGGGGGACGAGTCTTCTTGGAGGTTACGGAAAGAGGCGAGTGGCGACGAATGAAGATTTTAATGTCTGAGTAAATAAATCCTAAGTGTTGGAATGATGATATGAAAGAATGTTGATGGTGTTGAAATAGTATCTACATCCCCATCACCACACTGAAACAACAGGCTCTGATAAATGATGAAAAACACCAAAATACTGACCTCCAACAACGCATGAAAATCAGCCATAAAATGTGCAACTAAGCTCTCGTCTTAATGTCAGATGGATCACCAATTGCATGTGAATAAATAATGGCTATGTACTTGAGTCTCCATTTTAGGTTGCAATGGGCGTATTAGAATTCTTATTGCTGAATAGTTTCAACATTTAAAGCGCTTTGAGCATGCATGTACATGGGATGGACTTCAGCGCTATGTAAACACCCATACAATATTACTGACTGAATGAGTATGGTTTTACGCCGCTTTTAGCAATATTCCAGCAACATCACGGCAGGGAGACACCAGAAATGGGCTTCACACATTGTACCAATGTGAGGATTCGAACCCGAGACTTCGGCGTGACGAGCGAACGCTTTAACCACTAGGCTACCCCACCACCCTCCCCATACAATAATAACATATTAGGCATGCCATTATTTTGCCTTTGAAATATGACCAAAGTTGAAAATTATTTGTAAAACATATTTTTGATGTTTTACTCACAGCTTTATCCACTATGACCACGAAGAGATTTGGGAAAATTATGTTGCAAAATATAGCCAAGATTATTTAAAATGAATTTTGGATGAAATGAATCAATTATATACACACACATGCATATACTGATTTATACATAAACTATCTATGCTCTGTACAAAGGTGATTGGTGTATATTGCACTAGTGGAGACAATCACGAGGTGTAAAAGTATCACAAATAATATATACATGAACGTGAAGGCACGTGATACAGGATGGATACATAATATGAGAACACAAGATACAAGCTCTGAGGGATCCAATAACAGGAATAAAATATATAGTTTCCATTAAATATAATTAACAACACAAAAAGTTGATAAAATTATATAGCCACTCACAGTACATTAATCATTACTCAAACTGAATATATTATCATTTATCGATAAATTTGTTTATGGGATGTAAGTAAAAAGTAAATTGCACAAAATTTCAGAATTTTCCCAAATAAGTATTTTGTTAATTTACGTTTGCTTGTTTGTCGCTACACCTGGCGATATGATGGCGTCCTGTAACTTATGGATCAGACAATCCAGTGATCAACATTGTGACACAATGAACCATGTTACAGAGCCTTATCACCCCCATTATTTGGTCTCACTTTGTTTGAAACGGGACCTATTTTTACCCAGAATGACCCCTCCAAAGTACAAAAATGCCCTCCACTGCAGACCTGTCTACTACAGACTGCATTGAATTTACATGTAAACTAAAATATATTGCATACTCAAATATGAATGTAAGAACTATGATTACACAATGCCATTTAGAAAGTGGTCAAATGTCGTGGTAGCTGAGCGGGTTAGGCGGCTGACTTTGTGTGCTGGCGATTAGGTGACTGACTCTGCGGGTGTGAGTTCGAATCCCGGATGGGGCTCAACTAAAAAAAGTACTAGAATTTGTACTTTACAAAGAAAGTGTAATCCCAAATACCGGTATATAACATATGTTATAAATGCAAGAACTGTTACTAAAATATTTAAATCCACATAATTCTAGACTCTAAATTGTGAAATATGAATCCTGAATCTATACTGTTAAAGCACAAAAATAATAATGGTGACCGATCCTCATGTAGGTTGTTTTCAGACATGCATCATCAACACGTAGTACTTCTGTCTGCTACGACCCTTCGCCTACTCACTTGTTTTTCACTGCAGTCAGCAATATTCCAACCATATGACTGCCAACTATAAACAACTGAGTCTGGTCAATACAAACCAGTGATTGATATCATGAGCAACATCTCGAGTGAGTGAGTTTGGTTTTACTCAGCTTTTAGCAATATTCCAGCAATATCAGCCCCTACAGCATCTCAAGACATCACGCTACAATGAAACAGACCAGGTCTAAACATCTTGCCCAAATTCGTCATGTCAATATTCTTCAACATTCATAATCAAAAACGTGTGGCCATAGCAACAAAGAATGAATATTGTGCTGAATATTAATTTTATTTATGGAATGAGTATCAAATGGAATGATGAGTTCCCAATCAATATTTTTTCGATAGAATTGATCAGCTCTTAGGATAGTAGATACAGAGACCTTTGCAAACAAAAACACACCAATAAATAAGAAAATGTACAATTTTATGCACAAGTTCTGGAATATTGTGTTAAGCAATGTTTCAATGTAGATTCAATTAGATCTGTGGGTTAGAACACCTGATGATCTTCAGTCATCCATGCTTGTCGTAAAAGGCAACAAATGGAAACAGGTGTTCAGGCTCGCTGACTTCGTTGATGCTTGTTATGGTATTCCAATTGATTCCAATAGATTGATGATGTTAATCTCTGGATTGTCTTACCCAGACTTGATTATTTACCAACCTTCATGTAGCAGGAATATTGCTAAGTTAAGCCTTAAACAACAAACAAAATAAATCATCACTGGGTTGAAGTCACTCCAACTTAATCAGTATATAAACATCTACAGTAAAATACCTTTATAACGAACTCCAAGGGACCACTGAAATTAGTTTGTTATATCCGTAGTTCGCTATTCACTTTTTTATATGATAATATAAGGGTTATTCGGGACTTTTAAAACAGTTCGCTATAGCCGTCAGTTCGTTATATCCGTGTTCGTTATAAAAGTATTCTACTGTACATTGAAACATCGCCATATACAATAAACCTGAAACTTTTTATCCACAGTGTTCCGTTTTACTCAATACCCTCTAGAGCACCAACAAAACAGTTAAACCGATAACTAACAGAACAGATCAAATGAAGAGACATATTGTCTACAACCACTTCTACAGATATTCTTTCATTCAGAAACATACCTGCAAAACAGTGTAGGTTAACTTCACTGTCAGAACAAACTACAATCAAAGTTTAACAAAACTCAACGAAAGACACAACAATCAAACTATACCTTGGTTTCAGTTATAAAACATACAGTAATTCAAAACATGCATTAATATATATAGAACGAACAAGAGCACCTAGAGCATTCTAGTCGATGCATCTCTAAAAGGTAAGGATGAGAGTATGATGTTATCAACATGAACAATCCATTCATTGCTAAGCCTAAACCAATACCTGTTGCATCATGATAGTGACAATTGCACCCTGTGGTCAACCAGGGCCAAACCCCTGACCCACTCTGTCAACATTAAATTCCAAAATATACAAAATCCTTTTGAAAAATCACCTTGCTTATTATATTTAAAAGGTTTCCAAAGCATTACTACAGATTAGTAACTTAACAAAAAAATTGTCTGACATTCGTTCACTAACCTAAGACAAGCCTTGATAAAACTGAAGCTTTCCTATGCTTATGTAAATATATATATGAAACATACAAGCTGAACATTAATGAGATATTTAGGTTTTTACAAACTCGATAATTCTGAAAGGAGACACTGTTGAGAAATACAGTTTAACACTTGGAATGATGTGGAATATTTCAGTTACCATGGTAACTTCATTGGAATGGTCTTCCAGCAGTGAGTAGTATGTTTTAGCAATATTGCAGCAACATCACAGCAGGGGACACCAGAAATGGGCTTCACACATTGTGCCCATGTGGGGAATGGAACCTGGGCCTTTGGCGTGACAATCAAACGCTTTAACCACTAGGCTACCCCACGGCCCCCATACCAGCAATGATACTATATGCCGTGCACATTTGAGATATTTGTCATTCACTTGTACGTATTGCCAAAAACTGTTATCCTGAAACCTGAATCACCATATCATTCCTACAGATCGTGCTGATTACCAATGGCATCAGTTATACCCGGGCAGCCACCGACTTATCAACAGTAAAGCTGGCTAAAAGAATAATAATCGGAAATATTGTCGATAGGACAAATACTATTAATTATCAATATGAAAATAGTGTCATGAACATGTAACCACTCACCAGTGGTGTGGAATACATGTATATTCATTTCTTTCAGACTTATATGGGTATTTTTGCTTAAAGTTACTTCTCCAATATGTATCGATAGTCAATGAATATTTAGTTAATAATTATTGATCTCTATGATCTAAATCAACAGCCAGCTCTACCAGTTACACTAATTATAATATTAAACAGCAAAAAGTACCTTTTTACAAACCAGAAAGGGCAAAAAATTCTTTGAAAGTTACTCAAGTATTTTCATCAACTCAATACAGGGCACACTGATGTAGCATAAGATGTAATCTTTTAGGCCCCAATCCTGATTGGTCTGTTTTTGCTATCTTCCCATACTCAGCACCAATCATGTCGACAGATGTAACTGTTTGATTTAAACACATGCAAAAGACACAGCTGTTTTTTCCTCAGTTTCAACCATTTATCAACTGCATCGTCATCGACTGCAACTTCGTTGACGATGCTCTACTGTTGAAGTGGTGGCTTGTCCATAGTATCATGGCCTGTTGCTGTCTCCACGTTACTCCGGTACGGCGATGGCTGGTCTATATTTTCATAGCCACCAGGAGGAGCTGCAACAGAAAAAATATAAATTAACTGGAATTAAACATTCCTCTATTTCATTCCACACTAAGTTAAAATTATTTTTAAAAAACCATCAGAATCGTTCCTTTTTGTCACAATGATAAATTTCTAGCTAAACATCAGGAGAAAATTCTGTTGAGGTAGAGTCCTCTTCAAGATTGTTCCACCTGCATAGTGACATGCAAACATGTAAGGTTGGACTGTTTATGTCAGCTCACTGAGATACCTGGGTGCCATTGTACAAAACAACCTGAGGTGTTGGTAACTCCCATACCCTAACATAGACTCACAACAGTCTTAGCGCTAAGGTGATTGTAACTCCATACCTTAACATAGACTCACAACAGTCTTAGCGCTAAGGTGATTGTAACTCCCATACCTTAACATAGAGACAGTCTTAGCTAAGGTGATTGTAACTCCCATACTTAAACATAGAACGACAGTCTTTGCCCTAAGGTGATCGTAACTCCCATACTTTAACATAGACTCACGACAGTCTTAGCTAAGGTGAGGACTCACATACTTTAACATGGACCGATAGTCCTTAAGGTGATTGTAACTCCCATACCTTAACATAGACTCATGACAGTCTTAGCGCTAAGGTGATCATGACTCACATACTTTAACATAGATATATGACAGTCTTAGCACTAAGGTGATCGTAAGTCCCATACCTTAACATAGATATATGACAGTCTTAGAGCTAAGGTGATCGCAACTCCCATACCTTAACATAGATTTACGACAGTCTTAGAGCTAAGGTGATCGTAACTCCCATACCTTAACATAGACTTACGACAGTCTTAGCACTAAGGTGATCGTGACTCCCATACCTTAACATAGACTTACGACAGTCTTAGAGCTAAGGTGATCATAACTCCCATACCATAACATAGACTCACGACAGTCTTAGAGCTAAGGTTGTTTGTACAATGGCACCCTGAGCACTATTCAACATGAATGCTCAAATCAGATTACCAGTGCCGAGTCTTAGCTCACAAGTTCTTGTTTTATTTTACAAGACAGGGAAAATAAGAGTGGCATCATTATACAATTGTTTGTATTGCCAGGGAACAACCTACAACCTTTCACTGTCCAGACAGACACTATACAAAAGACAAAGGATGCAGTTCAAAATGTCTACTGAATCAGTTTAGTTTAACACCACTTTGAAACGTATTCATTTATATCCTGTTATGTCAGCTTCTTGGAGGGCCGACCGAAGTGAGGCAGGTTTGAGATATTTACACAGGAGTACTAACAAACCATTAGTGAGACTATGAAATTTGATCCCAAAAGAACATGTTTCTACAGTTAAACATGCTTCTACTGGCAAACAAGGACAAGTTGGGCAGGTGCAGAGAACGTGTTTACGAAAAGTAGGCGGTGCACTGCCATGAGAAAACCCATTTGGTTTGTGAAAGGTAGAGCAGTTGTAGAGCAGATGTAGGCTAGTGCACGTGTATTGCATGATGATGAAATTGATTCCGCGCGTAGCTGCACACGCCTTGCTCATGAGACTCTCATGTCAGTGTAGCAAGTCGCACTACACTTGGCCGTGGACAACCTGGGCCCCTTCGCTAACAATGGCAAGCACAAGTGGGCGGCACTCATACATGCTAATATGGGTCAATTGTCAGGTCAACTTATCCTTGTTTGCCAGGAGCTTGTTTCAACTGCATAGTAAATTTTATGGGCTTAATGCCCCCAACTATTACATGGACAGTAAAGACAATCGTCAGAAAGTATCACTGCTGAGGTTTTAAAAAAACAAAACACAGAAACAAAGTTTAAATGACTGGTGAAGATTATCTATACGTCAAAAACCAAACATTCAAACTGTCGCTTTGCAAAGTTGGTTGGTTGGTTTGTTGTGTAACTTGTGCACACTCAGCAATATTCCAGCTGTATGGCGGCGGGCTGTCAATGATTGAGAATGGACCAGACAATCCAGTGATCAACAACATGAGCATCCATCTACTCAATTGGGATACGATGGCATGTGTCAACCAAGTCAGAGCCTGACCACCCGATCCTGTTAGTCGCCTCTTACGACAAGAGTGGGTTACTGAAGGCCAATTCTAACCCGGATCTTCACTGGTCTCTCGGCAGACACTGACAGTCGTTAAAACAAGCAGGGCAAAGGTACATAATAGTGAATCACCTGAGCACAATAATGGAAACCACTAACAATTTTACAATGCAGTGAAATATGTTTGAGTAAACACCTGTACAGGTGATAAATCAATCAAATTACAGGTAACAGATGGTGCAAACACAGCAAAATCAAGCAGAGGGTCAGTGTCAAAAGTCTTAATTGGATTTCTGAGCAAATGCTGACAAAATCTTATAACACCTTTCCATTTCCTGATTGAAAAAATAACAAAAGTCGCATGATTAATATACCAAATGCAAGCTAGAAACTGACAGAAATATATTATTATTGATTCATGACATTTTTCAATAATATGTTCATAAAAATCTGATATAGCCCCTAATCATTTCACTGAAAAACATAAGTTATTGTTTACTAATTATTCATTCCTATTAAATAGATGTAAATAACATAAAAAATGTCTGCTGATATGACAATGTTCGTTGTTCAACTCCGAAGGTTGTGTCCCTCCAGGACATGTTTAAGTTAATCTATCTAACAACGCAGACAGAGACAGAAAGAGTTACTTCCCTTTTTACATCAGGTTTGTGTTTCTTACAGAAAATGAGAGTAACCATGGTAACACTGAAATGTTCCTTGCATATATCACTGCACTATAGCGAGTGAGTGAGTTCAGCGTTACGCTGCACTCAGCACTATTCCAGTTATATGGTGGCGGTCTGTAAATAATCGAGTCTGGACAAGACAATAAAGTGATCAACAGCATGAGCATCGACCTGTGCAATTGTGTCAACATGTGTCAACCAAACCTGAACTATAGCCTTGCTGTATGACTTCATAGTTCATACCCATGATGACAGTAAATATCAAATGAATGTAGCCATTTTGTCCTTTTGGAAAATCAGCACAGAAATAATATATGCTTCAGACAAACATGCTTTCAAACAATAAAAAATAATTCAAATTAAAAAAGTTACATCAAGCATGTAATTCCAGTTTTAAGTTTGTGCAAAAACGTTTTACACAGTGTGTGATTTTGGAAATAAACATACTGTGGTATTACTGTAGAGCTAATTTACCTGTAGATTTACCTGTGCTGAACTGAATATACCTAACCCTCATTATGATGTTTCAAGTGTGTAACACTGATGCTAGTACATCATGGTATACTACTAAAATATTGATGTATTATGAGGAGGACAACATTACACAGAAAGGACAATGAAAGTGTACAGCAGAGCAACTTAGTAAGCTAACATGAAGTGCGCACCCATGATAAGAATGGAAATTAGTAGTTTGATTGTCACTTGAGATGGGATTGTCACTTGAGATGGGATTGTCACTTGAGATGGGGTTGTCACTTGAGATGGGACTGTCACTTGAGATGGGATTGTCACTTGAGATGGGGTTGTCACTTGAGATGGGACTGTCACTTGAGATGGGATTGTCACTTGAGATGGGGTTGTCGTTTGAGATGGGACTGTCACTTGAGATGGGACTGTCACTTGAGATGGGATTGTCACTTGAGATGGGGTTGTCACTTGAGATGGGACTGTCACTTGAGATGGGACTGTCACTTTAGATGGGATTGTCACTTGAGATGGGATTGTCACTTGAGATGGGGTTGTCACTGGAGATGGGACTGTCACTTGATATGGGACTGTCACTTGAGATGGGATTGTGATTTGAGATGAGACTGTCACTTGAGATGGGACTGTGATTTGAGATGGGATTGTCACTTGAGATGGCATTGTCACTTGTCACTGAAATGGGATTGTCACTTGAGATGGGATTGTCACTTGAGATGGGACTGTAACTTGAGATGGGATTGTTACTTGAGATGGGATTGTCACTTGTCACTGAGATGGGATTGTCACTTGAGATGGGATTGTCACTTTACAGGGGACTGTCGCATGAGAATCCATTCAGATGTGTGTTCGGCATATGACTGACACGAAATGGGATTGCCCCTGTGAGATATGATTGACAAACAAGATGGGATTGTCAGGTGCGATATGATTGACACACGAGGCAGGATTGCCAGGTGAGACTTCATACATACCAGAAGCCCCAGTGTTACCTGTAATTATGACAAGTGATGCATTTTCTTTGTGCAAAACGAAAAAAAACCCAACAATCCACAGAACCATGAAAGAAAATAAAAAAAAGACAAAGACAGTAATCACATTATCCCGACATCAGAAAGCAAATCACTGTGCTATACATACTTGTTCCTCCATCTAGATTGCCAGCTGTGGTACATACAAAAACATTATTATAAACACTGTATGCAGTGTACAAAATATAGCACATCCCACCGTCCTTGACGGTCTATTTTTGTGAAGGACAGCCTATCAAATACGTAAGGCTGTCCCTTGGTCGTGGGAAATATATGAAAAACATAAACTTAACTTGGATTGAACTTCGTCTTAGTAATTATGCTCTTTCTCGTTCTCGTTTCAACATTTGTTGACTTATTGTTTTAGATTTTGGGACTGGCTGTGTTTGTTCAGGACTGGCCACTTTTTTGGACAGCCAGTCCGTGACAGGTCACATTTCAAAACTTGTTTCATACACTGCTGTATGTCAACAGTAGATGACAGATTGATGGACAAAGGCATTGTTTCAAGTTTTACACAAGGCTTTAACTACTGCATCCAAACCTATCCTGAAACAGACCTAATGACAATGGAACATTGTCCCTTATTAATCTCATGATTGTTTCCAACTGTCCAGATGATAAACATTTAGTGAAATTGCAAGAAATGCATTACAATTTCAGTGACCTCCCATCAAAACATCCCAAACATGATTGACCTACAAGTTAAACTTTTATTTTGCAGAGACATAACCGGTTGAGTTAAAAAATTACAATTTCTTCTAAGACGTTTTTATGAAAGTACACAACCGAAAAGAATTTAAAGAACAGTGACTTATGTCTTATGACAGTTAATCTTTCATGTCATCACAGATTCATTTCAGTTATTAGAAAATTAGGTGTTCCTTAATTTCTTTTGAATAGCATTTTTTCTTGATAAAACCACTTTTTTTTCTTGATAACACCACTTTTTTATTGATAACACCACTTTTTCTTCATGTGGCTGAATCATCATCATTAGAATGTGCTACCATGGTTACCGGTGTAAACAAACAAGATATATTCAAGGATCATTCACATATCTGGATCTGGTATATCATGATGTCCTTTATCCAAACCTCATCAGAGGCCAAACTTTGGCAAAATTTCCAGAGCAATTTTTGGTAAAAATTAAAAATATGAACTGCTAAGGACTCTACAATGTTCATGTATATATACTGGCAAACAAGGATAAGTTGGACTGGTGCAGAGAATGCGTTTACGAGAAGTAGGCGGTGCACGGCAATGAGCAAACCCATTTGGTTTGTGAAAGGTAGAGCAGATGTAGGCTAGTGCATGTACAGTGCATGACCATGAAATTGATTCCGCACGTAGCTGCACACGCCTTGCTCATAAGACTCTCACGTAGTCGGTGTAGCAAGTCGCACTACACTTGATCACGGACAACCTGGGGCCCCTTCGCTAACAATGGCAAAAGCCAATGGGCGGCACTCATACATACTAATACGGGTCAATTGTCAGGACGGTGCTCAACTTATCCTTGTTTGCCTGTACTTGTAGCTTGTGTAAGACAGCTGGTTAAGGTGACTTGTATACCACTGACAGTACGAAGAGCATCAATGTACTGAATGCTATGTAACAATGCAATTATGAAAGCCTAATGAAATCATAACTCTAACATTTTGCCTGGAAAGCTGATTAGCTTAGAAGTCTAAAAAAATCCCTCAAAGATATCAAACTTTTCATCATAAATTTCAAACACTGATAACCATGTTCCACCAGCAACAAAAATAACAAAAGTGTAGACTTACCAAATCCAGGGAAATTACTGACTCCTGGAATATTGAACTCTGCATAATCTCCACTCCGTGATCGGAGAATCCGGAAGAGAAGAAATCCTGTGACTGGTTTAATTAACAAGTCCACAATGGCCATACTTGCATCGGGTTAAGGAGAACTGTGAGTGTATCATTAAGTGACCCAGATATTCCCGGTACGATACAGCAGCACGTGAATAATCAGGTCTGTGCCAGACAGGCAAGTGACTGAGATTACAAACAACCCTCGGAGACATTCGGATTGGAGGCTTCTTTACCAACCAGATAATGCGGCTTCACAACCTAATCGGGGCGGTGGGGTAGCCTGACCGTTAAAGTGTTTGATCATCATGCTGAAGAACTGGTTCGATTCCCGACATCAGTACATTGTGTAAAGCCCATTTCTGGTGTCTCCCGCCATGATACTGCTGGAATATTGCTAGAAGTGGCATAAAATCATACTCACTCACTTACTCAATCACAGCCTAGTAACAAGGTTACTAGGGACGCATTCTAACACAGAATCCACATCATGAGACAAGCAAAAGGTACTGGGGACCAACTTCACCCTGTAATCCTGACAGGGGTGTATGTATGGGGTGGTGGGGACCAACTCCACCCTGTAATCATGACAGGTTGCATGTATGGGGTACTGGGGACCAACTCCACCCTGTAATCATGACAGGGGTGCATGTATGGGGTGGTGGGGACCAACTCCACCCTGTAATCCTGACATGTGGGGGGTGCATGTAACCCTGACATGGGGTACTGGGGACCAACTCCACCCTGTAATCATGACAGGGGTGCATGTATGGGGTACTGGGGACCAACTCCACCCTGTAATCCTGACATGGGGGGGTGCATGTATCCTGACTGGGGGTGGTGGGGACCAACTCCACCCTGTAACCCTGATGGGGGTGCATGTATGGGGTACTGGGGACCAACTCCACAGGTAATCCTGACAGGGGTGCATGTGGGGTGGTGGGGACCAACTCCACCCTGTAATCCTGACAGGTGTGCATGTACAGGGGGGGGTATGGACCAACTCCACCCTGTAACCTGGGGACCACAGGGTACATGTATGGGTGGTGGGGACCATGCTCCACCCTGTAATCCTGACAGGGGACATGTATGGGGTACTGGGGACCACTCCACCCTGTAATCCTGACAGGGGTACATGTATGGGGTACTGTAATCCTGACAGGTGTGCATGTGTAATCCTGACAGGGGGGGTACTGGGGACCAACTCCACCCTGTAATCCTGACAGGGGTGCATGTATGGGGTACTGGGGACCAACTCCACCCTGTAATCCTGACAGGGGTGCATGTATGGGGTACTGGGGACCAACTCCACCCTGTAATCATGACAGGGGTGCATGTATGGGGTGGTGGGGACCAACTCCACCCTGTAATCAGGTGACAGGTGGTGGGGACCAACTCCACCCTGTGCATGTATGGGGTACTGGGGACCAACTCCACCTGTAATCATGACAGGGGTGTAATCATGACAGGGGTGCATGTATGGGGTACTGGGGACCAACTCCAAGGACAAATGAAGAACATACTGTCAGAGACCATCTGCCATATGATATTTTTTCATTGCAATTGAAAAGTCTTCCTAATGCAGCCATACCTCACAATTAATGCCCATAGGTGTATGTTACACAAGCTAAGTGAGTGAGTGAATGAGTTTAGTTTTATGCCACACTCAGCAATATTCGAGCTATATGGCCGCGGTCTGTAAATAATCGAGTCTGGACCAAACAATCCAGAGATCAACAGCATGACAACCTATGACATGTGTCAACCAAGTCAGCGAGCCTGACCACCCGATCCCGTTAGTCGCCACTTACAAGCATGGGTTAGTGAAGATCAATTCTAACCCGGACCTTCACGGGTCACAAGTCATGCGAAGGAGTATATCCTGGGTCAAGCTTGCACACCCTGACAACCTCCATGTAAAGGATACCCCAAGCTGAATCTGTACTCGTTGATGTAGCCCTGATCGCGAGTGGCTCGAGCTGTGGAGAGAAACACATTATCATCATGATGGTGACGTTATCCCCCCTGCACATAGTCAAATGTATTTACAACTCAAACCACAGTTTCCCAGTTTCCATGGCGTAATTCGCTCTTTAGAATTTGTTTTATTCATGTCAATGAATACATCATATTCTATTTGTTTGTTGGTTTGTTGTTTAACACCTCACTTGCAATATTCCAGCTATATGACAGCGGTATGTACATAATGAAGTTTGAACCAGACAATCCAGTGATCAATAGCATGAGCATCAATCTATGCAACTGGGAAACGATGACATGTGTCAACCAAGTCAGCGAGTCTGACCACCTGATCCTGTTAGTCGCCTCTTACGACAAGTCAAGTTACATATACATGGTCTGTCATGTGACTGAATGTTGGGATCATAAACGTCATCCAAAACGATTGCTGATTGGGTAAAATATGGAAGTTACCTGAACGAAATATGCTTCAATAATCATGTATGTCACACATGCATAAAATGTTCAAGTGTGGGGTTATAATATGAATCAATAGAGTGAGTGAGTGAGGTTAGTTTTAAGCACTCAGTAATATTCCAGCTATATGGCAGCGGTCTGTAAATAATCGAGTCTGGACCAGACAATCCAGTGATCAACAACATGAGCATCCATCTACTCATTTGGGATATGATGACATGTATCTATCAAATCAGTGAGTCTGACCACCCAATCCCATTAGTCGCCTTTAATGACAAGCGTGGGTTACTGAAGACCAATTCTAACCCTGATCTTCACAGGGTGGGTGAGTGAGTGAGTGAGTTTAGATTTACGCCGCACTCAGCAATATTCCAGCTATATGGCGGCGGTCTGTAAATAATCGAGTCTGGACCAGACAATCCAGTGATCAACAGCATGAGCATCGATCTGCGCAAGTGGGAACCGATGACATGTATCAACCAACTCATCGAGTCTGACCACCTGATCCTGCTTCACAGGGCGGAATCAATAGAGGATAAAAATATGAATCAATACAGGTAAGCGTGTATCGCATATAGAACTGTCTGAGAATATTATCAATGCACCAAACAATGAACAATTAGTTAATAAAACAAATTAAAAAGGCAAATGACAGGGAAAAACCATTTTTGGCTGAGGCCTGACATACATAACAGGAGCAGATACAGAGGGGGTGCTTCTCCCAAAACTCTTGGATCTGCCCTGATTCAACATGACAAAACATGACAAAACATCATGACAACACCTTCTGAATTACTTACATTGATCATATCCTCTTGGCGCATATATTCCCAGCAGTATTATATCTTGGACAACGCTAATGCCATGCATGATGAGGTACTGGGGGAGAGAAAAAGTTATACTCTGTAGTCATTAGATGATTCTTACCTGAGCTCTTCACATTAGTCAAAATATTGTAGACAGACTACTCTGCATCAAAACTCTCTATTTTGGCAAAGAATTACCACATTTCCTCTATTAGATGCCTGGCAAAGAATTACTATGTTTCCTCTATTAGATGCCTGGCAAAGAATTACCACATTTCCTCTATTAGATGCCTGGCAAAGAATTACCATATTTCCTCTATTAGATGCCTGGCAAAGAATTACCACATTTCCTCTATTAGATGCCTGGCAAAGAATTACCATATTTCCTCTATTAGATGCCTAGCAAAGAATTACCATATTTCCTCTATTAGATGCCTGGCAAAGAATTCCCACATTTCCTCTATTAAATGCCTGGCAAAGAATTACTATGTTTCCTCTATTAGATGCCTGGCAAAGAATTACCACATTTCCTCTATTAGATGCCTGACAAAGAATTCCCACATTTCCTCTTTAAATGCCTGGCAAAGAATTACCATATTTCCTCTATTAGATGCTTGGCAAAGAATTACCACATTTCCTCTATTAGATGCATGGCAAAGAATTACCACATTTCCTCTATTAGATGCCTGGCAAAGAATTACCACATTTCCTCTATTAGATGCCTGGCAAAGAATTACTATGTTTCCTCTATTAGATGCCTGGCAAAGAATTACCACATTTCCTCTATTAGATGCCTGGCAAAGAATTACCATATTTCCTCTATTAGATGCCTGGCAAAGAATTACCATATTTCCTCTATTAGATGCCTGGCAAAGAATTACCACATTTCCTCTATTAGAAGCCTGGCAAAGAATTACCATTTTTCCTCAATTTGATGCCTGGCAAAGAATTACTATGTTTCTTCTATTTGATGCCTGGGACAAGACAAAGATTAACCATATTTCCTCTATTTGATACCTGGGTCAAGACAAAGAATTGCCATATTTCCTCTATTAGATGCCTAGGACAAGGCAAAGAATTACCATATTTCCTCTATTAGATGCCTGGGACAAGGCAAAGAATTACCATATTTCCTCTATTAGATCGTTGTATCACTGAATATTGCTGAGTGTGGTGTTAAACAATTGACAAACTTGACGTTACCATCATGACTGGTTCCGGAGACTCTGGGTTCACAATAGCCCAGAAACCAAAAGCTAGGACAAAACCATTCAGGTAGAGGTAAGCAGCTGGCATAAGCACTCCAGACATCGATCCCCTGCAGATAGAAAACATATATGATAATCTCTCGCCAGCTGGCCATGTCAGAAATGTGTGTTCAAATCATTCAACACGCCATCATCAATACCTTACAGGTTTTGTATGCACAATATTTAGAGAATAACGAACGAGGTCGCCTTGGCGAGGCACTGAACATTATTTAACGAGGGTATATTTCCCGTAATCACTCGCACCGAGTTGGTTATTCTATTTATAACCCATAATGTAATTTAAAGAGAAGAACCATGACATACAAACAACCCGGAGGCAGGACTTGTGACCTCAAACATCTGATTGGTATTCATGAGCGTATTAAACCTAACTTCTCCAGCAGTAATAACATAACTACTCTATGGAAAATAGTACCTCATAAGGTCGCTTTAAAATACAACAAATATATTTTTAATGGAATGATTTATGAACATTTGTTAACGTGATAAAAATGATCTTTTAAATGCAATATCATTGAGCTTAATAACAGCTAAAACGTTATTTGATCAAGTCAGTGCACCAGAACATTGTTCATTCACGACTGACATGTGTCTAGTTACGGGTGACGCCATCATCATCAACACCTTACAGGTTTTGTATACACAATAAAGATATCCATTACCCGCTAAATCATTTGCAATCTAAGATGGACACGTGTCAATTTGAAGGTAAAAGAATGAAGTGTTCAATTGGCCTGATAACGGAGTAAGATAACCTCTTTTAGTTTTATTACTTTCCCGTGGAAGATACCGTAGTGTAATATTTTTACGTCAGTATTACACTAGTGTAATACCACTAGATGTATGACGTCATAATGTTTTACAGTTATGACGCCACAATTCTAACACCTCTGTCACAATGATATTAGGCGTTGCTTGACAAGCGGAAAACTCAGTCATCACACTGTAAGCAGTTTCTATCAATTTATGTTGGAGTGTAATAAACAGAATACTAAACTCGCTTCCGTGAAATACCATTTCTATTAAACTCATGAAAGATTTAGTGTCAAACTCACTTTCGCTCGTTTGATACCAAATCATTAACTTGTTTAATGAAAATGGTATTACACGGAAGGTTATTTAGTATGCTCTATAAACATCATATTCCTCATATGACAGAAAATGACATTCATATATCCCCCTGTAATATTATGTTTATCATGGTATGAAACATGAGTGTGCACATCTACAGATAACTTTCTGGGTCATGAGTTATGTACTCGCTTGTGTTAATCTCAATCGGGTATCCTCATTTTCCTTTGAGTAACCAAATAAATTGTATCCACCTCACTCAAACTTATTGGGTACTTTGCCATTTTCCATCAATTGTAAAAATATAATAAAGTTTAAATGTTTTTTTGTATTTGTTATTCATATTTGATCAGTAATGTGAGAAACGATAAGAAAGACTGCAAGTTCATGTGCTGACATAGAACCTCTCAACCTACCTTAACATGTTTGTGTGTACGCATGTAAGATCAAATATATTGAGTATTTACAAACATTCAAGCATACTTGGATGCAACAGAGTTAATAGGAATTGAGTTTTAACATAAATATTTGCGTAATTTACACAGATATGCAGCTTATCTGTACCTGTATGATCTCTGTGGAAACTCTACTAGCATGTAAAATGAACTGAACAACATGCAGAGATGACTGCAAGAATATGGCAGATTATGGCACTCTAAGCTCTCATCAGGCTCTCTGATCCTGTCTATCAGTTTTCCTATTGATAAAATGTCTGAACCCTTGACCTGAAATAATTCCACAGTATGAAGCACCATCCATCTTGAACATGTTGAATGAGTTTGAAAACATACCGATATAAACACTATTTCCATAATATTACATGATTTCAGCATGATGTTTGCAGTAAGCCAAGTGTGACACAGGTCATTGACGTTCACAGCTTTGGTGCAGACAATTAACCAACAAACCTGGACCAGACAATCTAATGATCAACAGCATGAGCATCAATCTAATAGTAGACAATGATACGTGTCAACCAAGTCAGCAAGTCTGACCATCCATCTCTGCCAGTTGCCTATTACAACAAGCATGGATTGCTGAAGACCAATTCTGACCTAGATCTTCACACGTTAAATTAAGATAAAATTAGACCAAGATAAATCACTGCAACTTCTCTCAACCTCATGAGACCCGTGAAGATCCGGGGAAGAATAGGTCTTTAGCAACCCATGCTTGCCACAACAGGCGACTATGCTTGTCGTAAGAGGCAACTAATGGGATCGGGTGGTCAGGCTTGCTGACTTGGTTAACACATGTAATCGGTTCCCAATTGCACAGATCGTTGCTCATGCTGTTGATCACTGGATTGTCTGGTCCAGACTCAATTATTTACAGACCGCTGCCATATAGCTGGAATATTGCTGAGTGCGGCGTAAAACTAAACTCACTCACTCACTCAACCTCATGTACAGGTGTACTGAGCAATATTAATTTCAATGTTAAGGACTTCCTTCGATTGAAACTTACCAGAAAATTCTTAAGCCGTCTATTACTTCTGGATGTTCTTTATTCAAAGGATAGGTAAACAAGTACTTATGTATTCATGATCAATACAAAAATGTAATAAAGATATCCTCAAGGATAAATAATTGATTTTCCATCACCTGGTAACAAATGGTACATTAGGACAGTTTTGTATATTAGGTTAGTTATTCCATATTGATCGCTATACATGAATCTAATAATAGATTCAATAAGTGTCCCTGGGTGCTGTTGTTCAAAACAACTTTAACACTACAGTTGTTGTAAGTCTATTTATAGTATCATGGTTATGATCACCTCCGCCTTAAGATTGCTTTGTAAAACGCCAATCTGGCCATGTTATTGTTAAATACAAGTAGTGACTGAATGATAAGGTTCAGCCCAACTGTTCCTTCAGTGATTTAGAAATAGACGCATATAGACTTAGTTGTATTGGGTTAGTTTCATAGAGTAAAACATGGCAACATCACAGTCTCTACTGATATCTTTATTTTTGCAGAGTCAGCAATTATTTACTTTAGTATGTCACACATATTTATTTACCTTAAAGTGAGTGAGTTTAGTTTTACACCACACTCAGCAATATTCCAGCTATCCGGTGGCAGTCTCTAAATAATCAAGTCTGGACCAAACAATCCAGTGATCAACAGCATGAACATCGATCTACACAATTGGGATACAATGACATGTGTTAACCAAGTCAGCGAGCCTGACCACCCGATCCCGTTAGTCGCCTCTTACGACAAGCATGGGTTACTGAAGGTCAATTCTAACCCAGATCTTCACGGGTTTATTTACATTAAAACAATTGAATTGAAAATATATACCATTATCAACCTTTTCACGATGTTCTAAGTACTTTAATTTTTATGCCTATACACTCTAGCACTGCTGTCTCGATATTCATGGGACCAAGAAAAATACTGACTTATCCGAACTTCGAGACATCCGACCAGGGCATATCATCACATATCACTATGAAAGAAAACAAAACACTTATCAGTATGTTTTGATTCGAAACTATAATTCGTTATCAGTAGTATTTAGTCATAACACTAACAGTGAGTACTTCCTAATTAATTCCTTCTTAATTAATCCTAATTAAATAACAAACAAGTGACACCTTCAACTCAATTAGCCTAAATTAGTTTACACTACCGCATCCCTTTGATTCATGCCGCACCGTGTATAAACGTGTGGAAACAACCTCAGTTCAGAGGGATACTTGCCCATGAAAGGTAGGTGAATATCGAGTTTCTTTGCAAATATCAAGGTAATTTTGCTTGTTGGTACATGTACCATGAAATCATATCAAGATATCCAAAATATGGAGAAATCCGTATCAAGTTAAAAGAGCTTGAAGAATGATAAATTATGAAGGATTTTTCCGGGACCGAGATGTTTTATAGAGACAACTGAGATATCGAGTTATCCTAGTTCAACACAACGGTGCTCGACTGTATTGGATGTCATTGATCATCAGAATAGTGATTATGAGTAAAAGATTATCAATACTAAATTAATAACTCACATCCCCAGAAATGTGAACATTAAAGAAGATAACCATGGCTATGATAAACAATAAGAAAATTCTAAAGTAAACATTAAATGGATCTGACAAAACATATCTATCATCAACTTGCAAGTCTACATGGCATTTTTACTAATACACATACAGAATAATGTACCCCAATGTACGGTATCATATTACTAACTGACAATTCGGAGTCAGTATATAAATGACTCAGTGCCACAAATACATTACATCAGTCACATTACCCTCTCTGTCCTTCCATAACTGAATCAACCAATGATATCATCCACGATCATGACTCGCTCTCACAAGGCCATAAATATAAACGTGTGACCAATTATTGTAAAATGCAACCTGATATTTATGCCTACATCAGAGGACATATGGTGCTAGGTTCAATGACCCAGAGCTTGTTAAAAAATTTTAAATGTGTCTACCCTTTACTTGTCATAGGCGAACAATTTTTATGGAACAACTTCTTTATTGCAAAATTGGTGTTAGCATACACACCGAAACGTCACATCTATTGCAATACAGAAGTTGTTCTTCTACATCATACCAGTTTCTCAATGTCCCTCTGAAGACCCTCATTTGTCCACTACATTGGCTTTTGTAGATACTCAATACATAAGGTTTGTGTCCCATACAACATCACTAATCCTTGTGCCATATGAAATCTGTCCTCCTTTTGAGGGCTTGACGTCATCAAACTATGGTCACTTCAATGTTCATGATCATTTTACCAATACATTTTATATCAATAACTAAAGCAGAGTCAGAACAGTCAGAGTCATTTTCTGCTGACAGGGTTTTACTTTACACAATGCAGAAATGTGCATATATCATTGTATATTATGCACTAAAGTATACACTGAATGCAAACACAAATTATTTATGGAGATGGTGACATAACTTAGAGATAAAACGATAACACTGGATAACTGAGAACTTCAAACAACATCTGTGTGGGTTTTCAGATTCCTCAAAACAGCCATTGTTTTCTCAATAATCACATGAATAACAGTAAACCGTGTCAATAACTTACAAAACACAACATTATCTTAAACACCGGCCATCATCCAAGTATTTACCATGTCTGTGTGGCTCAACACCTTGAGTGATAGTGTGAATATACAATGCCAACCCAAAACAATGAAAGGTGAGAATTGATGTATGTCAACTACTTTATTATGAGGAACAGACTGTTTCGGTGTATATTCTTACTCCTACATCAGGTGAGTGAATAATTAGTAAGCAGATATAGCTATACATGTGAAACAACAACACTTACAGGATAACAATATACAGTAGTTATTTGGCGTTGATTGGTAATGACCATAAACAAATGGGTGATCAAGCACTGATAGGCAATGGATAAAGAGGGTGGAAAGACAATGGCACTGGTCTACAATCCTAATACTTACCAAAATGTCAGCACAAAATGGGCGACAAATATAATCTGAAATAGGGAAGAAAATTACATGAGAATTTCGCAAGTTATAGATTAATTATCATTCCATATCAAGGCATACTTCATTAACATATTTCATAAAGGTGTCTTCAGGAGTACGGTATACATGGAACCATTATTTAAAGATAGACAGTAACAGTGCACACAAATATAATTATTAGGTATAATCAGTTTGTGAAATGAACCAGGACAAAATGCGAGATAATCTTATCGATCACTGAGGAAGCAAACATCCAAACACCTTTAACGTCGTTTGTGGCGCGTTATTCATGGTGAATCCGTTTTCAAACTAACTGGGGTGGAGTACGATGAGCGGCGATGTAGTTTCCTATGCTAGACCAGACAACATTTGTTGATAAGGTTTGTTTTCCGTATCACCGTCACGAGTATCAGTCTCGTGTCGAGTCACGACAAAGGTGAAGGTCGTTCCCTCAAACCATATATTCTTATAGAAAAACGTAATTTCCTGAAGAATATATAACCTATCACCTGATATATAACTATCGGAACCAAGACAGTGTATTGTCAGATTGGTGTGATTTGTACTTTAAGGAATATTCTATGAAAATTGGTAAATGTTATGTAGTTCAGAGCATTGCATTCGAGGATACTTGAATGAATCAACATGGCCGCGCTCTTATAGAAAAACGTGAGTAGTTGGACTAAAGTACTATTTGAATCTCGATGAAACAGCCCACGCTGAGGCTTGTCGGTATTGAATGTTCTGACAAGAGTTAAGGTCCCAGAGTCAGTGTTTGTAAAGGTTTCGTCCGGAATTAGATGCAGACAACACACTAACGGAGACTGAGCCTTTGAGAGGCATGTCGCTCTCAGGTCACACAATATCACACCTAAGTTAGGTCAAGCAGTCACCCACCAATGTTCCATCACTGTGGGGTTTCGGGTTAGTTTCGTAGATCTTAGTCTAAATAGAAACTCTGGTGGCCAGGATCAGTATCTTGGCTGATTGCCTGTCATCTAATCCCGACAGAGACAGATGCTACTCATTATATCCACCTCATGTTTGTCTGATGCAGATGCAGTGATATAGCATTGAGTGAGTTTAGTTTTACTCCACACATCACTATACCAGCTATATGACGATGGTCTGTAAATGATTGAGTCTGGACCACACAATCCAGGGATCAACATCATGAGCATCGATCTACGTAATTTGGATACAATGACATGTGTCAACCAAGTCAGCGAGTCTGACCACCCGATCCTGTTAGTCACCACTTACGACAAGTATACTATAGGCTACTTAAGATCCATTTTAACCCAAATCTTCATGGGTCAGTGATATAGCAAGTGGGAGTAGTGCTGTTAAGGACGCTCATTTAGATATGTGTGAGCAGGTGATCATGCTTGCATGAATACAATTTGTAAAAGCCTTTTAGTCTTCCAGCCTGAACTTGGCTCTCAGAACCACTTTCAGCATATTCAGTAGTTTATATTGTTATAATATCATATTGTGTTGCATTTTTGCAGACACTTAAGAAACATTAATTGTTTTTTTACCAATCACATGCATAACATCTGTCGAAAGGTGATTAGCTCTTGCTACACTGGCTTTGCATGTCTTTTCGATCCCAAAGTATAGTTGTAATGGCTTGTGATGAAGTTGTCTGTTATCATGCTTATGAGTTAGTGGGGCTGAAGGTTGTTGTCCACAAGGGTACTACAGTTATGTAATTCTTGGGTATGTATTCAGAAATGTACACAACCCAAAAGCAGAATTCAGAAACATATACTGGGACAAGTTCTTTCTACTTTGCATCCATTTTCTTGATCGGAACTGTCATATTGTTGTTGTATAATAAAAGGGAACACGCAGTTATGAATATTTGCACAGTATCACTTGTAATCAGGCAAATGGGAACAACATGAACTGGTTTAGGTTTTGGATTGAGGAATATAGACTCCTTCACCATTTCAGATACAGGGTACTCTTTTCTCTATTCTGACTTTGTTTAAGGTATATTTGTGCATACAGAAACATTCATCGTGTACATATCTGTTGTACCTGTGCTGACAACTACCCCTTCAGCCCATTAACTTATAATGGACAACTTTATCATAAGCCATCACAACTATTCTTTTATAATATTAATATATGATCAAAAAGACAAGCAGGGTCAGTGTAGCCAGAGCCAATTAGCAACTATATATATATGCCTAGTAAACTGCAGTTTTTTACTTGCTTATATTTCGTTATGCATTTAAACAACCAATAATGGTTTCATAAGTCATTTGCCATATATGATTTTATTTTTTTGCTGTTTCAGTGACCTGTAAATATGGCTACGTTACGTTCAGCATCAAGCGTACTAAGGCTTGGAAAGTCCTTACAACGCCTTTCTGTCAATGGTTAGTCTTTATGATCATCTTTGTGACCCACAAAGACACAGAACAGTGCTGGCTGTGATATGTGAAGGGGCACGAGTGGCCTAGCTGTCTGAGATCCTATTGCAATGGATTATTGCATCCCTTGGCTCGATAGAAACTGTATTATGGTTCTGAATATGTTTCTAGTTTACTTTGGTAGTAGATGTTTCACCTTGGTTACTGAAGAAGTTAATTGGTCCAACTTTGTCCATGTCTGATAAGCTTGGTGTATGGAATGGCGTATTATAAAGGTTAAATGTCACAGCGTTAATCTTGAAAGGTAAACAGTGATCTCAGTCTATTTTAAATATTGCATTCAATAGCTGCTGTCTTTTGATACCTGTCTGAATCTAAGCGAAATGACAGTAGTGAGCAAAAATATGGACTGATGAAGAAAGTTTTATCACCCATACATGATGTTATATTTTCCAGATAACTTTCAAGGATTTATGAGATGCATTGGAACTCAGGGAACAGTCAGTGATCATCTCCCTGTGAAACCCAGTTTCCATGGACATGTGCAAACAATGGTTTCTCCCCAGCAGTCAGTTTTAAATCATTTACCCTACAAGCTCCAAACTATGACACAAGATAAAGAATACATTTGTCCTTCACGGCTTGGCCTTACACAACCTGCTGTGGCAATACTGGATCAGTCCATTTCTAAACAAGGGGTGTTAGACTGCCCCACTCTTCCTCAAGCTCTGAGAGATGTCCTTGTTCCAGAAGGTGAGGTCAAGGTCATATATGACCCAAACTCCCACAATGCACCAATCAAGGAAGCGAAGCACATTATAAAGATAAGGAGAAGGAAAATGAACCGGCATTTGTTGAAGAAGTTTCGGAAACGGATGTTGTTTTCTTTGAGAAAACAAAGGAAAGATCTGAGGAAGAAAAAAGAAAAGATATTTCGTGAAGAGCTGCGTATGATCACGAAGAAAGGGGAGGACTTTGATGCCATGGCACATGTTCAAAGTGAGCTTGAAATAGCTCGCAGAGGAGGGTTTTATATTGAAATATTACCTAAAGAATCCAGGTGAGAAGAATGCTGTTAGGGGCAGCAACACTTCACTGAGTTATTGGTACATCAAAAGACAATTCCCACAACAGCGTGTCATACAATGTATATCATTTGAATGAAAGGACAAGTTGTGTTTTTGTGAGCCTCTAGTTATTCCTGATGGCTTCAAACATTGTAGCATGTATTGTGATATCAGGACAGTGCTATTTGAACATGGAGTGTAAACAAGATTAGCTTGAGTTTGAAAATGGTTCCATTACCATGGTAACTAAAATGAAATAAAGGAATGCCCAATGATGTACGATACTAAAACAGGTCTTGTTATCTTCCTGTATACAAATATGGATGTGAGTCTGACAGTCAGAAGCATAAGGAAACTGCACTTTGTTTGGAGACATTTCTTGTATTATAATTAGGTGATCGGGCGGTAGGGAAGCCTGGTGGTTAAAGCGTCTGCTCGTCACACCAAAGACCCAGGTTCGAATCCCCACATGGGCACACTATGTGAAGCCCATTTCTGGTGTCCCCTGCCGTGATATTGCTGCAAATATTGCTAAAAGCGGCGTAAAAACATACTCAATCACTAATTAGATGATCATGCTGCAAAATCAGCTATTTCCCAGTAAGTCTTCAGTACCCTGTGCATGTCTCCCTTTGATAACCAGGTAAGAATAGGTCACCTACAACCTATACTAGTCGTAAGAGATGATAGGTGGAGTGCATGGCAGAGATTGGTAACTCTGGTTCATGGTGTTTCTTCGTGCCCGGGTGGCATGGACCGATGTTCACAATATCGATCACTTGGAATAGGTCACCTACAACCTATACTAGTTGTAAGAGATGATAGGTGGAGTGCATGGCAGAGATTGGCAACTCTGGTTGATGGTGTTTCTTCATGCCCGGGGGCGGTGGGGTAGTCTAGTGGTTAAAGCGTTGGGTTGTCACGCCGAAGACCCAGGTTCGAATCCCCACATGGGTACAATGAGTGAAGCCCATTTCTGGTGTCCCCCGCCGTGATATTGTTGGAATATTGCTAAAAGCGGCGTAAAAGCAAACTCAGTCAGTCAGTCAGTCTTCATGCACGGGTGGCATGGATCGATGTTTACAATATCCATCACTGGATTGTCTGGTTCAGACAGGATTAGTTACACGCTGACATCAAGTAGATAATATTGATGAATGGTGTAATTAATTGGTTGATCAGCATTCTAGAAGTGGGTGATCAAAAAAATGAAACATACAACTTTATGGATGACAATTTATTATTTCGATGTACATTCTTACATGGCTATCACGCTAAATAACGTTATAAGAATCTACTTCGAAACGTCACTCTATGCAATAAATAAGAAGTTGTCATCCATAAAGTTGTATGTTTCTATTTTGAATGGTGTTATATCACCCAGTCTACAGAAATGTTTGCCACCTAATATAATGACATGCCAAATATTGTAGATATTATTTTGGAGGTCACAATGTGAGAGTTCAAGTGTCCTGACATAGAATAGAATGTTCCAGATTATGTCAACAATCCAAACTCAGTTTTGCTATTGCTACAGACTGCAAATAGTAAAACAATAATAAATCGTGTTTCAGATTTGAGATAAATGTGAAAACAGTGTTGCACTTCACACAATAAACCTCAAAAGCAGTCTTAACACATCTGCTAAAGGAGTTTAAGTTTTCTATTGCAATGTGTTGAAACTTGACACCAAGAATTAGTTCAATAAAACATCAAAGCATGATAGGCTGAGAAGGGAACACTATACAGGTTATACTCACGAGAAGGCACGGGGGTGCCAGCACCACCTGTGAGCTTCCATTAATGCAACTGATACCCATTATTGTAATCACTTTCACACACTACAACACACAGCTACCACACACAACACTTTCAACTGATATCTGGGTAAGACTTACGCCCGTATCCCCCCTAAATTTTAACGACTAAAAATTGTTAAAACTCATCCCTATCAGATGAGGAATATATTTTCAGGTGATATGATTTGAAAGTTAAAGGGGGATACGGGCGGAAGTCTTACTGATATCTGATATTCCTGTAAATTGGATAAGCATTTCTGGGAATGAGAGTTACCCCCCTTACTTCACCCAACAATCAGAAAGCAGCTTCATGTTATTCTGATGCTTAATTTTGAAATGCCTCAACAATTTGTGTACCTTTAACACTACTTTGTACAACATCTTTGTGACTAATGTACTGTCAGAGATAGAAAAAAACTTTTTCACATTTATATCTGCAATTTAGGTAGTTAATATGTGAAAGTGTGAAATATCTGTTAAACTAACAGTCTCAGTGGAAGGGAGATAGGAAACGTAATAAAATAATTTTACTGAGGAGAGATTTGTACAGAAATGAGCAATGATATATACGACTTATTTAGAACAGACCATGGCTTTATGCAAATTAGTGTGCGATGATATTGTATTTCAAAGGACACTTTTTATATGCCTATTTTGAAATTAGACTTTAGCTTCATTATTAACAATAGCTGACGTAAAAACTAATAATATTGAAACTATTAAGGACGTAGCTACCATGGTGTCTCACTATCACTATAAAAAGAAACAGGTAGGAGGGGTCGTCTTAAAAGCAAAATCAGGATGGTTGTCACAGATGGTGGTTGGGGTCAGGCTGGGGGACAGAGATATCAGCTAAGATAAAATAATCAATACACATGAAAAAGCCTAAAATATATATTTGAGATGACCCCTTGTGTCTGTGGGCAAGACATGTATTTCATGCCAGGTGACTCGATGGTCCGTCGTCATACCTGGCTGTGTGACCTAATTGCCATCTATAGTCTGACTTATTGTTTTCAGCAGCAATTCATATTTTTTCTTAGTTTTGCCCTATTTTACGAGTAAACATGCTTTTCTGGATATCCTATTATGCATCCCACTGAGCACCCAGTTAGGCCGATGTAAGTTATTTCGACATATGCTATTTGCAGTTGTGTAAATTATAGGGATACAGAGTTACAGTCTAAAAACATTTTTTTCTATTTCTGACAGTACTTTAATTTGGATCTTAGGAATGCAATCAGTTTGTGAACAAGGATCTTTGTAAGACCTGGGTCTACTTACCCAAAGCGATCTTAGCACTAGGAGCATCAAGTCTGTAATAGAGTATTGGAGTTGCAATCACTGTAGCCCTAAGATTGCTTTGGTCTGCCTGAAGCTGATTAAGTAACAACTAATTAATTATTTTCTTGTTTAAGACGAGTTGGGGTTTATGCAGCTTCAACACAATATTATTCCAGAGGACTGCTGGGTGAACATCATAGGCGCCCGACTCTGATATATTTATAAGCCTTATATATATAGGTCATCCTTATAAATATATCAGAGTCGGGTGCCTATGGTGAACACAGCCCTGGGATGACCTTCATGTTGTAATGACTGCCAGTGTCTACCCAGAGAGGGAAGGTCTTTGGTTCGATCTCCGACCATTCACAGATGGTAGTGGTTGTTAATCTGCCAGGGTTCACAGCTGTAAGACATGAAGCTCTCAGTGTCAGTATACTGTATACCGAAAGATATACATGTAGACGAGCTTTACGGAGCTTTATATTCTTCGATCTTGGTTCTCCTGAGTTTATTTCGACCGCCATCATTTTACACATCATCCCATCACGTCATCATTTCCTACTCATTTCGTCATCATTTCCTGCACTCACAGAAACTATTTCTAAAGAAAAATTTGACTAGTTATCATTGTGACACTGGTTGTCTGCTGACTGATGTAAATATAACAAAATATAATGATGTTAGATTACATTATAAAATTGACTAATGAGGGTCTATTTTCACATACAGCAGAAGGTAATTATGTCAGAAATAATACCTTCATCAAGCTTAGTCATATTATGTTTACTGAAACGCTCGTAAAATATTCACAAAGTGACTCAAAATATAATCTCATTATGTAACATGAGTGTGGATTCAGTATCCTACTTTTGTGTGGTGTCTCAGTGCAGTGATCATTTGTTGTAACACATCTCAGTTTAGTGGCCCGAAGAGCGGAAGGTCGCGGGTTTGATCCCCGACCGCATCATACCAAAAGACGTTAAAATATGGTACTTGTTGGTCCCTGCCTGGCGTTCGGCATTAATGGGTACAACAAGGACTGGTCGGCTCGGAGTCAGTATAATGTGTCTGAGTGGGGTATTCATGCTTCACTGCGGCATGGTACCTCAGTGGGCTAGCACTATAAAACCAGCTTCAGTCTGGGCTAGTACAAGCAGCCGCACATACACATACACACGCATGCCCATCATCATATGAGCGAAATATTACGACGTTAAACCCAATTTCACCTCACCTCACCTCAGTTTAGTGCAATCATTTTTAACCCATGAAGATCCAGCTTAGAGTTGATCTTCAGCAACCCATGCTTGTCATAACAGGTGACTAACGGGATTGGGTGGTCAGTCTCGCTGACATGGTTGACACATGTCATATCCAAATTGTAGAGCCATGCTTATGATATTAATCACTAGATTGTTTGGTCCAGACTGCCGTCATATATCTTGAAAATTGCTGAGTGCTGTGTTTAACAATACACAAGCATTAAACAAAAATATCACAGTTTTAATTGGTCCCATGCTGGTTGAAGGTGGAACAAAATGGATTGGGTGGTCATTCTCAGTCATGTGACCGGATTGTGATATCAATTACTGGATTGTTTGGTCCGGATTGTGTGTCATCGTAGAAGGCATGGCATGTTGTTCACAATATCAACCACTGGCTTGGATGATCCCGACAAAATTGTTTACGCAGAGCCATTTCGTGGCCAGAACATTTATTAGTCCATCATTAAACAATAAACGAGATGTGCAAGGCTGATCATCCCATGGTTTACGTGGTCGCCATTACATTGTGAAATAGCTCGGAACAGGTGTGTAACATGCATTCAAACTCATTCACATACATCTGTAGGGGGCAGTTCGGTAGTCAAATGGTGAAAGCGTTCGCTCGTCACGCCGAAGACCCACGTTCGAATCCCCACATGGGCACAATGTATAAAGCCCATTTTTGGTGTCCTCACCAGAATATTGCTAAAAGTGGCCTAAAACCAAACTCACTCACTCCTTTACTCAAAAGTCTGTGGGGATTCTAGGTGGACATGACTGGTCATAACCAGCAACCAACTAAATTCTATAACCAGCAACTAAATACATACTTTGCTTCATAAGGTGTCATCTTACCCAGGTTGGATCATTGTTAAGAATCACTGGATTGTCAGCTCCAGACTCAATTATTCACAGGCTATAACTTGAATACTGATGAATGTGGTACATAAAAACTGACAGTCACAAAAAGGGTGTTCTGGTGTGACTTTGAACATTTTACATGCATGTACTGCTTTCCAAACCACGGTCATTAAAACACAACAAGCACCTGTTGATTACTTTACAGCTTTATTAACATTTTGACAAAATAAATCATTATGCACTGCTGCATGAATAAAATAAATACTATCGTATCCATGTACTCCTGACATCATGGATGATTAACAGTTTGTCCATACACAGCCCCTGAAAATTCATTCATGTTCAGGGTCCACATCCATTATCCAGTCTCAACAGTAGAATATTCCGATGGCCCTAACCATGTATCGTTACCCATAATACTTTCATAGGACAACAAGGCCCTATTACCCATAGCAATTTTGATGCAAAATACTTAAATACATTGTCACAGGCAATAGATCATAAACTTAAACAATTAAATGACAAATATTGTAAAAATTTAACAAAAAATGCCTAGTGACATGTCCCGAAGGGCGATTAAAACTAATATTTTTTTATTTTCAAAGCGGGTATGTTTTCTTGAAAACTAAATCCAGATGTGCACAAAATATCCAGGTTCCAAAGTGAAATGATGAGTTGTCAGGTAAGTGGCATCTTCGATTATCAAAACTATGCCATCTCCATTCTACATGTATCTGTTAAGATCAACATTAGGGACCGAGTAATGACTTGTCAGTGTCTGTGTACAGGGCATGACCATTATAGAAAGGAGGCATAGAACACTTGATAATTGATGATGGGCCACTGGAAGTGCAATCATTATGTTTTGCCTCAGTATTCTACTTCAAGTCCAGAATGTCCTTGAAAACATTGGACCTTGAGACTCCTGCAGATGTGGACCCTGGTCCTTCACAAACAAGACTTGAAACATACTATTTTCTTGAAAAGTTCATCCCTTGTCTTGTGGAATCAGTTACAAAACTTTGATTTTTCCAAGAAACGACAAACTCTGACTAGCTGTTCACATGCTTGTTGTTTGACATTTTTTAGTGGGTGACATATTGAGCCTGCAAGGGAGATAACCCCAACAGAGTAGTCTACTTATCCAGCAGTTTCCTTCTTTGCTTTCAGCGTTAGGCCTGATGCAGAAAGAGACATATCAAAACATATACCTATTTCTGTATCATGTATTTGTCACCAGATTTGTTTGATTTTGACTGATTTTAGATCATGTTGATTGTGATTCATTGTTTGTGATATTGTCGGATTCCTTTGTAATTCCCGTGTTAGAACCACTCAGATAGATACACCAGCAAATGTAGTAGGAAAAAGACGAAATCTGCCCTCATAAAAAAGTATTAGGAATGAATATTTGAAATATAAGAGTTAGTTTAAAAGTTGCCCTGAAATGATAACATTCTTGGTAATACTATCACAAAAATGGACCAAAAGAGAGACTTACAAAATTACAACAACACAATGTTCAAGACAAACCCAGTTCAAGTTACAAAAATAAACCAATGAATGATTCTAAAACGTTTAATGCAGATGACGCTCACTTGTATTTACAGCACCAATCGGCAAGCGCTACCTACTGGGGCATATCTATTGTACAAAATATACACTGAACTATAGAACAATGGGAGGCGATACGACATTGTATCATCGTATTCTATTCAATACAGCATTGAATCTTTGCTGTTGTATTCAATACATTTTATCATATGGTTAAGAATACATAATATAATATTGTATTTCATACAGCATGTATTATTGTATTCAATACAATATGTTTTGTATTCATACCACATGATTTTGTACTTAATACAACAAATCATACTGTTTTCAATACAACATCTTTTGTCTTTACAGCATAGCATCAAATAAGTGTATTGGATACAGTACTGTATCATACAATTATATCCAATAGAACATTCTACTGTGTAATTGTATTAAATACAACATGTACCATACTGTATTGAATGCAACTTTGTATCAATTTCGAGTATTCAATACACAGGCTTTGTACAGTCTTAATAATCCAGCACAGATCAAGGTCACAGAAGAGAGTATTAACAAAATTTAGATTTCAAAATTGCAAATTACCAAATTCTCTTATGGCTTAATTGATAAAAATCCAAACCTAGATTTACCAAAAATGCCTTATCTACACATTTTTCAATGTACCAAATACGTATATGGATCCGAGACCAAACAAAAAAATACAATCAAGAAATGAGGTTAATAAAATTTGATTCAGAGCTAACATGGCGCCATTTATGATTAAAGGCAATTAGCAAACAGTCCTTCGCAAAACTACACATATGCCAACAAAAAGTTACAGACATTACAAAGACAGTTAATATTGCACTGAAAAACATGACAGTCCTGTGATCAAATAGTTTCTATTTAAACACGGTCAGCACTAAAACATCAGTCCATATTTGGACAAAGGTATATAAATAATTTACATATTCATGTACACATTAAGCACAGAAAGTCCACTCTGTACACAATTTGAAGGGTTTGTGGACTCATTATCATTGGGATTCCTCACTGTAACCAATCTGTTGAATCCCATCTGTATTATACGGGACTGTGAGGTATGGATGATGGGTTGTATCAGTTATACAGCAGCAATATTTAATAAACCTGAAGTAAATGGATATTCAGCACTTAATCTATTAAACCATTGGTTAGTTGAGAACCAATCAGATGGCCTGTTACAACCAATCACAGTTTGTCTGTGACAACCAATCAGATGCCATCTTACAACCAATTACATTGTAATTGTAAACCATTGGTTAGATGACAAATGATCATTTGTCCCAAATACAATACCCCAGTTTTTCTAGATACAATTGGCAGAAAGTGACAAACTTGTGATCAGGATCTGGTTTAAATGACGAATAACTGACATAAATGAGGTAAAGCTCATAATAAACTCTCAATCCAACATCATCATCCCAAATGTTTTACCAATAAAACTCTGAATAACCCACTGGGTTTTAGAATTTGTTACAAGCAACAATCAGTGAACATAATCATAAAAGAGGGAAAAACATCTGCTCAAGATCACACAGGGAAATGGACCAAATCAGGAGCATGCATTCCATTCATTTCAGGTTATTGGCTCTGAATAAACTGGTAATTCAATAATGACTAGTCGCAACATGCAAAGTCCCAAATATTTGGATTCAAATATTCACACTATCATAATAGATCATCAACTATTGACTTTAGTTATAATCAGTGAGGCAAGCAAATCCATATTCCTGTTATCCTTCATTCAAGACCTTTGCTGTCACATAAAGAACTCTAGGGAAGGGTATCACACCTTGATTTCCTTGTAGACAGCCTTTCCATACTGGATGTGGTCAATACTGAATCGCGACCTTGACCTGACAAACTTATTCTGTAACTTTGTGAACCCCTCTTACAAGTGTAATTGGCACGGCTCCCACTCATTCCGAACAAAACTTTCAATGTTTATATGATTTCCTCATTGGCTGGTCAGTTTCTGAAATGTCTCCCTCATGTCAAGTCTTTTAATCAAATCAGAAGATATATGTTATCTGACCAGGCATGACCTTGGCTATAACAAATATGCAAATTAAGTCAGGTCAAAGTACTCAGGCAATACTAACCATCACTGCTACTTGTGATATGTTTTCTTCTATATACACACATGGCACGTTCTCGTTCTCCATTATTGGCCAGATTCACACACTTTTCCAGCTCTCTGCGTTGTCAACATTGATATTTCATCTCCTGTTTGTCTACAAATATATTCAACAGAAACATTCATTCTTTCTGTTGATCTGTTTTACAGCATTGAGTCTTGTAATACTGAACTCTACAGTAATAATCCCATCTCTTGATCAAACTTTCACATGGAGAATCAATTCATCGAAACATTTGTCAGTCTCTTTTTTCTGTTGTCTGAACCATGATAGCTTGGACAATGTTTTGAATTGACTGCTTAGAAATCTGTTGAGGATGCCATGAAGTGCAGAACAATTCCATGAAGTGCAGAACAATTCCATGAAGTGCAGAACAATTCCATACATCCAGAACAATTCCTAAAATCCCAGTACCTAAGAGTAAAAGTCCCCAGAGACCATCATTGTAGACACTGCAGTTTCCATGGTAACACTGAGCACTTTGATGGTGTCATCCATTCAGATGTTTCTACAAATGTCAAAGGTGTGTTTGACTTTCACTGCCCTGAAAATCGTAGACCATTTTCTTGTTTTGGACAAGTTATCAGGAAGAGTTGACCAAAAAGCAAGATTCTTAAAGACCTTCTGATTGCTGGTCCAGAACTTCCATCTTCCTCAACCACTGTCAGATAATATTTTCTCCTTCAATGCACAAGTGATACTTCTTATTGTACTGTCATTGCTCTGAACACAATTTCCACAGAATATTCTTCTGACACTAGTGTGTCCAAACAACCAAGAACTGCAAATAAAATTTTACCATGCAATCCAAGACTGTGTTGAAGACTGTTCAGTCACACAAAAACATGAAATGAATGGTATTCCTTGCACCACGCACCATTAATACAGAGTTCACATTTGTCCTGTTATTTTCACACTTAATGTCTCTGTGTTGCCCTCCCTAAGGTCCCAGTTGATACCTGTTTCATCCCTCAGACACGCTTCAATCCTGCTTCAAATCTGGGTCATGGTCAGTATGCCATCAAGGTCAAAAAGCTAAAACCGTTTAAGAAACAGTATACTTTCAGGCTTAAGTGCTGTATCAAAGTGCCACACATGTCCTTTAACTGTCCAGGTTTGATTCCAGGAATATATCAGAAAGCTCAAATGCACCATATTCAAACCTTGCCATTTTTCATGTAATCACAAGGAGTAGCAACATGATACTGTGACATTACTTCAGCACTGCTTGTCTCATATATACATGTATGTACATGATGGATTATTTTTCAAGCTTTGAAATACAAAGTCAGCCTTGTAAGATCCAGCCTAAATATGGACATAACTGTCCTTCAGCCATTCAAACAACTTGTTGAAAGAACAGTTAATTGAAGTTATTATGAAGTTGTCATAAAAACATGAAAATAAGGTGAAGGTCATCAAAAAGGTGAAGGTCACTGTCTTGAGCTTAGAACCTAGCACTGACATCAACTCTTGGTCACATATTACTGGTCACATTATGAAGGTGAAGGTCGTATGAGCTGAATTGCAGTTATGGCACTTGATGACAATTATTGAGTCTTTGGTCCAGAAAAGCACATCTCCTTGACATTCCAGGAAGGCCATATGGAGGTCTGAATGGCATTGATTATGAAGGTGAAGGTCATTATACTGTTGCCTCTGGACTTATCTCGATGACGGGAAACTTGCGTCTCTGCAATTCACGCGTGACTTGAGCGAGATCGGTCATCAACTTTAGTTCTTGATCCTTTAGCTTTTTGATCTCCCGCTGACTAGTCTGCAACAAGGATAGTGATTGGTCAGCACAATTACAGTAAACAATACATGCCAGTTCACAATCAAGCAGAAATATAATGACGTAATTCAACTTGGTCTAATCACTGTTTTCATGCGTAAGAAATAATTTGCTTGCCAATTATGAAAACTAAAATTGACAAATCTTACTAGGCTTATGACACTACATATCTGTTGTTGATGTTGTATTCAATCAGACAGTTAATATCAAACACATTTTGTTTGACAGTCAATACCTTTCACATTTTGTTTGAGAGCCTATACTATACCTACCACATTTTTTATGACTATAAACACCTATCTACAATTTGATTGACAGTCGATACCTACAATTTGTTTGACAGTTGATACCTACAATTTGTTTGACAGTCGATACCTACAATTTGTTTGACAGTCGATACCTACAATTTGTTTGACAGTCGATACCTACAATTTGTTTGACAGTCGATACCTACAATTTGTTTGACAATTGATATCTACAATTTGTTTGACAGTCGATACCTACAATTTGTTTGACAGTGGATACCTACAATTGTTTTTGACCACAAGTGGATACCTACAATTTGTTTGACAGTGGACCTACAATTTGTTTGACAGTGGATACCTACAATTTGTTTGACAGTGGATACCTACAATTTGTTTGACAATTGATATCTACAATTTGTTTGACAGTGGATACCTACAATTTGTTTGACAGTGGATACCTACAATTTGTTTTGACAATTTGTTTGACAGTCGACAGTCGATACTACAATTTGTTTGACAATTGATATCTACAATTTGTTTGACAGTCGATAGTCAATATCTACAATTTGTTTGACAGTCGATATCTACAATTTGTTTGACGATATCTACAATTTGTTTGACAGTCGATACCTACAATTTGTTTGACAATTGATATCTACAATTTGTTTGACAGTCGATATCTACAATTTGTTTGACAGTCAATATCTACAATTTGTTTGACAATTGATATCTACAATTTGTTTGACAGTGGATAGTCCTACAATTTGTTTGACAAGATATCTACGATACCTACCTACAATTTGTTTGACAGTCGATACCTACAATTTGTTTGACAGTGGATACCTACAATTTGTTTGACAGTGGATACCTACAATTTGTTTGACAGTGGATACCTACAATTTGTTTGACAGTGGATACCTACAATTTGTTTGACAGTGGATACCTACAATTTGTTTGACAATTGATATCTACAATTTGTTTGACAGTGGATACCTACAATTTGTTTGACAGTGGATACCTACAATTTGTTTGACAGTGGATACCTACAATTTGTTTGACAGTGGATACCTACAATTTGTTTGACAATTGATATCTACAATTTGTTTGACAGTGGATACCTACAATTTGTTTGACAGTCGATACCTACAATTTGTTTGACAGTGGATACCTACAATTTGTTTGACAGTCGATACCTACAATTTGTTTGACAGTCGATACCTACAATTTGTTTGACAGTCGATACCTACAATTTGTTTGACAGTGGATACCTACAATTTGTTTGACAGTCGATACCTACAATTTGTTTGACAGTGGATACCTACAATTTGTTTGACAGTCGATACCTACAATTTGTTTGACAGTCGATATCTACAATTTGTTTGACAGTCGATACCTACAATTTGTTTGACAGTCGATACCTACAATTTGTTTGACAGTCGATACCTACAAATTGTTTGACAGTCGATACCCACAAATTGTCTAACAGCTGATACCTAAACAATGTTTAGTCAATACGTACCACATTTTGTCTGAGCAGTTCTAACTTCTCACATCGTAGTTTATGTACCTCTGCCTTCAACAGGTCGGCTTGCCGGGTAACAGCATCACCTAGTGGACAAATCAGGAACCAGTCAGCACAAGAAGTCATATTTAAACCTAAATATTTCTAGCATCATTTTCTACCAGGATGTTATAAGAATGAAATCTGCATTTTGTTTGGGATAAGTTCTTTGAGAGGCATTTGGAAGTTGGAACACTAAGTGAATGAGTGAGTGAGTTAAGTTTTACGCGGCACTCAGCAATATTCCAGCTATATGCCGGCAGTCTGTAAATAATCGAAGTCTGAACCAGAAAATCCAGTGATCAACAGCATGAGCATCGATCTACGCAATTAGTATACGATGACATGTGTCAACCAAGTCAGCGAGTCTGACCACCCGATCCTGTTAGTCGCCTCTTACGACAAGCATGGGTTACTGAAGATCAATTCTAACCCGGATCTTCACGGTTCTGGAAGGATAACAATATAAGGATGAAAAACTTCTTTATTAAAGTCAGAGTATGTTCCCACAGGGATGACATCACTTGTTTGCTAATGGTGCTGGAACCTTCACCACTGTGATATAGACGTTGTTCATCCATATATTGTTATCTTATCTTATTTACCTTATATGTACTTAATGACCTGATAATGTAAGATTGTGGTACTATTCATGACAATCTAAGACCCATGAAGATCCGGGTTAGAATTGATCTTCAGTAACCCATGCTTGTCGTAAGAGGCGACTAACGGGATCGGGTGGTCAAGCTCGCTGACACATGGCATCATATCCCAACTGCATAGATTGATGCTCATGATGTTGATCACTAGATTGTCTGGTCCAGACTCGATTATTTACAGACCGCTGCCTTATAGCTGGAATATTGCTCGATTATTTACAGACCGCTGCCTTATAGCTGGAATATTGCTGACTGCCGCGTAAAACTAAACTCACTCACTCACTCACTCCAGACAATGCAATGATTAATACCATATGCATGAAGTACAGTTCTGATATGATGACACTTGTCAATAAAGTCAGTGAACTTGACCCCATTATTTGTCTCTTTCAACAAACATGGGTTGCTGAAGGCAAATCTTCACAGGGCCTGAACCTTGTGAAATTTAAAGCAGAAATATTTTAACATCTGTAACATAATATTACTATGGAATAAATCAATAATTTATAAATACATAATTAAGGCGTGAAGTGTCAGTGCTAAAAATGTGAAATTCTTCAACAAAAATAGTGTGCACAGAAAGGTCACTCAAAATTAGGTGAACATATAACCCACTTGTTTTGAGACATCACCAAAACATTCAAGAAAAAAAGCACATAGAAATGCCAAAGCCTCACTTTCACCATCCAATGAAAACACACAGCCACCATCTTCACTGAAGCTATTGGAGAGGGATGCACGGATATTGTTGCTGGGGGTACCGGCTGATGACATACTCTCCTGAAACAGAGGAGAGGAAACTCTACCAGCAAGGCAGCGTGGGATAGCACAACAGTAAGGGTGCACCACATAGTTTGGGAAGTTTGGAAAAAGGGAAGCAAAAAGATTGGGTTTGTCAGCTTGTTGAGTGAGAAAAGAAGCACTGGTTTACGACTTGGAACCATGGGTGTACCTAGGATCATATTTGGTGATCCAGGGACTAAAAATCTTGTTATTTGGATGTTGACAAAAAGATTGGGTTTGTCAGCTTGTTGAAAGAGAAAGGAAACACTAGTTAACAGCTTAGGACTATGGGTGTAACCAAGTACCAAGGGTCATAATTAGGTGATCCTGGGGCTAAAAATCATATCTGGCACATATTAAAGGTCAAGAATTCTGTTCACTGGCACTTTTCCTCCAGGCGACTGTTCCCCAAATTCAGAAATGAAGGACAGTTAGAAGATACAGAACAAAGGAGCAATGCCAGTAACGGATCATGGTTTCATGACAGCGTAGCACACAACACAGGGGATTGGTTATTGTACCCATCTTAGGAAGTTGGGGAACAGAGAACGAGTGGATAATGTTTGGTGATGCTGTCAGTGTTTCATCAGGGCTGTCATATGTGCCAGGCAAACTGGAGTCTGAGAGCATGAGAATTAACCCTGGGGCGGACGAGACCCATCAACAAGCCACTCAATCCTCTTCCACGTGCTCTGATGACAAGTGTGAAATACTGGTTAGATGGCCACAGATTATGACATTTGCTGGACCAATCAGGTTTCTCCACATCACAATGGATGCCAGATGAAGGGGTGATATTACATAGAAGGCTGTGATATAAGAGGGTTGCACAATGTGGAAAATATAGGTTTGGACTTGGGAGAGACAATTGTAATGATACATTCATAGGATCCAACACAACTTTTGGCATCAAACCCAGCAGATGAAGGAAGGAGAAATGATCAGGGAGCTAGAGGAGGGAGAGGAGGGAGGACACTGGGAGACCAATGCAACTGGTATTCTGGCTATGCTTAAATGGGGATTAGACTGAACTACTGCAGAAAGAAACATTAGGAATCATTATCATATACTGCACTACAGAAATGTACTCTGGGCTGAAATCATAACTAAGAAATGCATCTAACTTGCCACTGAATGGCATTAAAAAAGGTGTATACACAAAGGTTCCTTTCTGTAGCACCCAGTGTGACCCTTCCAGCCCAAATATTGCTGGTTGCATTGAGTGTAGGTTCAGACACTGGCAATGGATGGAAGGGAAGAGTGTGAGGTCACAGACAGACATAACACACACAGTGTCTTTCGATATCCAGTGTATCATATCTCCATTCTGTTGTGACAAAACACCATACCTTTGTGCTCTGATGAGTAATTTAGCACAGGATATCTCTTGCTCATGAAAGTAATGTGATTGGATGGCTATCTTTAGCACCTGGCCTTTTTAATCTTGTTCAAAATGAAGTTATGGTTGTGACAAGGTCCAGGGTATTAACAGAAAGGAGAAAAAATACAACTTGGGATCATGTTACCATGGTTACAGTTAATTAAACAATGTTCAGAAAATGATGTCGCCATGGCTACAGGTAATGCAACAATTTTCAGAAAACAACTGAAATCATGATGATTTTTCGTTAACACATAAACCTTTTAGAGTGGTTAAATTCTCAAAAGTATTTTCTTTTCATAAGTACTGATTCAAAAATATATTATGTGTGACTCCATGCATTCATGCAAATCAGTTCTCCTGTTGTCCTGTGTTGACTTCACTGCAGTGCAAGAATATGGCAGAAAGAATAACAGTTTGCTGAAGAAGCTCCTTGAGAGATCACCCCGCGAGTTGAGAACCAGGTGCCATGACAACAGCTGATCACCACACTCACAAGACAAAGGAAGACATTGTGATATAGATGGACAAGCTATTTCAGCTACCTATCCTCAGAAAGCAAGTTTCTTTTTCAATAAAATGATCTTTATCCATGACTGTATGACCCAAATCAAAATTTTAAAGAGTTTTAAGTCCAGAGAACCATGAACATCAGATCTGTCTACAAACTGAAGGTTCTGATTTATTTCCCCAAATACGCAATTTGATGGATTTCTGAATGATATATTTTCGTATAGTATTGAAACTTCTGCTTTCTGTGTAAAGTCCTGAAATGCTTTTCCTTCTAAGGAGCGCCCCCTTGTGGCTTTGACACGTACCATGCCTGTGTCAGAGTCTTCATGGTCGTGGTTGTTGTGTGTTGGCGTGAAGTCGTCTATGCTGTTGAAGCTACTCTCAGAGTTGGAGGGAGACAACTGAACACTATTGTGGTTGATTCTGAAGATAAACGAATACAGAATGAAAAATAATCGCATCCTTCACCATAATTTTACAACTGATACTGAACACATTGAAGATGCTACGGTCAAATAAAATATCACAGCTTTGGTTTACCATGCAGTTTTAGCACATGTAACACAAACGAATGAAACAGAGACCAGTGCAAGGCAAGTGGACACAGAAAACCAATTGGCCAAGAAAGGTTTTGGTTGGGAAAGGAAGGATGTGATATTAAACCCATCTTGTTGCTCATGAGATGCTGCTGGGACTAGACTGGTGAGGCTATATGATGTGTTATACCCACCTTGTTGCTGAGGAGATACTGCTGGAACTAAACTGGGGGGATATATGGCATGTTATACCCACCTTGATGGAGATGCTGCTGGGGCTAGACTGGGGGCTGTATGGCATGTTATACCCACCTTGTTGCTGACGAGATGCTGCTGTGACTAGACTGGGGGCTATATGACATGTTATACCCACCTTGTTGCTGATGAGATGCTGCTGGGACTAGACTGGGGGCTATATGACATGTTATACCCACCTTGTGTGATGAGATGCTGCTGGGACTAGACTGGGGGCTATATGGCATGTTATACCCACCTTGTGTGATGAGATGCTGCTGGGACTAGACTGGGGGCTATATGACATGTTATACCCACCTTGTTGCTGATGAGATGCTGCTGGGACTAGACTGGGGGCTATATGACATGTTATACCCACCTTGTTGCTGTGATGAGATGCTGCTGGGACTAGACTGGAGGCTGTATGGCATGTTATACCCACCTTGTTGCTGATGAGATGCTGCTGGGACTAGACTGGGGGCTATATGACATGTTATACCCACCTTGTTGCTGATGAGATGCTGCTGGGACTAGACTGGGGGCTATATGACATGTTATACCCACCTTGTGTGATGAGATGCTGCTGGGACTAGACTGGAGGCTATATGACATGTTATACCCACCTTGTTGCTGATGAGATGCTGCTGGGACTAGACTGGGGGCTATATGACATGTTATACCCACCTTGTGTGATGAGATGCTGCTGGGACTAGACTGGGGGCTATATGACATGTTATACCCACCTTGTGTGATGAGATGCTGCTGGGACTAGACTGGGGGCTATATGACATGTTATACCCACCTTGTTGTGTGATGAGATGCTGCTGGGACTAGACTGGGGGCTATATGACATGTTATACCCACCTTGTTGCTGATGAGATGCTGCTGGGACTAGACTGGGGGCTATATGGACATGTTATACCCACCTTGTTGTGTGATGAGATGCTGCTGGGGCTAGACTGGGGGCTATATGACATGTTATACCCACCTTGTTGTGTGATGAGATGCTGCTGGGACTAGACTGGGGGCTATATGGCATGTTATACCCACCTTGTTGTGTGATGATGAGATGCTGCTGGTGCTAGACTGATGGGGGCTATATGGCATGTTATACCCACCTTGTTGCTGATGAGATGCTGCTGGTGCTAGACTGGGGGCTATATGACATGTTATACCCACCTTGTTGTGTGATGAGATGCTGCTGGGACTAGACTGGGGGCTATATGACATGTTATACCCACCTTGTTGTGTGATGAGATGCTGCTGGGACTAGACTGGGGGCTATATGACATGTTATACCCACCTTGTTGCTGATGAGATGCTGCTGGGACTAGACTGGGGGGAAGGAGGGGGACTGCAAGTGATGTAGGATGACATGCTGACAGACCCCTGACTGTCCTGACGAGACCTGGAATACATGCCACACATTAGCACACTCTCAGGCAAGGTATCAACTTTCAAGAATGGTAACACACTTTCGGGCATTAAAACACTTTCAAGAACAGTAGCACACTTTCGGGCATTAAAACACTTTCAAGAACAGTAGCTCACTTTCAGGCATTAAAACACTTTCAAGCATGAGAAACACTTTCAAGCATGGTGACACACTTTCAGGCATGGAAAAAACTTTGAAGCATATTACATTTTTTCAAGCAGGGTAACACACTTTCAAGCATGGTAACAAATCTCAAGCATGGTAAGAACTCTCAAGCATAGTGAATCAAGCAGTGATACTGATTCTCAGTTGTTGTCACATGAAGTATGGTCACGTCAATACAAGACATTTACATTCAATAAAGCACTGAAACATTCTTTCAAGCAACACAACATTCACTCAAGCACAAAAAATACCAAGCAAAATCATATTGGCTGCAAAACAAAGGTGGCATTTAGTCTCAGGTAATTATCTGTAGTAGTTGTATCAGCAATATTCCAGAAATATCGCAGCAGCTAATCAATAACTGTCTCTGGAACAAGTGAACCAGTCACAGAAGCCCTGGTCAGTACAGTACTCTCTCAATACAAACAGTGGGGGACTGCAGGTCTACGCAGCCTCAGAGTGAGTGAGTGAGTTGGGTTTTATCCCATCTCCCCTCACATCAAAGAGATCTTTTTGAACTAATGCCTTGGCAGACTTACAAGACCAATTAAATCAGTTTTTAGATTTAATTTACATGTGATTGAAGTTCTCCAGGCACTAAGACAACATGTCAGGACCTACCCTTTATCTTTGGATTTCTTCTCAAGACTACTTGAGAACTGTCGGACTAGACTACGAGGAGTGGAGGGAGACTTCTTCACCTGCAGGTATAAAAATAAACACTGAGCATAACAAAATGATGAATTCAGTTTTCCCACATTTAAAATTTAATTCTTTACTGTACTGAACCAATTTTTGATACACAATGTAACACCTATTATATTTGGGATTACACTTTCTCAGCAGAGTACTGATTCTAGTACTTTTTGTGGAAGTCGTGGTGTGGGTTAGAGCTGACTTTGTGTGCTGGCAAATAGGAGCCTGAGTTTGAATCCCAGATAGGAATCAATTAATTTCAAAGCCACCTTGAACATACTTTTAGCTTTACAAGAGTATGTTAACTCAGAACTACACAAGTGAAACCCACATGCAGGCTTAAAGTAGTCGCAGTTTGAGGATCATTATCTGGGCAAGTCTGGGATTTAAACACATAATCATTGAATCCTGCATGGCTAAGGTCTACAACTCTGCAGAGAGAATTATCCCTTAACCCCACTGGCCTATCTGGACCCTTCTTAAGAGGGTTCACTATGAAACACTTCTGTTCCTTACCGGTGATGGTGAATTCTTCTCATCTTCTCCGACTGTTGGAAGTGATGTAGGAATGCCATTGCTCTTACGACTGCCAACCGGTAAATTTGATTCAAAGGACTGGCTCCGTCCCTTCCCACTGAATGCTCGTTTGACTGAGTCAAACAGACGACTTCCTTCCTGTTTGGAGCCAGGAAGGAGGGAGAAACCGAATAATTCAATATTTTTCTTGTGAAGGTCCTGCTGTAAGGAGTCGAGAAGAGACGTTCGTGTCCTCTCCTGAAAACACAAACATTTCAATTAAAGAATGCTGATTTACAGTTCTTGTATGTCACTAAGTGCTTGTCTGTTATTTATGCAATACAGCTATATCCCAGCTTATCATAGCCAATTGTAAATGATCGAGTCTAGACCAGACAATCCAGTGATTGATGTTATGCACAAGGGTCCATGTATTCAGGAACGTGACATGCCTTCAGCCAGGTCAACAAGTTTGGCTACCCCATCCACTTCCACTTCCTATAACCAACACCGTTTGATAGTGACTGATTCTAACCAAGAATCCTCATAAGGTTGCCAGAGAAACTAATGGTTAATATCACAGCAATTTGCAATTGATCGAGTCTGGACCAGACAATCCAGTGATTGACACGTCTTCAACAAAGTCAACAGGTGTGGCTACCCCATCCATTAAGTCACTTCTTTCAACCAACGATCAATTGTATCCTCAAAAGGTTCAGGGAAACCAATGGTTAATGTCATCAGGAATGATCAACACAAATGGGCTACAACAACACTCTCTAAACAGGCCACAACCTAATGCTCAGTAATCTACTCTGAGAACAAGCATATGATCTATTTTGTTGTCAATAAAACCTTACAACCAAACATTAGGCCAGACCAATTTGATTTCTTGTTTTATGTATCCACCTGTCATATTTTTTCAAGAATAAGAAAAAAATAAAATCCTATGTTTTTATTGGCAAGAAATGTAAACATACGAGAAATTTTGTTTTTAGATTGTTTCTTGCCCCATATACACTTCATAAATTGCCAAAAGTAAAATACTTTGAGTATTTAGAAGGAATATTACTTTGACTGGTGATCTTATTTTTATTTTTGTTCTCTCTTGCCTTTAGGTTTTCTGAGGACAAAAATCCGTAAAACAAGAAATAAAATTGGTCTGGCCTTAGGAAATTATATTGAAAAATATACGTCAGACAAATATTTATAACATACCCCAAGTTTAGCAAACTGTTCAGACTTGTAGCAAGCAAGTTCTGCATTGATCAGCTTCGTCAGGAGGAATTCACGGAATTCTGGTCCCTGGAATTGTAAAATTTAAACAATGCTGAAAGTCATAACTAATGTATTTATTTGACAAAATATGGCACAACATTTTGTAATTGACACTTATAACTAAGATGATTTTCAAATAATGTCTCATGCTAAGAGGAAGGAATGAAACAGTGATTTAGATATCTAATAGTGCCACTTTGAAAGTATTTCATTTATAACATATAGATATACATAGTGTGATATGGGGTAGAAATGCCTAAGGCGGTGCAGGTGTTAGACATTTAATATTTTTGTGACATCAATGGACATTTCGAATCAGAATCAGGGTGAATCTCGGACTTGAACCCACAGTAGGATTAAGAAATGCATTTCTCACCTTTTTAAATACTGCAGGTTTCTGGAGAGCTGGGCTAAACTTTGGCACATCTTTCCTGGATGTAATACACACCTGTCGAAGAAGACACAAGGATTGAATCATATTCTGCTACCATTCAAACACATGATTAGTGTGCAGGTGTGTGTTTGTGATTAATGCTTAGTTTTTCTCACAGTCCCTGAACCACATTAGTTTCACCTAAATGAAGCAAGTGAAGATTCCCTCAGGTTCAGGAATCTCTGGTCTCCATGGGATTCCTTTTCAATTTAACTGGGTTTGTTTATTACTATAAAAATTATACATATTCAAAGAGATATTATTCACTACAGGAGATAATTTATGTGACCTCAGATTATGACAACCTTCCATATCTGCCGGTGTTGAAAATATAGAGTTATCTCCCTTTGACTGAAGACCAAAGTGATGGGAGTGTTACCTTGTATGCTGTGTGGTCAGTGTTGGGGTTGATGGGCTGCACTACAATGTAGGAATGGAGGAAGTGGGAGGCGATCATGTTCGGAATGAACGGTGTATTCTCCTCCTGGAAGATGATGGCTACGATGTCGTTCCCTATGTGTCTTTTACGCTGTAACTGGAAACCAAAGAGCGAAATTCATGAACAGAAAGAATGTGAATATTGTAACAATGATAAGAACAGAAAAAACAAGTCCTATATGTTGTGGCAATGGTAAGCACAGAAGCAAACAAGCCCTGCCTGTTGTAGCAATGATAAGAACAGAAAGTGAGCTCCAAGCTGTGAGTACAGAAACAAACAAGTCCTAGCTGTTGTAGCTGTGAGTTCAGAAACATTCAAGTCCTAGCTGTTGAAGCTGTGAGTTCAGAAACAAACAAGTCCTGACTGTTGTAGCTGTGAGTTCAGAAACAAACAAGTCCTGACTGTTGTAGCTGTGAGGTCAGAAACAAACAAGTTCTGACTGTTGTAACAATAATAAGAACAGAAAGTGAGCTCCAAGCTGTGAGTACAGAAACAAACAAGTCCTAGCTGTTGTAGCTGTGAGTTCAGAAACAAACAAGTCCTGACTGTTGTAGCTGTGACTTCAGAAACAAACAAGTCCTGACTGTTGTAGCTGTGAGTTCAGAAACAAACAAGTCCTGACTGTTGTAGCTGTGAGGTCAGAAACAAACAAGTTCTGACTGTTGTAGCAATGATAAGAACAGAAAGTGAGCTCCAAGCTGTGAGTACAGAAACAAACAAGTCCTAGCTGTTGTAGCTGTGAGTTCAGAAACAAACAAGTCCTGACTGTTGTAGCTGTGAGTTCAGAAACAAACAAGTCCTGACTGTTGTAGCTGTGAGGTCAGAAACAAACAAGTTCTGACTGTTGTAGCAATAATAAGAACAGAAAGTGAGCTCAAAGCTGTGAGTACAGAAACAAACAAGTCCTAGCTGTTGTAGCTGTGAGTTCAGAAACAAACAAGTTCTCGCTGTTGAAGCTGTGAGTTCAGAAACAAACAAGTCGTGACTGTTATAGCTGTGAGTTCAGAAACAAACAAGTCCTAGCTGTTGTAGCTGTGAGTTCAGAAACAAACAAGTCCTCGCTGTTGAAGCTGTGAGTTCAGAAACAAACAAGTCCAAAATGTTGTAGCTTTGAGTTCAGAAACAAAAACAAATCCTACCTGTTGTGGGTCCCCATCCGTGTGAGGAAGCATGGTAGAGACATGAAACATGATTTCACTATCCCGGTAGTGTGTAAAGACAGACTCCAGACCCGTCTGGTCGTGTAGTGTGTCCAGGCCACCACGGAAGCTGCAAATATAATCATCACAAACTAAATATCATCAACATCTTAACATCAATTCCGATTAAAAAATTCAGAAAACAATCTCAGAGGTTAGACTGTTGTCAGCTTTCAGTTGAATTTAGACTGTCACTCACCACTTGAAGTCCTTCAGCTGCACCTTGTCCCCAATAAGCTGAAGGAATTCCTCCATAGCAGGACTGTGTGTCACATTGCCAAACAGGTCTTCCTCGAAAGTCTGCAATCAGTTGGACATCAATATTCAATCATGTGACATACACCTGACAGCTTCCATCCTTCTCTAAACATTAGGATCATCAAAATGTTTGGGAGGATTTCTAGAAGTTGCAAGTAATAGGAATGACAAGTCTTTATGGATGATGAGATTCTTGAGAGGCATTTAGAAGTTGGTTAATATATAAGACGAGTATATGGATGGCAACTTCTTGTTTATTGTATATCACAGCGTTTCTGGGCTACTTCTTGTAAGAAGTAAGAAGTAGCCCAGAAACGTTGTGATATACAATAAACAAGAAGTTGCCATCCCTATACTTGTCTTATTGATGGAAGATATTATACAATAAAGAAGTTATCATACTTAAAAACTTGTCATTCCTAAGGATCATTAAGTTTTTCTGTGTTAATACTGTATATTGCCATTAGAAGCATGCTCAAAGCTTATTCATTGTGGTTGTCTCAAAAACTGACAAATATTCTCCCTGGTTATAATGCCACTCTGTGTTTTTTCAGAACAGATTTCTGCCCAGCAAAATGCCACCGTGGTAATAATAACAATGCCAGCGTCTTTCAGGACAAGATCCCATTCTTTAGTTCTTATTAATTGTTCTATATATCACATGACTTAGTTCTGGTTTTCAACTCCCTTTTGGTATTGTACCGCCATATTTTTGGCTGGTGGGAGGTGATATTATGTACATCTGACTGACTTACCTGCCCAAACTTCTGGTATATGATACCAAACTTGAAGGTACTTGTAAGGACATGTTCATCGTAAGACACTACTAGATCGGAACCCTGGAAACACAACGCCAAGAGTCAGTACAGGCTGCCTCCAACTCACCAACACTTGGACAACAAACAACAATCAAAATCACTGTATTTCCTCCACTACATGCTGACCTCTTATACACACTGACCTCTTATACACACCAGCCTCTTATACATACCGGCCTCTTATACACACCAGCCTCTTATACACACTGCCTCTTATACACACCAGCCTCTTATACACACCAGCCTCTTATACATACCAGCCTCTTATACATACTGACCTCTTATACACACCAGCCTCTTATACACACCGGCCTCTTATACACACCGGCCTCTTATACACACCGGCCTCTTATACACACCAGCCTCTTATACACACTGGCCTCTTATACACACTGGCCTCTTATACACACTGGCCTCTTATACACACCGGCCTCTTATACACACCGGCCTCTTATACACACCGGCCTCTTATACACACCAGCCTCTTATACACACCGGCCTCTTATACACACCGGCCTCTTATACACACTGGCCTCTTATACACACCAGCCTCTTATACACACCAGCCTCTTATACACACCGGCCTCTTATACACACCGGCCTCTTATACACACTGGCCTCTTATACAAGCCAGCCTCTTATACACACCAGCCTTTGAGGGACTATTTATTTTCTCCCCAAATCCAGTTATTCTACAGAAATCACTAGTCAGAAATGAGCTTTGCACTAGCAAGATGAGACCAAGGGCCTCTTTCCGTGTACATTCATTTCTTACCTTTAAGGATAACACGGGTTGAAACCTATCTGTTGTGATGTCTTCACATAAGCACTGTGTATAAAAAAATATTATAAGATAATATTCACCCTGTTTGCAACATGTCATAAAGCATATACATTTTCAACATTACATACAAAACATATTCCATTAGCTGTGATTACTACATGGACAACAATGTGTCTTTCCTGCATCTTGGCCAAAATGTATTACAACCATTGAAATGGGAGCTTTTGGGGGTAACAGACTAAAACATAACAATTCTCTAAATAGAAAATGTTGAATTTTACTAACAAATCTAAGGTCAAAATGGAACTCACCTTAGCTAGTTTGGCTGGATTGGGATTTTCAAGCTTACTGGATGGAACCACTTCATGTTTAGTACTGAACCGCGTTCTAAAACACAACAGACAACCATTACATGAGAACAGTTAAAACAAGGGTGTGAATATGGCTTTATGCTGCTTTCAGCAATATCCCACCAATATCACCAATACCATGGAGACAGATGAGGAAGAAACGATCTACAAGCATTATATTCTTGTTGGGAATCAAACCCTGGCCTTAAATTGAATCCTGGGGACGAGTGAACGCTTAATTCAGTAGTCTACTCTGCCATCCACATGCCTAACTAATGTTGTGCAGTTACACGTTTGGGATGTTTACCACTTTCACAAAACCTACAAGCACATGTGTGGTGCTGGAAACACCCATGGACTGACAAACCTACATAGAGAGGAAACCACTCAGCAAATAGTGACACTTCATCAGGAGGTTCTAAATATTGCTCCCATCACCTGGAGTGTGTAAGTGAGTGAATTAAGTTTTACGCCGCTTTTAGCAATATTCCAGCAATATCACGGCGGGGATACCAGAAATGGGCTTCACACATTGTACACATGTGGGGAATCGAACCTGGGTCTTCAGTGTGACGAATGAACGCTTTAACCACTAGACTACCCCACCACCCCTGGACTAATGAAGATAATAACATACTGGATAAGGATGGCTTTTTTCTGATGAATACTTACTTCACCATTCTAATATATCACCCAAAGGATACCGATGCTCACCTGAGTATGACTCTGATATCATTGTCTGTCTCTGGGCTTGTCTTGATAGACATGACAATTGGACCCACATTCTCATCCACTGTGTAGTAGTTGAAGTGCTCCTGAAACAATACACCACCGTCATCATCATCATCATCATCATCATCATCATCATCATCAACATCAATGTTGTCATCACTGTCATCTTATTAATCATCATCATTCATCATCTTTTTCACCATCATCATCACTATCATCAATGTTGTCATCACTGTCATTTTCATCAACATCCTTTCCACGATCATCATCATCATCATCAACATCAATGTTGTCATCACTGTCATCTTATTAATCATCATCATTCATCATCATCTTTTTCACCATCATTATCACTATCATCAATGTTGTCATCACTGTCATTTTCATCAACATCCTTTTCACGATCATCATCACCGTCATCATCATCATCGTCATCACCATCATCATCATCAACATCAATGTTGTCATCACTGTCATCTTATTAATCATCATCATTCATCATCATCTTTTTCACCATCATTATCACTATCATCAATGTTGTCATCACTGTCATTTTCATCAACATCCTTTTCACGATCATCATCATCAACATCAATGTTGTCATCACTGTCATCTTATTAATCATCATCATTCATCATCATCTTTTTCACCATCATTATCACTATCATCAATGTTGTCATCACTGTCATTTTCATCAACATCCTTTTCACGATCATCATCACCGTCATCATCATCATCGTCATCATTATCAATGTTGTAATCACTGTTGTTTTCTTCAGCATCATCATTATCTATGTTGTAGTCACTGTTTTCTTCATCATTATCATCATCATCATCACCACCCTTGTCTTCATCATTGACAGGGCGGTGGGGTAGCCTCATGGTTAAAGCGTTGGCTCGTCACGCCGAAGACCCGGGTTCGAATCCCCACATGGGTACAATGTGTGAAGCCCATTTCTGGTGTCCCCCGCCGTGATGTTGCTGGAATATTGCTAAAAGCGGCGTAAAACCAAACTCAGTCAGTCAGTCAGTCATCATTGACACCATCATCAACATCAATGTTGTCATCACTGTCATCGTCTTCTTCATCTTCATCATCCTTTTTACACCATTTTCTTCATCACCATCATCAACACTATTACCATCACATCAGTATCTATTTCATCATCATCATCAGTAAAATCACCGCCACTATATATCCCATTGATTGATGTCACGGCATCTTCTCGACACGTCCCAGCCGACTGTTCACACTACATGAGTGAGTGTCATGTGACTGACAAATGACAACTGTCACACAAGATAACAGATATCATATCCTTTCATGTGGTCTCTGATCACACACAACTCATTCAAATGAATCAGGTAACATATGTGTAATCATATATGTCACATGGCTGACCACAAAACAATCTGTAATATGATCGCTGACGTGTTTCATTTTATGAGTTGAATTATCTTTCATACTCATCGACATTAGAGTGCCATATTACTTTCATTATCAACACAAAACGATCTTTAAACTTAATCCTTTAATAGCACTCAATCCTACCTTCCCAAGGAACTGGTGCCTGTAAACTAGAGCAGTTTCATCAAGGTCAAGGCTGAATTGCTCTGGGTTGCACTCTGGGATGATGAGGTTCCCGCTACTGTCCATAGTGTTGGACTGGATTGCCTCCCCTTCCAACCAGTAACCCCTATCAGGGGGCAGCACCACCATGGGGTAGGGGCCTGGTTTTGCCAGCAGCTGAGAAGTGAACAAGGTGGCATGTTATCTCCCACTAACATTGAAAGTCATATTTATAACAGAATGGAAATTCATATATTAAGGCTTGCTAAAGTATATATCTTGTTTTGGATAACCCATATTCGCCAAAAGGGGTCACATGATACCAAAAAGGTAATCATAATTTTTACATTTGTAACATACTAATAAACATAACCCTTGCAATTATCTTATTAAATCTCTGTAAAAGACGATGAATCATACAGACACCTGTTCAGTACTGTAGATTCCATTTGTTGACAATGTAACATACAACTGTTCAGTACTGTAGATTCCATTTGTTGACAATGTAACATACAACTGTTCAGTACTGTCGATTCCATTTGTTGACAAGGCACTACACGACTGTTCCATACTGACGATTCCATTTGTTCATACTGTAACATACAACTCCTTTCAACTGTACTCATTGTGACTGACAACATGCCTCATATTCTTCTCGTTTCCTAATGTCACCTACATTTGCCCCGTACTGTACCCACCTGTTTGATACTCTCGTTTTCCTCCTTTGCTGGTGCAATAGGCGGGGCCTGAAATATCAACATACACTGTTAGTTGGCAGGTAAACATCGTCTGCAACAAGCCTAACATTCTTCCGTTGATTTTGGTCATTGAGTGCAAACAAAATACACTTCCTTAACTTTATTTTTCCCTTAAATCGACAGTTTGCAAAACTTGTCAGTTTCACCCTGACATTTTAAAGTGATCATTAATTAATCCATTTATTTTCCTTTAAAAGTTTATAAGGATATAAGGATATAAGACTGAAATCATATCATTCAGTGACTGAAATAGCAAAACTGTTTTTAGAACGCTAATAACAAGGAAACCTGATACATGTAGTTTGCTTGAAATTGGTTAATCTGATAAACGTTAATGTGATATTGGAAGAGATTCATCAATCACATAGATAGATTTACATTAATATTACTTCGGTGAGAATAGATCTTTACCGTTGTGTTAAGATATATATTATACAAGTAGCCATACATTCATCAAGTAAGTCGAATAAATATAGATTATAGGATCATTCAGGTCAGATATGGCACGATTTGAATTCAGGAGGAAAACTTGATATCAAAGGAAATGATGTTATCAGATTACAATCAGTTCCATTTTGGAAAATAGAATCTGAAATGACTATCTTCAACCTACTTGTTAATCAAGTCGACTAAATAAACATTTTCTGTAGCTTGATAACAGCAACAAAATTAGACCAGTTCTTGTTAAACCTAACTGTAAATCCGTAAATATTACATCACCACCTATACATAATATTATTAGAGTGTGTAGGTCCCTTTTTGTCTCCGTAATCCATATTCAGAGTCTGAAAAAATCTTACAAAAACAGATAAAATGTATACAGAATTATTTTAGATGAATTACTGACTTTTTAACTTGTTTATCATCCATGGCCTATTTTGAAGATTGTTTCGAAGAAATACATTCCTTCACTGCTACTAGGCTCCTACTGGCCTTGTGAGTTCTGATAATCAACCACAGACAAGGCAGACGCCATTTGTAAACTGTCCCTACTCAGAAGAAAATCATACAGTGACAGCCTGTTTTCCCAGGAAGTTAGAACATGCTGTATTAGAAACCATATCACAATACAGAAGGCACACACAAACATGATACATGCTGACGATAAATACAATAATGTTTAGTAAACATCTTGACATCTCCATTGACCTTTCTGAGGAATAAAGTTGATAATTTCTGCATCAAATGACTTCAGACTGATAAGGTGTTTGTTCGCAAAGTGGAATAAATATTTGCCTCCCTCGAGAATGTTTTTGTTGCATGATGTCTTTTGGTGCATTTGTTAGTGCAGTTTCCCATAAAACTACTTCAACTGGTTTTGCAAAACACTGACTTATTATTCGAACTGCAAAGACAACATTTGAGAAGTCAAGTAAATATTCCATACCCTAATGACTGTGAGTGTAGGAATTAATTATACCACTTGAAAACAGCTACTTGTTTGGAAAGAATATTTCACAGTAACCATTAACATCTTTGAGTACCCTTTACTACAGAAATGTCCTCAGAAAGGAATCAGTTAAATGGATAAGAAAAATACAAACAGTATTTTTTTTCATTAAACAAAATTCATTTAAACTCATATCAATCCAGAACTTTAGAAAACTACAGGTGATAACCTCGTGATAGAAAAGCCCCATGTATAATACCATTAAGATGATCACTTTCCAAAATCTAAAACTTGAAACTTTCTAATGCAACATAATAATTAAGAAACATGTTTTCACAATTATCATCAATGTCAGGTGACCACATACATATTAAACAGTACACTGATATGCAACTGTTTACTATACACAAACAAAAATAATTAAAAGAACAAGGAAACTATACTCAAGAACAATGTGCTTTCTTCACCAAACTGAAACTGTCATGGCATGAACAAAGACAGAGTTACCTCCCCTTCATTGTTTAACATAACCATATGTGCTGGGGGAAAGGTTACACACCTCAACAGTTTAACAAAACAAACTGAACAAAGATCTGATGACATATAAATCTGATCATCCTGTCAACTGTTTTACATCTGCTTTAGCACCTCAACCATTGTGCACAAAACAGCAGAGTTCAAGTGAAAATGAAATGAAAATTGACAAAGCAAGAGTTCATCATAAACATCTAACAAGCATCACCATCAAAATATAAACTAGAAAAAATTAAAATAAAAGAATACATCTTTCAAAAATTAAATACATAAACCAATCAATCTTTTCTTCTAATGTCTACCACGTCAGTTTGTATTTTGGATAACCAGTGATGGTAAACCATAGTAGTATTAACCTTTTCGATGGAGTTTGAAGTTACAACACAACAGCCAGGCCACATTTCCTCAATCCAATTTCTGCACCCGCAGACTGGCAATCCAATCCTCATTCAGTCACATATAAGGATGAAGGATTATCTACCCTTGTTGCGACAGGAATCACTACTCAGGTATCCATCTTAACTTAGCTACAGCCTAACGACAACTGATGAAAATGACAAGCCCACCTTTAAAGACTGAAAAACAACTATATCACAAAATATCGATAACATAATACATAGAGGAAAGTTAATAAGGAAAGACAGTTATCAATGACAGGATATGAACACACATGCAGGTTAATGATACAGTCATGCGCAGACCATGATGACCTTGGGCTGTATTTACCTGCCAGGTGTTCAAGTGGTCATATCAGTCACCTTGACTACATTTCCCTCACATAACTAAGTAAAATTTATTGCCATCATCTCAAAATACAGATAAGAAATTCAGAAAATTTTCAAACATAATTAAATAAATCCTTCACTTTTTTATGGTTTCATCTCAAACTATTCTTTAATTTAAAAAATCTCTGTTTTTGTGACCCAAATATCTCAACATTTGAATACATGTTCTAAAAAGCTTGTACTAAGGTTAAAAATTTAAGGAATGTTTTTTGTAAATCACACAGGATAAAAACACTTCCTTGTCTGACACCACTGACACACCTAACAGAAATCCAGTCCCAATAGGTGCTGCGCAAGGTGAAAACAAACACATCAACCTGGATGGGTTTTGGTAGCGGCATCGTGCACCGTTGATCTTCGTAGCGCCGACTTTGGTATTTAAGGAGAGTGTCGAAAAAATCAGGACCCTATAAGGGTACAAAAGTGTTAATAACAGACTTTCACAATTCACTAAAAGTGCTCTGTCAACATCAGACTAAATAGCCATTCCTCTGATCATCTCCAGGTAGCTATTTCAGCACAGATTTCTCAAATGTTAGTAGAAAGACAGTGAAACAGAAAGGCAGATTGTGAGCTCTGAAAATATTAATTATTTAAACATGCGAGATGTTTCTATGGAAACGAACAGGTGTAATTAGGGTTATCGTCTCCGATTTCAGTGGATATATTTCTCAATGAAACCATTTTGGATCCATGTTTCCTCATTCATAAATTCTTAATTGTAGCAGACGAAAATATCTAAATTGTCAAAATGTTTGTGTTAATTCCTTTAAATCCGTAGAAAATGGCAATATAAGCTTTAAAATAACGTAATATTCCACTCATGATGATATAGTCACATATTCAGTGTAGGAGTGAGTGAGTGAGTGAGTTCTGTTCAACGCCAATTTTAGCAATATTCCAGCAATATCATGGTGGGGACACCAGAAATGGGCTTTACACTTTGTACCCATGTGGGGAATCGAACCCGGAACTTCAGCATGACGAGCAAACACTTTAACCACTGGGCTACCCCACCACCCCTTCAGTGTAGGATGGTTAATGAACACACTCTCTTGGAATGAAGTATCAAGGAGACTTCGTAAGTGGCATGGAAAATGCTGTGTAAGCCAGTTATAGGAAGATGAATTTAGACCTGCTGAATCAGGTCCTGACCTGAGGCTACTACAAAAGGTATGTAAAAAAATAATTGGGAAAAATGGGAAACATGGGAATATTTAAGCATGGACAAATTCAAAAGGTAAAATCATAACTGGGGTATTATAGCTATACATTTTAATAGTATACACACAAATAAGTCAACGGGGGATGGGTGGTAGGCACCTCCCTAGGGAGTTCACTGATGATCAGTGTCATGGGGTTAAATTATGTTAGTTACAAGAGCATTACAACACTAAAAATGCTGGAACATTCTTGGGAATGAAAATGCATGAAGAAATCAACAAATATGAATGTATTGTTGTAGGTAATCTCACTCTCTGTGATCTTTTCACCCTTGAGTGAGTGAGTGAGTGAGTGAGTGAGTGAGTGAGTGAGTGAGTGGGTTGTGTTTCCATTACTTGACTCATCAACTCTATTTACTGATCACTTGCTTGGTGTTGAATCTACACCGAAATGCTACTCCTTATTGTCAATAAAGAAATTGTCCATACATATACCTTATCCTTACTCAATAATATGATAAGAATACTTGTCTATAAGAAATAAAATAGAACATTAATCACATTTAACATATGTCATTTAGTCATATTCATCAGGCTGTTCCAATACAGGTGTTTCCATTGGGGTTAAGATCCCTAAAATACTGACTTTTACAAGAATTTTCCAACTTGATAAATGTGAAATATGCTGACAAACTGCAAAATCGGAAGATTCTTGAATGAAATATAAAATGTTGATGAAAAAGCAGATTTTTCCTAATCTGAAAATGGTTTTGAATCAGTTCTGTTTTTGATACAGGATTCTGAGAACTGAAATGGATACACCATCTTTAGGCATCAGATTCTCAACTTAGTTTGACATTCATTGCATCGACCCCTTTCATCATAACACATAAAAAGGCCAAATCAACCATTATTATGTTTGTTATTTTTAAATCTGTTGATAATAGATCCTAATCTGAAATTCCAGACAAAGAAATTGTGCCAATGATTTCAAAGTTCTACAGCTGAAAGACAAAGAGCCTATTAATAATTCATAGAAAAACTGATTGAACTTGAAGACTCGACACACAAGATCAATTTTCTCTGACATTACTTCAAGTGTTCTGGAGTCAGTTTTCTCTCCTAGGATGAAATTCCAATACATGAATTTAACTTCAAAGGAAAAACGTCCCCCTTACAAACTCGCCACATTATCTGAGATATTTAAAAAAATTCACAGCTGCAATTTTGAGTGAAAATTTGACACATTGATAATATGACAATGAGCCGTGAGTCAGTTTTATGTTGCCAAAAATTCAGTCATTTTCTTAAACAATTAAATTTGTTAAAAACATCAAACATAAAAACTGACTCAAAGAAGGAAAACTGTTAAATTTAATCCTTATCTCAATCATGGTCTGCAAAAATGTCTAGAGAATATGAAAAAAAAAACTGTTTGTGAAGAAAATATCATTGAAAATAAAACTTAAAATATAAAAGGTCTTAAAAGTAAAATACAAATTAATCAAACATTACAAATAATATATTTCTTGTTCATGATATTAAGTCCAAAGGAAAATATGCTCAGTTTAAGCTGAATGACCCATCATTAAACTGTAAAAGTTCAGCTTAGTATAAACAGTGGTAGACATGTAGTATCAGTGTGTGTTTGACTATATAAGGCATGTGAATGTGTTAGTGGTGCAGGAGTGAGCGGTGATGTAATGCTACAAACTAACGCTAGACTTTACCTTGAAGAACGCTGACATATCACACCTCTGGTCGTCAATCCGTTTGCCCTGCAGACGTTCCAACATCTCAAACAGGTCTGCATTCTGAAAGGGAATAGATCAAGTATGACATTTGACATGCTCGATTTAATCAATTTTCACTTAAATATTTATAATTAGGAACATAAATCATAATGTTGTGTGGTCTCAAAATGGCCAGGGAGATGTAATATTTGAGGCCAAGTGCTTAAAGCCTCTTTGACCAATCCTTCAGTTATGTCACAGTGTGTCAGATTGGCGTCAGAAGAAACCTGGGGTGGTACAATGTACTGAGACATTCATTACTCTCACATCAGTGAGTACTGGTACAGATAAACCAAAGAACAAAATCAATAGGAATCCAGGATTCAAACCACAAAAGCATGATTCTGGCATGCTTAAGGGAGGTAACTCTGCACAACAAACTGGTTCAGCCTTTCCCCTACTTTAACTCATCCATACATGTGTCTGTAAAGTATAAACTAGAAAATGATAGCAAAGTAAACGTGTAACGCTCATAATCAGCTCAGATTAAACCATAACCATGAATAACTAGAAATCTGTAGATGTGGACAATCCTCAAAAGGTATCCACACTGAGTGAATAGGTTGATGACAGTCCAGGGAAGAGCTCCTACTTACTTCCTTATCAATGCTCCAGTAACCAACTCAAAGGAATCCCTAATTTTAGTTCATCATAACTACAGTTCATTCTACTTATTTTAATTAAAATATGGAGCAAGTGTTCAGGACCACGAAGGCAGTTTCTTATAAGGCAGTTCATCATAAACTGTACTTTCTAGCAGCTGTAAACAGTATAATGTTCATATACTGCAACCTAGGTGAGGATTCAGGCCTGGACCTTATGAAAGATAAGCAAACACACTAATTACACTATGTTGTCAACCATTTCTTGAAGTTTTCAGGGGTGGATACAGCTTTTTAAGAAAGTGGGTGTGTACACTTCATTTTCACCCGTTAAACTTTCAATGGTCATTTAATAAACTTTCAGGACATAAGTAGGGTGCGCACCCTTGCACACACACACACGCACGCACATGACACACACACACACACACACACACACACACACACACACACACACACACACACACACACACACACACACACACACACACACACACATCCCTGGATCCACCTATGGTTTTCATAAAATCTTCATACATGGATTCAAACTCGGACCAGACACAAGAAACCTCATGGGATTCCAGACAGCCTATGTTAGAACCTACTGACCTAATGGAAGCTACCATGGTATGGTCGCTTGATTCTTAGCATGCTAATCATCTGTAGCATGGAACATGGCTCAAATGAACCATTTGTTGTCTTGCTGGGTTTTATGATTTACTATTATATAGCTGGAATGTCACTGAATATTGCAGAATCCAGTACATATACAGCACCACAGCATCACATAAAATCATACAACAGAAATAATTAAGTAAGTAACATTCCACAGTCTCTGAAATGAACAGAACAAAACAGTTCATAAATAATAATTACAAAATATGAAACTGTCGAAATCTAGACTTGCCACAAATTCTAGATTTGGATGAAGGGACCTGGAATGGTCTCGAAACGTCGTGAGGTAAATTATAAAGAAGTTTAATCCATAAAAATATCTTGGATACATTTGTTTATTTGTTTCAGGGTCTGTGTGACAGACTAGTAATGCCCCTGCATGTTAGTGAGGTATGTTCTCTGTACAAGTTGGGTGGTGGGGTAGCCCCATGGTTAAATCTTGTACCTGTTAATCTCTACTATACAAAGAAAAACATGTTCAATTAATTTGTATAACTGGCACAAGAATCACATTTATCTACAGTCAAAACTAAAAATATGTGAATGGACTTTGACTTTGACTGCATACTATGTACATAATAATGCTGCTTGTAGATCTAAATACTCAAATATTTAATACCAGGTATGACTGCCACCTTGTCATCCTGCTGATTAGCATCCATGGGTATGAGGTTCATAGCATAAATAACAAAATATCTGTATGAAATTAAAACTGTCCATCTATCACGGCAAGGTTTAAAAGGCTTAGAAGGAAGAAATTCTCACTGGTAGTATAGTATGATATTATCAAGGAAAGAATACTTTCATGAATGACACATGTGTTATTTCCTGCCTTGAGGAAAACAGTTTTATAAATGAAAAGTCAGATTTCTCTCAAATTTAAATAAACTATATCTCTAAATTTGAAATAAGACAATAATTAGATTAATTTACTTGACATATAAAGAACCCATATTACCTCGAAACTCTGCGCCATCCGAGAACTAGGCTTGTAAATAAAACAATATATGATGCTCTACATGCTGACTCCAGCCAAATGAAACACCCTCATAATACTGTCTTGACGACTGCCATCCATCAAGGCTTACATGCCTTCAATCATTATAAATCACTTGTTGCTTTTCCACTTTCTGTCTAGTCCCCTCGCCTCTGGTGGCCAATGGTCAGCGAGATGACCACAGGTCACTCCAAAGTCCAGGGCGATATAAGGCGTTATTCCCCAGCTGCATGTGCAAACCATGTCCCATATGGTACATATGTAACACTGTTACACAGGTACTGCAACCACATGTGTGGAACAGATAAATGTACTGCACACATCATAAATATATACCACTCAACCCATTAAACCTGCCTGGGGCTTATAATCCTCCTCAACCTCTTCTAGATAATTCACTTTTTTACTTGATGATATTTTTCCAGTAGATTACAGAATATAGTACAAGAGCTTGAAATACCTTCATTAGGCTATTAACAGGAAACACGACCCTAAAACAGTATATACACATTAAACCTATAAGCTTAGAAAATATCAATAAACAATTTATTAAACTCATTACGAAATGCAATTGAGTAGATATTGAAATAAATAAAGTATCAGCTTATACCACAGGCAATGCCATTTTCTTCCAGAAATAATTAAATTATATAATGTTTTCCAACCACGAACTAATTCATTCACGCAAGTAGGAGTGCTCTCACAGGATTGTGTAACGAGTAAACGAGGTATTAATTATGTTGTGTCTAGTCACTAAGAGAATTATTCAGGTTCCCTGGGTACACCTAGTAGTGACTGCCTGAAGGTGTATCAACATCGTGGGATGGACTCCATTAGTTGCAATGGTGTGCTTGCATTTAACTACACAATCTACTCCTATTGTAAATATTTCCATTTCATTATAAACTTTGTCATTCAATCATAGGTCATTCAGTTGGGTATTTTCACAGCAGTATAAACAAACTGTTGATTTTTCATATTTGTCATTGTTTATGAATAAACATTTATTATTTAAAGTTATGAAAAACTCCAATAGATTAACATGTGGCAGACCTTCCTTATTTGATTTGGTTTTACAGATTTTCCTTTCAGATACTTTATAATGTAAAGACAGATGATTTGAAAATGTATTTGAGTATTAAATAAAGTTAATGACTGATATAAAACATTACACTGGCAAAATGTTAGCGATATTGTAATTTGCAGAAGTTTACATTAACTTATGTTTTTATAAAAACCTGTCATCACTGGATCACCCTACAGATATATCACAGATGAACATTGGAACAGACTATCAGACAATGATATACAAATAGGAAACAGGTTATAGATCGCCAGCAACCATATGGTACCATGGGACACCTCCTCCTCTACATGCAGGGTACCCCAGCAGGGTTTAAAACATCCCTCTGGCTACTGATGGTTATAAGAAAGTTACACCAAAAATAAAAATAATTTACACTAAGATCTCGTAACTCTATAGCATATCGTCGGCTCACAAAAAGGCGTAATGCAACAAATGGTGGGATAGGGTCCTGGAACTTGTTGTGGTCTAAAGATGGCCTGGGTTATAAAGTCTACAGTAAACTGCATGTATCAAGCTAATTTGGTATAACAAAGTAACCTTACCCAGCTCAATGGCACCATAGTTGACCATGGTCAACCACGGCTTACCACGGAAAACCATGGTATTACCATGGTTTTCCACGCTAAAAACGTGGTCACCAAACATTTCTTCCCATGGTCTACCATTTTAGACCATGGTCTTATTTTACCATGGTAAACTGTGGTGCAATTTACCGGACGTGGTAAGCCATGGTACACCATGATCAACCATGGTCTTAGACTAACAACTAGTCTCTGAAATGAACATATTTTACTGAAAAAAGTTCATAGTAAAAAAAAATATAATATAATGAAAAGGAGCCCTGAGACTTTCTTCAGATTTTCTGAAGCTGAGGAAATCTAGACTTGCCACATTTTCTAGACTTGCTTGGGCTTTCTTGGATATATTTGCTTCAGGGTCTGTACGACAGACTACCATGGTCTGTGAACCATGGTCTACCATGGTCTTTTACATACTCATTTCAGCTGGGCAGAGCTCCCTTGGAGTTTCCTCTAATCACTGTGCATTTACAAACACATAGAATTATAAAAGAGTTTCTAACGTTTTTTGCTAAACCCTAGACAATTTTCATAATGTGATATAATCTCATTCTAAAAAATCCTCAAAACAATTTAAAGTCAACCATGAAGTAATATGCTGTCTTATTAAAATTTGAACAAACATATATAGGGTTAAAAGGTCTCATTTACTTAGGCTGTGAGATAGCCTTACTTTAAGGCTGTACTGAATGATAAATTCATGTGTGTATAGTTATGTAATCAACATAAGCAAGTCTAGATAAATGGACATTACAAGGAGGCCTCTCTTTTATAGGGGTAACTTGTTCTTAGTAGTTACATCACTACATAATTAGGATTTTAACTACAATTATTGCCTTAGAGACCTATGCAAGTCTAGAAGTAAGAGGTGAGGTGAAATTGGGTTTTACCTCGTGCTTGAGAATATTTTGCTCATATGACGACGTGCATGCGTGTGTATGTGTATGTGCGACTGCTTGTACTAGCCCAGACTTAAGCTGGTTTTATAGTTCTAGCTCACTGAGATACCATGCCGCAGTGAAGCATGAATACCCCACTCAGACACATTATACTGACTCCGAGCCGACCAGACCTTGTTGTACCCATTAATGCCGAGCGCCAGGCAGGGACCAACAAGTACCATATTTTAACGTCTTTTGGTATGACGCGGTCGGGGATCGACCACGGAGGCGGTCTAGAAGTAAGAATATATTGTGATTTAATTTGTTTGCTTATATATGGAGAAAGTATTGATATACCTTCACTGAAATGACCTCCAATCTGGTCACTGAACTTGCCCATGTAATTCCACCCCAACACTCAATAACCCCTATTTGTTGATGTTATCAAACACGGTATATCAGTCTGCAACATCGGCACATTGCTCTTACCAAATGACTGTAGTAACCCTAGCCCTGATGACTATCAAACAGCCTGTCTGACAGTATCCATGAGGCCTGTTGTAGATCTCAACTTGACTTACGCCTCATTACCAGCTTAGTCTGTAAGCCTATTTTGTGTGAGTGAGTGACCTGTGTTTAATGCAGCCTTCAACAACATTACATTTACAGTTGGGTTGATCGGCTTAATGTGGGGAAATAGATCTAGGGCATATATTTGAGGACCGCCTTGGTCAAGACCATCAACATGTTGAGTGAGTGAGTGAGTGAGTGAGTGAGTGAGTGAGTGAGTGAGTGAGTGAGTGAGTGAGTGAGTGAGTGAGTGAGTGAGTGAGTGAGTGAGTGAGTGAGTGAGTGAGTGAGTGAGTGAGTGAGTGAGTGAGTGAGTGAGTGAGTGAGTGAGTGAGTGAGTGAGTGAGTGAGTGAGTGAGTGAGTGAGTGAGTGAGTGAGTGAGTGAGTGAGTGAGTGAGTGAGTGAGTGAGTGAGTGAGTGAGTGAGTGACGCTTTTAGTTTTAGCAATATTCCAGCAATATCACAGTGGGGGACACCAGAAATGGGCTTCACACACTGGACCCATGTGAGGGATCGAACCCGATGACGAGCAAATGCTTTAACCACTAGGTTGGGATGTTTTTACACCACTCATAGCAATGAGTGAGTGACTGACTGATTTAGTGATGGCAGACAGATGAATTAATTCCACCCCCTATCACTACCCAGAACATCCAATGCCGAAGACCCTGGTTCCATTCCCCACATGGGTACAATGTGTAAATCCCATTTCTGGTGTCCTCTGCCGTGATATTGCTGGAATATTGCTAAAAGCAGCGTAAAACCCCTCACTCACTTGTGACCAAGCACATCCTCACTGAGTGAGTGTAGGTGATCCGTGAGTAAGTATAGGACTGAATGGGTGCATGTGTTGGTGAGTGAGACTTCCAAAATATATTCTCCATTTCATTAATTATCAGCTTGTCTATAGTCCGTTTGGCTCAAAAAGCGGACCGATGAATTGCAATCTAACTTGAAAACTAATAAACATGAAATACTCAATGGAACACTGATCATAATCAAAACATCATACCAACTCTGTGATCTGTGAGGTTTTTGCAGAATTTTTGTCTTAAAAATAATAAAGTTGTTTAACAAACTATCATTAAAATATTGACACAGTTCACTGTTTGTTACGAGGGAGGAGTGCAGAGAAAGGGACAGCCAGCCTCGCAACAAACAGTGAACTGTGTCAATATTTTAATGATAGTTTGTTAAACAACTTTTTTATTTTTAGGACAAAAATTCTGAAAAACCTCACAGAGTTGGTATGATGTTTTGATTATGATCAGCGTTTCATTGAGTATCTTATGTTTATTAGTTTTCGAGTTAGATTGCAATTCATCGGTCTGCTTTTGAGCCAAACGGACTATACTTTCAACTTCCGCCCAAAGACACAGGGACAACCTCACAACTCACAGATTACTCCATAAAAAGAGACCTTCTCACCTTCATGAGTACTGTACTCAAATAATTATTTTGATTGAAAGCCCATTTTATGTTCCACTAGCAGTAACAGTTTCAGACATTTCTATCAGATGGACGACACAATGGCTCCACAAGTTGGCATATCTAGGTTACAAATGTCACCAGTTGTGTTGTAAGTAGTACCACAAGCCTCTGGCTAGTGATTGACAGGTTATCATAACAATGTATGACATTTCTCTGTTCACAATGACCTCCACATGCAGATTACATCCCCAGCTCAGTCCTAGTTTTAAAAATACCAAGTGAGATTAAAATTTCAAGAATATTTTTAATTACACAATTTCATGGTTTAAGGTTTCCCTTGAAGAACATCGGCATAACTTTTTCATCACGATGGCCAAGATTGCGATCATGATTGCTTTAATTTTGTACAAGCAATTTGAAACAAAGCCTTTTAAGACACTGACTATTAATAGCTAAAAATTCCATTTGTGCCCCTGAAGCAAATATATGAATATCTTTTTTCTTTAAGAATAAGAAATATAATTCATTTTTCTTCGATATTTTAATTGCCATTACTGAAAAAAGAATATATAATCACTTGTCCTAACCTATTATTCTGAAGTCATTTCAAGACTGACTGACTGACTGAGTTTGGTTTTACGCCGCTTTTAGCAATATTCCAGCAATATCACGGCTGGGGACACCAGAAATGGGCTTCACTCATTGTACCCATGTGGGGATTCGAACCCGGGTCTTCGGCGTGTGACGAGCCAACGCTATAACCATTAGACTACACACCCCCTACCCCCAAAGTCATTTAGAGAGCTTCAGTGGACCAATATAAACTGACCTTCACAACCGGTATTACATTCATTCTAAATACAGAGTGTTTAAAGACTTTTACTAATTCGTGTTTCAAACAAAGGGATGCAAAGTACATCGCAGCTTGTCCTAAAAATCATATTTTTCATAAGTCATATTCGAATAACATATTTTTACCAGTCGTCATGAGTGCCAACAAAACTATTCATGGTATTTACATTGTTTTTGTTTATTTATCATAATATGTTTTTATCAACATAATATTCACTGCTGAATCGTTATAATGATGTCATGCCATTGTAGTTGCAGTTGATTCCGACCCAAGAATTCATGGGCTGTTCATTGTCACTTAGGAAAACTGACACACTGATAAGTCATAGAGCAAAATCATGAAGAAATTATGCATCAACTGCAACATAGTTTAAGTCAGAAAAATCACTTGAATCAACAGATTACATGACTATCTAAATTGTGTTCAAATTTTCAAACACTTTTGTTTGTACTCATTCACATGAAAATAATAGATCTGATAAAAGGAAGAGACAACCATTTCATCCTGAACTCCATAAGTTGTATTCAGGATTCTTCACTACACCACATCCACGGCAGTTATGAGGTATAGGGGACTATATCGGCCAAGTACTGCTCATGGGGACATGCATCAGATGGACAAGAAACCAACTAGAACTCACTTTGTCTTCTGGTTCTGGTGTTGGACCTGGGCCGGGTGTGTTGGGTAGATGTGCCTCACAGAACAGCTGACTGTCCATAGTCTGCTTCCTGAAATACAACAATGCTTGGTTAGAACAGATGCACAGACAGTAGCAGGACATCATATATACAGACATTGTAGCAGAAATCTCATACAGACATTGGAGCAGACGTCTTATACAGACATCTTACACAGAAATTGAAGCAGAATCTCATACAGACGTTGGAGCAGACGTCTTATAAAGACATTGTAGCAGAAATCTCATACAGACATTGGAGCAGACATCTTACATAGACATTGGAGCAGACGTCTTATAAACAGACACTGCAGACAACATCTAGTACAGCCATTGGAGCAGATGTCTTATACAGACATGTTGACATTCTACACTTGTGTTTGACTTCTTTTTCATTCATTCTTTGTGGTCAGGAAGACAGACAAACAGACATAGAGTGGACATAAAATCATAATAGTGCACATCCCATTAGTTAGAACTTGATCATCTGGAAATAGCCTTTCAGAATAGTCTACATATCGTGGGTATCTTCAAGTGGTATTATTCTGTTACAATAACAACCCTGACAGCTTCGCCTGGATTAACTGAATATCAGGTTTCTCTTCCTTTCAAACTCTCTTGGTTGAACAAAAAAGGAAAAGTACTTGGTAAGACAATACAAGGAGATGACAAAAACCACACATCTACATATCTAGCAAGACTCTACCAAGCTTTTGGTGAGAATAGGTCGATCAAAATGTCCGTCCTGATCAAATGTGAAATTGTTGAGAAATATATTAACACAATTCTAAACACCAATTAATAACTTGACCCACCTTGGACAGTATGAACAATACTACTTGACCCTGAACACCATCATAAGCCATTTTCAGTTCATTTTGTAGCTGTGGAACTGTTCAGGAAACAAATACCTCATACACATGTACAACTAAGTCATCGATCATTTAATACGAATCTATTAGGATAATAATGTGCCAGCGGCATTGTGATGGAAATGAAAACACTTGCAAGAAGGTTCCTAATGTATACATGGTCATGCCATCTATTGTGCCCTAACGATGAAAAACTATCAAGCAGACTTTTGTCCTACTTCCCCAACAACTGTTGATAGATAATGAAAGCGCTTCCTGGTCATGGCATGACATTCATGAATTGACACCAGAAATCTCACCTCATACACATCAATAGTTATTATTCCAATGACAGTATCGTTCATTCACAAAATAACACAATAATCCAATTATTTCAGGATTTTGATACAATGAGATTTTCTCCCACACATATAGGCTATGGTTAGTTGAAAGGCAGCCTTATCAATGCGCTTCCACTTCCTTGCAACAGATCAAATTTTGTGATAAAAGCTTTGGAAAATTATCAGATCTGATTACCAGGAATTGGTTGCCTCCACAAAAGCTGAATCCTGTGTTGTCTGATAATATTTCCTGACATACAAAACCACAATCATGTCTATTCACAATCAAAGGTCTTGTGGTATATATAGTATTCTATGATACAAATTAATATTTTGATAAGACAATACAAAATTAGAGCACAATAACTAATAATTAAATGACAGAAAAATGTATCGCCAATTAATATCTTGTCTACTGAAAATATTAATTCCATTTCTACAAAAGAATATTCCAAAATACTAACCAGCGTTATCCTCCAGAAATCTCCCAATTTTTAACTGCAGATTCTTCAAACTTCAAAACTGATTTTTTTTCAAGAGCCAAAAAAATTCCCAAGTGTCAAACAGATTTCCACTAGCGAAGGGAAGTGCCTAATTTGACCACTAACTAAATGACATCACATGCTAGACATTCCTCCCCTGAAGGGTATTCCATGGCCTGTCTTGTTATGATAAGCCCAGATCCCTTCACAGTTCTATATCCTCCAAAGCAAAGGACAACCAAAGGAAACAGAATCCAACTTGCCAATTATTACTCCAAGATTGTGGGAACTTCCTTCGATGACACGAATCGCCAATAGGAAAGGCTTCATTAAAAATAGCTCTGGAAGGAAGTTTACATTATAAATGACGACCTGTCGGAACAAAAGCAGTCAGTGATCCATGACATGAGTTACACATGGATATCCTGAGTAATGATACGCAAGGCATGTATTTTCAAGGCGTGTAGTCTCCAACCGATGAGAAGCACCTGTTGAGGGCTCCACAGATATAGGTGAAATCTGTGAGGTGTAGTGTATTCACACCTCATTACACTCAAGCCTGTTCGCTGTCCGTGATTAGTGAAAGCGATATTGTGATCACGTACTTTGAAATTTCATTTTCCCCTTCAGTAAACATGGAATATCTCTGCTTCGTGATTACCTAGAATGTCTCCTTGTAGGACTAATGTATTAAGGTAATTGTAATATAGGTTCTGAACTGTCTGCTGGCTTTTCTCACATATGATTAATGGCATATGTTCATGAAATGATAGCGTCATTGCCAACACACAAAGCTAGACCTGTTGGATGAAGTACACTTCAGGGTGGTCAGGGTGGAATATGTTAGAGTAAGTGAGTGAGTTTAGTTTTACACCGCACTCAGCAATATTCAAGTTATACAGTGGCACTCTGTAAATAATCAAGTCTGGACCAGACAATCTAGTGATCAAATGCATGAGTATCGGTCTACACAAGTGGGAACCGATGACATGTGTCAACCAAGTCAGTGCGCCTGACCACCCGATCCTGACAATCCTCTTATGACAAGCATGGGTTACTGAAGACCAATTCTTACCCAGATCTTCACGGAATTTCACGGGTCTTGAAAGAACACTTCAGGGTGGGATACGTCAGACTGGGCAGTATAGAATATGGTAGTATCTGTTCGGATGGGCATTACTAGTGAGTGAGTGACCGAAAATGGTTTTACGCCACTTTTAGCAATATTCCAGCAATATCACGGGGAGGAACACCAGAAATGGGCTTCACACATGTGAGGAATCAACCTGGGTCTTCAGTGTGAGGAGCGGACACTTTAACCACTAGGCTACCCCACCGCCCCTATGGGCAGTAGTAGGGGTAGGAGGTTAGGAATAGGGGATACAGGGTAGGCTGTAGGATCATCATGAAAAGTGAAAACGTGAAAACTAAAAGGACACCAGCCATTGGAGGAGAGTATGAAAAACATAAGGTACAGGAATATCTAACAACATGAAATACCTCATTAAAGAACCATGAACAAACCGAACATATATTTTACACATCACAAATACATAAACACAAACTCACTTTAGTTTATGGAGAAACTTGATGAGAGGGCAACTCTTGCCCATGTTAACAGATTGGAGTATACTTCTACGACTGACATAACAAACATCTCCGACTGTGTCTGACAACCTAATTCTCCTGCCCATGTTACAAGTCCGTGTCTACGTGTATGACTGACGAAACAGACACATCCTCCATGTCAGATAAGAACTGCTTTCTTAGAACTTCTGATTTCTTCAAATCCTTGTGAACATAATCCTTGTGCAATGTAGATTAAAAAATACATCCTTATAGGAGGAATAATTAAAGAAACATCCTTGTGTCTATCTGACGCTGATACTTGGCTCCGTATTACACAACAGCGTTCAGTGATAAGCCTGTGAATGAAATATGCATGGGCTATCTTGGACGATATACTGCGCAAGTTAGGTGTTTGTATAACACTTTGGACAAAGCAGCTCTTCATATTTTGCAGTGATTACATGCCAAATGTTCTCACAACAAATCAATAAAAATATTGTGTGTAGGACATAGGAACACATACACTGTGTTTGGGTAGCGTTCTATCATATAAGTTGTGCTAGTCAGATAAGACTATTTTTATAAAAGGACAGAATAGAATATCATCTAAAATTTGGTGTTATTTTCACTGAGAGACACGACTTATTTTTCCATATATAAAATTAGTTTTACTTATTTTCCTTACTCAAGAAAGGTCAGAAATATTTTCACTGGAGTCGGATGACCAAAAGGATATGATTACTCTTTACATGAACACCTGGTATCGCCAATGAGTTTTGTTATCAATTATCTTAATTTTCACCGCTATTTATGCTGTTTAAGCCTGAGGAATTGGTTTTGACAATAATTGAAGCTGGTTATTCTCTGAAGTCGGTGTTTTATATTTGTGACACAGATGATTTAAATTACAAAATTCTTCCTTGAAATCCTCTTAGATCACAACAACATTTCCAATTTAAGGTAAAATCCATCAACTTGGACATAATCTGTATACACACCTCATCAACATAAACCCTCTTGGGCTGATAGTATAACATTCCACGAGTTGACACATAATTTGAAATTATCCAAGTTGCCATGGCAACTGAGTGACAACCTCATATGACTTAGTGAAATTAGTTCACCTATTGGTGTCTTTTTTACTGCATCAGGTCACTAGTTCCTTGTTATAACCCTACTAAACATATGTTAACAAGGCCCTCTTAATAACAGATTGTGGAATGTAATGACTTGATAATCTCAATGTTTGTGTTGAGTGATAAGTATGCTCCAAAATCAATATCAACACCCATTTACCCATCTTTTAAAATTGTTCATTTCTAATTTGTTTAAAAAAACTTGAATTCTAAATTATGACCCCCAAAATAATCTAATAAATTAAAATATAACCTGTTATAAAACCATCCTTGAAAAAAACAACATTTTGTTAAATAACATACAAAATGTAAATAATCATTTTCCATTTTAACAGGCTAATTATGGTGAGTCCTAGTTGTGCATGTTTCAGTGGGAATGAGTATAACTCTGACTTCTACCCCAAGTAGGACCACAGCAAGCTCATATTTATCTGTAAAGGTTAAACAAATGACAACACAGCCAGCTAAAAACTGTCAGAGGCTGTCAAAACAAAAACTAAAGACTTTAACAAGTGGGTACTTGACATTTACAGGGTATGTTTTTCTGACATGTACGGCACACCATTGGAGGGGAGGTATAAACTTTGAAGGGTATACTCAAAATTAGGAACCCATTTTGGAACATTTAGAGAGGGTGGCCCACTGTTGCCATGGCAAACTGCACAAACAGTTC